GTCCTACGGGCTATATGCGTGCAACGGGATCCTGTTCAATCACGAAAGCCCACGCCGCGGCCGCACTTTCGTGACTCGCAAGATCTCACGCGCCGTTGCCGATATTTCGCTTGGCAAGCAATCATGCCTGTACCTCGGCAACATCGATGCGAAGCGTGATTGGGGTCATGCACGCGACTATGTCGAGGGCATGTGGCTGATGCTGCAGCAACCTCAAGCGGAAGACTTTGTGTTGGCGACGGGCGAGACCCATCCCGTTCGGGAATACGTTGAGCGCGCCTTCGGAACTGTTGGCATTCAACTCAAGTGTGTAGATCCTCGATTTTTAACACCCTGACTCACGTCCGCAGGTGGTCTGGCAGCGGTGTCGAGGAACAAGCCGTCGACGTCAAGACTGGCAACGTGGTCGTCAAAGTGGACCCGCAGTACTTCCGTCCTGCTGAAGTCGAGTGAGTGATAGATCGTTTCATTCAATCCGTGGCTGTTTGTGACACCGGTTCAGTTTACTCCTGGGAAACCCTGCCAAGGCTGAGCGCCTTTTGGGCTGGAAGCGTCAGGTCGACTTCCCGTCGCTTGTGAAAGAAATGGTTGAAGCTGACGTTAAGGCGTCGCAACTGATGGTCGAGGATCAGAACTAGGACGACTTTAAAAGTAGGTTAGCGCTCGGAAATTCATGTTGGATTGTACTAGATACAGGACTTTTGCACGCATATACGTAGATAACGGATCACGACTCATGATTCCCAGTTCCGACTATGGCGTTAGAGGAAGATGTGGACCATCCCTCACACCTCATGCCACCTTACTCTACTTGAGATCTACAACATGATTCAACGAATTCCTTTTCGGTCTACAATCAACAGGATACATTTCCGACACTGCAGAATCTATCTAGCCAAAATCATCACGCCTTCTTCACACCAGTGCGCGCTGTGTCGTAGTTCTGAAGGAACCACTTCACGCTGTAATCCAGCGCTGAAACAAGATTCAACTCTTCCTTGAGGGCCAGTTGAAGGATACTCACCTTCCTCGAATGGGGTGAACTGGAAATCGCCAATGAGACCCATCAACTTCTTGTTAGTGGCCGGTTTCCGGAACTGGCCGTCAGCGCGGGTCGTGTCGAACTGCGTCACCAACAGTCAACAGCATGAATTGAGAGCATCGAAGGCCCATGACATACACTGTACTCTCCCTCGAAGCCGACGGCTTTGACGATAGCGTCGGCCACTTGCTTGATGCTCACTTCCTCGTCTTCACCGACTGTGATCGCTTGGATCAGAGCATACACCTGGAACCCAGAGCCCTGGACGCACCAGACAGAATGACCGGCTCCACGTCGTCATATTCGCGCAGCTGCCAGATGAACAGCTTGGCGAGATCGTGCGAGAAGATGAATTGACGAAGTGGCTTCCCAGTCCCAGCAACGATGAAGGGTGTGCCGTTTTCTGATCGAGTGTCGGCGTTTGAAGGGGAGAAATCGAGGTGAAAACGCGGCTTACGCTTTGCGAGGTAGCACTTGTGCACGAGGGCGGGGATGACATGGGCGTCCTCAAGATCGCTAGGTCTCTGATCTATCCGGGCACCTGCAAGTGTTGCAAAGGGAACGTACTAGTTATCGTACGGCCCGAAGATATTGGTAGGAATGGCAGAGGTGAAATTGCAGCCGAACTCGTCCTTGTACGCGCTGCAGATCTCTCAGTCTGGGCGATCGAGTAACAGTTGCGAGGACACGCACTGGTTTTGCACATCGACCATGCGTTTCGCGTGAGCATATCCAGCGTTGCTCTCGTGCGGCGGCCCATCGTGGATCTTGTTCTCGTCCAGAGGGTAGGTGACTTTGTCCGGGAAGACGCAAGTCGAGAGACAGGAGATCAGTTTCGTAGTTTTGTTGACATACGACGCGTTCAGTACGTTCTCGTTGATGAGCATGTTGTCGCGGAGCATTGTGAGCTGAGAAGGCGTCAGCGCCGTATTGGAGTGTGAGAATGGTTCGATCTGCCTTGAACTTCATGTTTTTGAACAGTCCGCCCACTGAGAGACTGATCAGCAGTGAACGAAAACCTAATGAGCTTACAAACCGAGAGCCGCGAGATGGATGACATGAGTAGGCTTGTACTTCTCGTACAATGCCAATGTTTGCGCCGCATCTCTGTAGGAGCTCGCTCAAGACCCGATGGACGGAAAGATGCCAGCCCATACCTAAGATCGCCCTCGGACGAAGTGGCAAAGATCCATGTCTCTCCAGGGAGTTTGCCGAAGCGAGAACCTTCAGGCTCGGTGTTGATGATGTGCTCGATGGCCTTGCCCACGAGCCCAGAGCCGCCCGTCACCAGTACAACGTTCGGCATAGTGGTGGTCCTTGGTGAGTGAGGGTAAAAAGCCGGTCCGATCAAGTAATGTAGGTGGCCGGTAAATTGCTATGTGATGGCAACTGGCCCAGGGGGACAGTAATAAGATTCTGTTCGGATATCTAACAAAGATACAACAACTCTCTAATACATTCGTCAAGATATACGATTTCGTCATATTTTGATATTCAGTCTTCATGCGTTCTGGGGAGGCAATATCCCAGAACTTCTCCCGGCTCGCTCAAGCGCGCCCTCAATCAATTCATAGGCAGGCCGATACGATGGCCGATCGGGCAACGAGGTGGGACCCAGCTGCGATCGTGTCGATGCTGGATGTGATGAGGACTCCACCAGCGGCTTTTCCGAAGAAACTTCCGAGACGCTGGGATCAGCCATTTCAGAATGTGAATTGGGCGACGAAGGCAGAGGTGTTTCCACCAAAAGGGCTGGATTCGGGAACGTGTTGTATGTTGATCCCAGGGATGTGTATCTGGATGCCGTGAGCTCCATATCGGCAGATCGCGGTCGGTGATACGAACCCGTAATCATATAGAGTGCAGTACGGCACATCCAGTTTCCGCAGGAAAGTCCACACGTCAGCATAGTCCCAGTTGATAATGGGATTGATGCGTTCGAACTGAGGCCATCCAGGATCCGTCATATTCCGATGGGACAAGGTGGCTACGGGAATCGGTTTGACACCAAACACACATCCGTACGAGCACGTACCACCGTGGGGATCAGTTCGTCGTGTCCCGATAAGGATGGCCGTTATTTGAGGGAACTCATCCTTGTAGATCTGTAGTGCCTGCTTCATACCCTCCGCGCCTTTGGCCTTACCCACTGACTTGGGTGCCGACGCGATATAGTCGGCACTATACACGGGAGCGGGTGTTACGACACTCTCTACAAGTTCTGAAGGCGGTCGGCACTGGAATATATCCAGGTTGTACCTCGCAGCCGACTCTTCTATGAAGGTCTCCAGAAGTGGAAACGAGGAGGGCACAGCGATGTAGAGGGCCGGGATGGGTTTCATACATTCTGAAGGGGAGAGTCGTCTTGCGAGAGCGCCTGCATAGAGATGTAGGAGAACGGTGCCTCCCGAAGCATCAGCTCGGATGAATACCACAGCACTCGCACACACTCACAGTCCTTGCCCCCATTGAAGCTGATGGATACGTGTTCCGTCCTTGAAGGGTATTTGTATCCGTGCAAGCGAAAGTCTGAAGCCCCGCCTACCCATGGGTGTCTAGCGCCACATCAATGACTTCGAGAGCTTCCTTGACCAGAGGTGCGATGGGATCCTGAGAATTGGCGAGCTGATACACGATGTTCTCAATAGATTTGCAGTCCATGAGTTTTGCGAAGAATTCGAGCGTTCCAGGCGTAATCGAAATGAGATTGGGTGCACACTGCTGAGAGATGGAAACGACTCGGGAACAGACGAATCAAGCCCGAAGTGGCTGTGCCTCTGTGATTGTTGGAAACGGTCATGTAAGAATGAATGAGTCAGCACGCCATATCTCCCCTGCTCGTTCGCTGCTCGCCCTTGCCTTGTCCCTACGCGAGCTATGCATCGCAGCCTTCGCCGACTAGGGGCTCCATCTCGGAAAAACTTCAGCCTCAATCATCTTGTCTCGCACCCTCAATTGTTTCAATTAGACATTCGGTGTCAATGTCACATGAAGGCTGACCACGACTTGCCCAGCAGAATCGAGAGCAGATACTACTCACTTGGACATGTTTCTCGTGTCCGATCACCAGCCTGTGTGCTCTTCCTCGATCGATACCAACTACGAACTGGTCTCTGATCAGGTATGTGATCCAGCCCATCTTTCCATTTGTTTCAAGTTCTTGTCTGTTCAGATGATGGTCAAGCGGTCTTGGAAGTGGTCTTTCAACTAGTGGGACTCCTCAAGTGGTCGAATTGACCTGGAGTGTGACAATGAACCTTTCCCTCACCGCCGTACTCAATCCGGCGCGCCCGATCCGCTGTCGAGGTATCAGCTCAACTTGCTCAGGTGCCCTACGCCTACATATCAGCATTCATAGTAATCTACCGAAGAAAAGGCATTTTCTCGGTGCGGGTTTTGGCTATAATATGTGTTCATCTCAAGGTATTGCTACACGGAGCCATGATCGCTAGCTACCTCTCTTTGGCTGTGGCAGTCCTTTCCCATGTGCACCTCAGCTCTGCCCAAGCGCCTCCATGGGGGCAGGTATGTCTGACAACTCCCCGGTCACATTTTCATGCTCTAATCGTCGACAGTGTGGCGGGGTGTCCTGGACAGGACCTCTGACATGTCCCTCAGACCAACATTGCGTATTCCTGAATATATACCACTGGCAGTGCGTTCCTTTACCCGGCACGGTGCGTCTAGATTTTAAGAGCTTGTAACGTTGCTCAATCTTCACTTGAAGCTCTACGCTCAATGTGGTGGAACTGGTTGGACAGGCCCAACGACTTGCAATGCCGGATTGACTTGCGGCACAATTAGTTCTGATTATTGGGGCTGCTTGCCTGATACCACTGGATAACTGGCAAACTCCCAACGGGTTCAAGCCTTAATCCCATAAAGGGAATGATCAGATTATCTTCTCCTGGCGCGTGGTGTCACGCGTGACTGATGGTGTTTCCAAAGATTGTGCAGTCGGAACGGAAATCTAAGCTCGCTCTATGAACGCTCAAACAAATGAAAGCGACAGCCCACGAAGCTGGACCTTCACACTGATTCAGGTGTGAGTGAAAAACAGCACTTCATCTGCAAAGGTCCGAACGGAATGTCGAAAACCGATTCACTCATCGACAGCCTCTTGGCAGTCAGCCTGTCCCTGGTTGTGTGCTCATGTCGCTCTCGCTTCATGGTACACAACTTGTTTGTGAGACCTGCCCATGGTCGTACATCTCGGTTGAGCGGTCAGCATTGGTTTCTCTCCGCTCGAGGTCCCACGATAGGCGTACCCTTGAGGCGATTCGTGCCGGTTGAATACTGTCCAGGATAGCTCACATTTCGAACACCGGTCACATTCTTCACAAGATATGGATGAATGATCGCCACAATGTCTTATCCTGTCGATGGGGCAGAAGTCTCTGTCACAACATCCCACAAAAAACCAGGAACCTTGCATTTTTGTAGTTCAGCAGCATGGGTCTTCGAGTCGTCGAATTGAAAAGGACTAACAAGTGGAAAGAGACTACGTTTCCTCCTTGATATCACTGCTGTCGTGCTGTTCGAGATCATTAATCGACATTGAAACGGAGCGGCATCTTAGCTTACTGCTTCTGTCGTCATAAGAGGCTTTCCATCCTCCGTCGTGTCGTCGGGAGAATACCGTCCCCTGTCCGTTTCGTCTCCCTGGTTGATGATATATCCTTTCGTCTCCTCCACCCAGTCCCAGACACCTTCACGACCTGCAGAGCGCACGGACACCACGAGACGATACGCAGAATATGATGAGAAGGCGGCAGTCGTTGTGAATATCGAGACGAAGAGGACCGCGATCAGGATCAGCGCGAGGATAGAGACTGAAGAAAAGTGAGCTGCTGGCATGTTGGTATATCAGAGGAGATGGGCGCACAGAAGAACAGTATCGAAGTGCAGGATAGAGCCAAGACGATCCCAAGCGCCAGGAGCGACAGCGAGAGGACAGTTAACACAGAGGCTGTTCTGGAGGCAAGTAGTCAGAATCGTGCTCCGTTTGAGATTGAGAGAGTCTCGATCCGCCTACAGAAACGTCAAGATGGGAAAGAATGCCAGACCAAGGAACACGAAGAGGAAGACCTGCGATGGCCAGCCGTAAGCGAAACAACCCAAGAACTTGCAGAATAGGGCATATGCGCACCGAGGCAATTGGCTGCTCATTGAAGAAAACCGTGGCGCGTCGGAGAGCAGGGCGTGCATACACTTGCTCCAATCTTCACAGGCGTCATACACAGGCGAGAAACCTCGAGGCGACACGCACTCGTCGGCGTACACCTGAACGGTGGCGACACTCCGGTCGAACTGAGAAACAAGCTGCTCTTTCGTGGTCGGGATACCAGAGTCACTCATGGGCGCAGAACGAAGAACCTGGAGTGTACAGCACCGACTCAGGGCGGTCTGAGTCTCGGAGAACGATAGTGACGTCGTCACGTTGATCACAACTTTGTGCCAATCCGAGCCTCACGGATTGTTAGCAACGAATCACAAACTACACCGTCCATTATACATTTGATTTGAATATGGCTGAGAAGCGCTTCGTTCAAGAAAAGCAACGTCCTCACATTCTTAATACTTGCCATACAAAGCAAAATCGTCCTCCAGAAAGAAATAATCCTTGTAATACCCTCCGAAAATCCAGCGACAAAGTTTCTTCCAGATGCTGGTATCTCTCTTCCATATTCGCGCTCGGAACTCTGCCGGCGGAATCGATTCCGCGATCTTATGCAAGCTCGCTAGAGCTTCCGAAGGACTGGGCCGAGATTCGGGGTCCTCCTTCATCATCTCATCCGCCAACGGTCGGAAGACTTGGAGGTCCGGATAATCCTCGTCTGCCTCAGCATCAATCCAACCTTCGCACGACAAGAGTCTCACCTTGATGGCCTTGCGCATGGCCAATCCCAGCTGGTAAACGTCCACCCGGAATGGGTTATAGGGCTTCGTTAACGAGAGCTCAGGACAATCGGGGAACGTCCTGAGCAATGCGGTGTGTTGAGCGGTAGCTGTTCCATCTGGGAAGTACAAGGAGAGGCCGAAGTCGATGTAGTAATAGTTTATGGGCTCTGATACGGAGCAGCGATCTCTCCATCGAAACCAGCCATAGGCTCCGGTATGTGAGCGTTGATCACAAAAGTGGGAACCTCGCGGAACAACGAGAGATTCTTCCATCGTCATGTTTTGAATAGCGATATCACTGAGACCATTAGAGGTACTTCATGGCTCGCAGCCACAGGTCTAGATTGCACTCACAAGTGGACGACATTATGCTCGTGCATGAACTCTAAGCCCTGTGAACAGAGAGGTTGAGCAAGAAAAGCGAGATAACAGCTCAAGATAAACCTCAAAGTACTGCCTCATTGCCTCGAAGAACTCTTGCCGGCAGTGGAATGGCGGATAGATAAATATGCGGGCGTACTTCATGACGATGAAGGACCAAGGCGCATCTTCCATCGTCAAGATCTCAAGGACAGGCACCGTGCGATTGCGTGGGTCAGGTCTAAGCGAGTCAAGGTACCGTATCATGGCCAGTTCACTGCCATTTGTCTCGACCCTTTTCAGAACGACCTTTTGGCCATCGCTGAGCCGGACCGCATCGAGTGTGCTTGGCTGAGAATTCCTTCAAGTGAGTAGAGATTGTCAAAGGGACGGCGTGCTACCTTGACATTCGCGATGTCGTCCTCATAGAACCCGAAGTTGTGCTTCCCGACCCATGATGGCCTCCACCCTGGCCGATATCGCTCACGCAATTGGTATCCATGGGCCAGGAGAAAGGGTTGGTGAATAACCCAAATCTGCTCTTCGTCATACAGAAGTGGTGAGGGAGTGGATGGGGCCGGTGCTTGCATACGAACGACTTCGGAAGGTAGACAGGTCAAAGATTCAATTGATCGCTGATTGGTGCAATAGGCCGGTGCACGTGTTGTATGTACATCCTGTGCCCCGTGGGGAAGATCGCGTGATCGAGGTCTGATCAGTGAAGAGCCATCAGTGATTGACCCAACCCACGAGCTAGGAAAGAAGGCTGCGCGCCAGTTTCTCTCTACTTTACACGGTTGGTGATGGAGTGGGTGAGACTAGTGCTTTCATGGAAGCTCCATAAGATAAGTGTGCGCGTCTCTGATGCACTGCCAGTGCCATGCGTGCAGCTTTCGTACAGTAAGATCATTTGATAGACAATCAACATATTGAGGGTCCCTTCCATCTGCATCTATCATATAGAACTCTTGTCTTTCAGAACGTTCGAGAGATTTCTACATAATAGACCATTTACAAGCCTTGACTATCGGGCTCGTCGTCTCGCCGGAACAGAACAGAGATCAGATGTCACTGAATGATGTTGAACTTCCTCCACATCTTGGGCGTAATCTAACCTTGCGCAACAGAGTGTGAGAAAGCGATTGCAGAGTCAACTATGACTCATGAGTCTGAACGAGGCCGTTGTCAATTATGGTGAACATGCGGCCTGCACCTGTGCTTATCTACCGTGGGCCTCCGAACTACCCATCAGCCACTCCCTGTCATATTCCCCCCCTTCAAGATGGAGCACGAACGTCGCAGTTTTCTCCTCTCTCCAGAGGACTACAAGCAGCAGGTCTCTGAGATCGAGGCCCGAATCAAAGAGCTGGAAGGAGAACTGGATGCTGATCTGAAAAAGAAAGCTGGCGAGAGGCTTCACAGGTGCGCAGTCTTTTCATTGGCTTACCTCAGTGCCTTGCTCGAGTAGTGTATGGATGCTGATCAAACTCTTTTTTGACCGTTCAGATTGCTGCGTAGGATCCACACATGGGATTCGTGGTACAAGAGCATGTTCTATGCGGTCATGGCGGACCGTACACAATCTCAGCCTCCACCCAGCGTCATTCTCAAACAAATCTGGGACCAGTACCAAGTCAAAATTTCCTCGTTTCACGCCTCAATTCCACTCATGGCGTTCTCTCACAGTTGGAGTCTCTGACGCTGAGATACCAACGCGAAAGCAGACAGAGCACCAAGTAACAACCCAGTCTGTTGCATCTGGCCTCACGTGTCTGAATGGCGTTTCAGCATTTCCATTTATGGCGGCTCGGAAAATACACAGCAGTCACCAAGCCCTGCGTACGCTCCCAGTTTCCAAGGGTGCCTCCACTTCAGTCCCCCACAGAGTGTCGTTTACTGATTGCGCTCAGATATCCGAGTCCTGGAGGCCTAGGCCAGGCTGTGCCAGCCCATGCAGCACACCCCCAAGGACTTCCGATGAGAATGTTGTCCCAGTCGGCCAGGGCGCCTGCGGCGCAAGGCGAATATCAGCCTTCGGCTGGGCGTGGTGGGTTGGCGAGGCTGGCGCCAACCCCGTTGGAGAACAGGTGAATTGAGCTTTCCAGATCACAGAAATCTATGAGGCTCTAATCATCTTGCTTCTAGCCCCTCCAACTCACTTCGCAGTCAGACCAGCTCAAACCTATTCGATCTTCAAGATATGGAGTGATTCATTCTTGTGGTCTCCGTCTCCCAATCTGTACTTGTCGCGATCGATGTTCCTATAAACCGTGGTCGTCTATGAAATTGTCTGTCCGATAAACCTGAAAGGTTTATGCGAATCTAATGGAACGAACGAACCGACTGCTGATTCTCCATTATAACGAGGTTTGCTGAGATCCTGCCGGCGCAGCCGCTCGGTATGCCCAGTACAACAAGTCTAAGTACGAACATGGATTAGATGGCATGCGTCCGGTGCCAGTATTTTCTACATAAAAGCCAGCGATAACAGTAACACAACGTCCAGAACCAACGGCTGTCTAGTTTACTCCGGTGGCTGTTTCCCGCCACCCTTCCCGCTCTCCAGATCCGACATAGGGACGCGGTCGTAGCCCTGTTTCGCAGCCTCCGTTTCCTGGTGCTTGAACCACGTGTACAAAAGCGATCCCCCGAGAATCGTGGCGATGGATGTAGCTCGCCCGCTGCGCACAGACACTGTCATCAGCGACGCTCGACGGCAGAGAAAGCAGGGTAAATACGCACGTCGTGATGATGTCGTGGAAAAGCCAGACACCGAGAAGGGACGCAGCGACGCCGCGCACGGCAGAGGAAACCATATGCGTGATCGGCGAAGTGACCTTGATTGATAACAGACTGGCGAGACTCATCATGAAGCCGACGGTGCCCTGCGTAGTAAACGATCAATCAGACTGCGCGTCTTACGAAAAGAGCGAACCCACGGTCAAGAGAGATCCAATGACGAATGTCCTCAAGGGGGTCATGCCGCCGACGGTAGACGGAGCCTGGGGCTCGAACAGCAGCTTCATCACTCTGCTCCCTTCCACGAGGACAATGATAGGGGCCATAACGAACACACTGAGAAGGTTCGTGTACCACGAAAGCAAGATAGTGCTGTCGTTGACGAGCTTGAGGCTCTGCTTGATCACAACCGAGTGCGTCGCCGTGATTGTCGAACTAGCGACGCCGAACCCGATACCGATCATGGACACGGACGTTCCGTCAAGCAGGACACCACAGAAGAACCCGGCAGTCACGATAGCGCACGAGGCAAGGATGCGGAGCGAGGGCCGCGTGTGCAGCACGACGCCGGAAACACAGACGGTGAACGGCAGAACCAGGCCCCGCGCGACTTGGTAGAAAGACGCGTCGACGTATTTCAAAGTATAATTGCTGAAGCTAGGAGCCGAGGAGCGGGGTGAGTCGGTGCCAAGGGGCGAGCGAGCAGGGCCGCTTTGCGTCGCGACACGCACCTCAGTCCGATAACGTTCAAGCCGACCATGGCGACGAGCCCTTTGCAGTGCTTCGTCTCGAACACCAGTCGGTCCGGAAGCATGCGCAGCGAGTCTGTGATGAGGAAAAGGACGACCGCGATAGACATCTGGGTCGCCAGGAAGAACAGCGGGGCTGGTGTTTCGTTCAGCACCCATTTGTTGCTGCGGATGTGTCCACGGGTGAGGAAAGCGGCTTGGATTGAGAGTATTCATACGCACGCCATGACCATCTAGGAACGTTAGACTGATGACTGGACAAACGACGGAGTAGTGGACATACCGCGAGGGCTGCGACGAGATAGAAACTGACTACCCCAGCCTACCCAGAACATGTTCACATCGACGCGACTTGGAACTCGAGCGGGCGTACCACTTGCATCTTCGAAGCTGCCGTCGACGGCGGTGACGATGGAGGCATTTTAGTACGATAAAACGAAAGAGCGGCCGGTGATGGTCTGAAGGAAAGGGTAATGCCAGCGACGCGCCTTGCCGTTTTGGGAAATTCGCGCAGCTCCTCTCCGAAAGAATTCTCACGAACTGATGAAACATCCATGAACAAGTTCGTAAGTAAGTAGGTATGTAAATGTAGCATACAATACATCAGAGTAGCATAATACAACTGAATTGGTCCATCCACATCGTGATCAAAGTTATACTTGGAACTTGTCTCGTCCACCAGGGGCCGGCCGACTGGTCACGTCGTGTTCCACCTCATCAAAATCGGCAAAGGGATTCTCCTTACTGTCACCTGCCTCCAGGTACCCCGGGGGCTTGGTATCGGTAGGAATTGCCGGAGGAGGGGGCGGTCCAGGAGGAGGCGCATAAGTTGCCTGACCAGGGTTGTACGAATATCCGAGATTAGGGACTGATGCGTTGTACGGCGGGTTGTAATGCGTGGGGAAGTTGACCCGGACCTGGTTTGAGGGCGCCCGAGAGAAGTTGAGCACGCTGGTAGGGTCTTGGAGCTGGTGATAGAAGCCCCAGGCGAGCATAGCGAAGAAACTTGTCAGGCCTGCGCACATGAGCCAACGCCACCTTTCACGTGAAAAGGGGCCACGCACCGATCAGAACCAGAACGGAAACAATATCCTGCCATGAATTGCGCTCGTACTCATTGTTGCACCCTGCATCTGTTGAGCAACATAACATTTCACAGAGAGAGAAAGCTCACAATCCGCAGCATCGGCTGCACTGAGAGTGTCGTGTCTCGATGGCCCGAAGAAGCCAAAGGGATAGACAACGAAACCATCTCCGGTGTTAAGGCTGGTGCACTCCTTCAAGATGTCCGATTTAGATGTAAAGTGAATCACGATTTGGAAGATCCCAACGCCAGCTGTCAGGGCAACAATCGCGAGGGAGAGAAGGGCGTAAATCCGAGCCAGGGCCAGCCGTTGCTGCGGGTGGGTCACGGTCAGATACACAATCCAGATGCGTCAGCAGAGGATGCCTACCACCGCAGCCGCGAATACACCGAAAGCCTGGAAATGCTTAGAGAGAATCTGCTACAGGTGTGAAATGCCCGCACCTCCATAACGAATAAAACCATATAGATCGCTCCCCCAATAAGGGCAAATGTCCCCAGCTTCGGGACGCCCTCTGCAGTGAGATTGTGAATCTGAGACCAGATAAGCTTATGGTCGAAGAGAACTCACGTTGCTTGTCGGTATTGATGCTGCGGAAATAGCCAATCTGTTCAAGTTGAGACGCGGCAGTTTAAGGTGCGGGTAAGACGTACGCCACTACAGATGCCGGTCAGCCTGAAATGAACGGGGGCACAGAAGGATGAATGGCGACGTACGCAAAGAGCGACCAAAGCGCACTCAAGCCGGCAACTAACGGAAACGTTACTAAAGGCACCGGAGCGATGTGCTCCAACCTCACCAGCAAGGACCACAGGTCTTAGGTTGGTTCGATAGACTCTGCTAAATCCAGTCATGCGAGGTAGCCCTTGGAGGTGATCAGACAGATGCGGAGGTTTGACCAGTGGGGCACAGACCTCGAGGAGGAGTTCTTGAGTCCATGAGAAAAGAAGATGATGTAGAGTAGACAAGAAGGTAAAGCAGGAAACGGAGTTGAAGGGTGAAGATTTAAGACAAGGGTCAAGCGTGAGGCGGTGCTCCGGCTTTGACCGTGCTTGACAATGACGTGAATGGCCATTATGCATTATGGTTCACAGCCTCCTCCTCGCTTGTGCGCTCGGGCCGCTCGGTGACGTTGGTGGGCGGCCAACGTCATGAGTCATGACCTGTGTCCGCAGCTCGAGATAGGATCTGAAACCAGCTGAAACCTCCGACGGCGTTGATCGACACGATTTACTGACGCGGACTCTGCATCTATTCCTGTCTTGTTGCGGCACAGCTTCGCAGCCACTTGGAGTTTTTACTTGTGACCATGACAATCGTCGACAGATTCTATATGCATCTCCTTCGGGCTCGCTGTGTGCACTCCTTGTCATGGCTGACGCAGCCAGTGGCGAAACCTGCGCGCCCACACTCAACTTGCTGTCATCACCATCTGTGGCTTGTGGCTGATGATTAGGCACCTTCGTTCGAGCAATATGGTTGCAACATCTACCGCTCTAACAATTCTGGATGGCAACTTTCTTTATTTGCAACACTCGCGGGTTATAATCCAAGTCGTCTACTGACAATGTCTCGCATCTGTTCGGCAGAGTAAAAGATCCCAGAGCATCCAGCGACGATCACTTGCATCCCTTCTCTTTTTTGATCCACGGAGGACAGCTGTGGAGATCGTCGTCGTTCTCCGTGAGATGGCCGTGTTTCTGCCAGTCCGATCGAGTCAGCAGCAACACAGGCCCACTACTGTAGGAATGAATCAACAAACGTTGTAGCTGCAGAATCCCTCGTGCACATGTTTGGGGTCAACGCCCGTCTCCTCGTACCTAAAAGCACCCGGTTGTTTGTAGGCAGCAGGCTGCCGAGAGCAAATCACGCGCACCCGCAGAAATAGATGCCCTCCTCGTCAACGGATTCCACGGTGAGTTTGAAGTTCATGGTCTTGCCATCACCGATCTCATCGGTGATGTTTTCCGCGCAATGGCGAGGGCATTTGCTGGCTAGGCCGATGCTGGTGGCGGCCAGTAGGACAAGAGCGAGGACAGCTTGTTTCATTGTCAGTAACGAGCTTCAATGCCTCGTCTGCTGCTATAAGTAGCACACCCTGTGTACCAAGGACTTTCTCGAAGCGAACAGAATCGAGAGTGGGCCCAGTTGACCGACAGGTGACTGAGTGGCTTTCGGATCACTTACATACATAGCTGCACACCATGCATTAATTTACCAAGCTTCCATAGCTTGCCGGAGCTCGTACAAGTACTTCGCATGGCACGATAACTACACAATGTAAACACTGTCTGACGCCGCGCCACTACAACAGACGCGCGATTTTGTCCTCTTCGAATGTCTTCTGGACCTGGACACATAGCTATTAGTTGAAGCCTCGATAATGGGCAATATCAGCCACTCACCTCAGCATAGAAATGGTCATCGATGACCACTCGCACCCCGACAGCAGCTAGGGCCTTCGAAACGTCCAAACACGCGTAATGGGCTTCGATGGTCGCCGCGGCATTCGTGAATGCCACTGTATGGTTGCCCCCATCTGGAACAGTCGGAATCGCTGTGGGGTGTAAGCGGACAGACCTTTGACAGATAAACACAGATCTTACCGTAACCAGGATGCAGCGATGGCAGTGCTAGAATCATTCAGTCAGCTTATATCGCGGAGAGGCCGGACGGCACCATATGAGATGTTTCCCTTGGTATAGTGAGTGAGCACAGTCATCTGATTGCAGAAACCACGACACTCACGAAATCCGTCGATGCATTCTTGATGCCCCATTCGTAGTCGATGCTGCCGTACTTGCTGCGAATGATGTGTGCAAGTTCCTCACCTGGCTTTCGTGAGTACACAGAGAACAGTACAAGCGGCAGGAGCGGACAGACCAAGCGCCTTGTTCTGCCGCAGATCGTTCGCTGTTCCGGTCAGCGCTACCTTATGGGTGCATCCCGAAGCCAACGCTGCGGCTCTGGAGGCTGTCAGCTCGTCACACGCCTCATCCAATCCGTGCGACGGACTCGAAGCAAGGGAGAACACGGTTCAACGTCTCTTTCATCTCCGCCAACGTGGGCGCCCGGACGTAGCAGCTGTTTGCCAATCAACCTCGGCACTTCCTGGAGCAGAGATCACCGTACTTGAACTTGGCATAGTCTGGAATGACTGCAGGGCACTCAGTGATATGCTCAGCCGCTATATGGCGAGAGAACTTGCCATTGGGAGCCCACTTTTTCCCTTCGAATATCCCATGAACACGGTGCGTCGGCTTCAGCTGCTGACGCAGAGCAGAGATGTTGTTGTATCCGAGCACCGCGGCGTCCAGAGCGTTTCGGCCCTCCCAAGGAGACAACGCAGCATGCGCGCTAAAGAGTCACGATTTCGGCTCAAGCCCACGTGATAAAGCGCACGGTACGGACGTGTGACCAAAATATTCGATCTCAAGTCGCTCCAGAGCCAGGCAACTGCTCAAACTGACGGACGCCTTCGGACCGGGCGCAGGATGGGTCCTAGCGAGTGCGTGAGACATTCGATCCTCGCGGAGCATACGTAGAAGCCGCGGACATCAAGCACACCGCCATATCCTCGTCTGATGTCCGTCGTCGGGTCAGTTGTGCTTAGACCTCTACAAGTTCAAATGCGGAGACGACTCACAAGCGCCGCGGTCCAGAAGCTTGACCTTCCCATTCCCTCCTTCTTCGGCTGCAGCGCCAACTCAGCGTCGCCCCTGCTCCGAAACGCGGACAGACCGACCTGGTGTCCCAAGCAGCACGACCGTGCCGTTAATCCCGAACTGCTCAAACACCGCTTTGATGGCGCACGCCACCGCAACGCCGGAGATCGCGATCAGGTTGTGCCCGCAGCCGTGGCCGATGCCCTGAATTCTGCACATCGGCACCAGAGAGGTATAGGTTGAGCAGAGCACTAACAGGCAAGGCGTCCATCTGCATCGCGTGTGTGAGTGGCGGCTTCAAGAACACGGAGGGAACCTCATGCACCTCGGAATTGACTCCCACAGTCCGCCCGCCCTTCCCGCTGGAGAACGCCGCTCTCCACGCAGTCTCGAGGTAGTAGTGCCGCGTCACCTCGAACCCATGACGCTCCATGAACGCGGTCAATACGTCATGGGTGCGGTGCTCTTCGAAGCCCAGCTCGGGGTGGTCTGCGCAGGCAGTGTAAGACAGTCGTCGCGTCGGAAATGGGAGTGGATAATCCGCACGTACCGTGGATGTCGATGCTTAGTTCCCTCAATTCCCCGTCCAGACCCTTCAGGCTGCTTTCGATTGCGGCGAGGATATCTTCTCTGTACACCGTGTCTGGAGACTCGGGCACTGCAGGTGCGTTATCGCCAGGACGCCAAACAGGGCTTTGGAGCGCCGGCACCGGTGGGGGAGGATTGATTCTGGTCATGGCAGTATGAGATTAAGCACGCTCGGCCGATGTGAGCCGAAAGTATCATGTAGTTCCGATGTGCCCTCAATACGAAGTATTTACATAGGTACAAGTAGGAAATAGGCTCTCGTATAAGTCAATCAATACTCCTCCACTTCTACGTCCGACAAAGACCTGTAATCCGACATTGTTTTCTGGTCCGATTCGTCATATTCTTGGGCCACTTCACGCATGGCGTATCGCATGATGGGCGAAGGAACCAGCTTGCATCCGACGACCTCCGGTCCGTCTTTCGAATACTGAGATGCAGGAAGTATATCGCTGTCCCCTGTTTCGGAAGCTTGGTCGTTGTCGACGGCAGTGTCGCTGCTCGTGTTGCGCCGATTGTGAGCCGTCCGGGCCTCCTCATACGCATATTCATCCGTCACGCATTCCGTCCAGCGAAGGTCAAGCACGCGCCCTTTCACCATGCCATCCACAGATCGGACACTGAGCTCGCGGCAGAGTGGGAAGTACGGGATGTACTGCACCGTCGGCTCAACGAGGTGGTTGATCACTTTCAGCAATTCCACAGCGGTGAAGTCTGCCTTGTAGTCTCCCGAAGCCGGGCTGTCGTTGGGACCGTACGGGTGGCTGATGGGTGAGTATATCCGAAATCCAGAGGGCGCGCCCCGCGACATCCGAGATTCCTCCTTTGTAGACTTGGATGTGACGGACTGAGATGAATGGATCAGATGGAGGTTGAGCAACGCATGTGCTTGTAGGAAATGAGAACTTTGTTTGACTGTGGATTGCACTGAGTTAAAAAAACCATGAGATCAAGTCGCACTTACTGTCCAAGGTCCCATTGGAATTGACTAGGGAGAGACATGATCGTCAGGGATGACGACATCAGTCACAACAGGACTTACTAAAATCGGTGCAATAGTCATGCCAGTGAGCCAATTTCCCGCCAAAAGCTTCGTACAGCCGGTCAAAATCCAGCCGCATACCAAGCCGCCGCGGCACTCTGGGCAGGATTCGCTCGTTGAAGTATTCGCGTGTCTCCGCTCTAGAGCAGTCACCGATGGTGATTATCTACGCGACGGTAAGACAGACATGCAATACTTGCACTGTAAGCACACCTTGCAATGCTGCATGATGTTCAGCTGACGAAGCCAAGTCTGGTAGAATGGGTCGCTTGTGGCGTGGATGACGTGACATAGCCGATCTTGTTTCGTAAGAACGAGCATTGCGTCCAGCAGGCACTTCATGGTCTCCATTGATTGAACAAGGGACGGTCTGATCGGTGAGATGAGTCTCGATGTGGTGCCCACCATCTTAGACTCACAGGCGATGCGCCTCGTCGAAAAAGATCACCTGGCTGATATCAGTGTCTGCAAGTATATCTAATATGTTTTGCACGCACTGGAATCTTCTTTGCCGGTGGCTTGTCGCTCGGCTCCTTCTCAGACGGTATGCTCCTGACATCGTTAGCCTTGCTTTTCCGAAACCAAAATCGCCGGCGGGGTGGTTTCTCTTCTGTCTTGGATTCGCGCTTCTTGACCGGGACTTCGTCTGCGGGCTCGAACTCGCGATACTTCAGCAAAGAACTCTGCCCATGCCATGTCAACAATGTGGAAACAAGCGAGGAACACAGCACGAAAACGCACTTGGAACAATTCCATCAAGCGAGCGATATCACTGGTCCTGATATTGCGTCCGTCGGTCCCGACTGGCATCTCGGCCATTCTTCGTTCCACGTTCAAACGATCGTGCTGAGTTGAGTCGTCATGAATCATAATCAGCCGACCATAAAGCTGTGATCAACATACCTTGAATCCCCAAGCTTCTTTCTCAAAATCGTCGTAGCCAGGCATCTGTCCCACTTCTTCGAAGTACTGCTGCATCTGCTGGCTCAAGCTCATGTACAAGCTGGGCAAATCTGCGAATCCGGCGATACGCAAGTCGAAGTGCAAGACATGGTACTTGTCCCCACAGAGAACCTCACGCAACAAAGCCGTCTGTGAACGCGGTTATACAATTGACGACGTGACACAGCGGGAGTTGAGGCTCACCTTGCCCACAGAGCTTGAGCCAAATAACACAGTGAAAGCAGGCTCCCCTTCGAGAATCTGGTTGAGGATACGCATTTCAGCCCGCCGTGGAAAGAACCCTGGGTACCGCGAGAAGGTGTGCGTGACTCGTAGTTGTGAGCGCTCCTTGTTCTCTTCGATCTCTCGACGCGCATCCTCGAGCAGCCGCTTGGATTCGGTGAGTGAGCGGACGGTCTCCGCGGGCTATGACTGTCGTCAGGATGCATGTGATATTGTTGAGAGGGTATGGCACACGTTAGTCAATACGCCGACTATCTCTCCCATGCCGAAAAAGTTCCTCTTCTGTATATCCGCGGGGAGGAAAGAGGTGCGTCGGCGAGGGATGTTACTTCGAAACAGCCAGTGTACGGGAAGATTCGACGGCCGATTCCTAGAGTGCGATTTCACTGTGCGCAGCTCGTGGTTGGGCATCTTGAACTGTGATGAAACGGGGGATATGAGCGGAGTCGCATAGATGTAGCCCTGGACACATGTCCCCTTCGTGTTCTCGGCACGTTGAGCATGCACAGATAAGCCGTTGACGAAACGGAGCGCGTTATGTGCGCGTCCGCAGCCGGTCAACATGGAGGTCGCGCACAACGATGCATGTATTGTAGCAGGCTACGACGTCATAGCGTGTTCATCATCTGATCCGAGTTGCTTGATCCGTGGTACAATTGGTTTCGTATCCTACGAAGTTGCGTATTTGTACTCTCTAGCATCCTTCCGGCCTTGCTCGACATCAACGCTCATAAGTACAGGCACAGCAGCCCAGATCATAAATACCAGGAAGAAGAATGCAAATCGAATATTACCGGTAGTGTCCGATATCAGACCAACAATCAAAGGACCGATGAAAGAGCTGGACTGGGAACGACTGCGCTTGAGCGCGAATTCACCAGTGCAGTGGGATTAATACCTTGTCTGTGATAGAGAATAGACCATACCTGAAAATTGTTAGGACTGGAAGAAGATGAGCAACGACAAACAGACCATCGCGCCTCTTCGCCAGGCGGCAAAAGTTCAGCGTAGAATGCTCGCGCAAAGCTCTGGAAAGCACCATAGATTGATCCTGAAGTCGGATAAGAACTAGCTGCGTCACAAAATAGGAAACCTACCGAAGTAGAGAGCAAGGACAAACATCTCGTTGGGTGTTGTCAAACCTCCGAAGGACGACCCACGGAAGATGCTCAGGAATCCCAGACATCCGTAGACGGGCACAGCAGATGCCATCATCACTAGGGTGATGATCACACGCAGGTTTGACCAACCCAACTTGCGCTGTAGCATGGGCCAGGCTAGGGAGCCCGCGATTCCCGACAGTGGTGTCAGGACGCCTACTAAAATCAGTTTAGAAGGCTCCATGTGCAGCGTCGTTTTAGCGAATAAGACCGCAGTCGAAGTGATAGTTGTGAATCCTGTCATGCTTGAGCAATCACGTCCACCGCAGCGCACCGGCAAGACGTACCGTCCGACAACAGAAACCATGCAGCAAGGTATTTGAAGGTGTTGCGTAAGCGCTTGATTTCTCTGGGATGAATCATTCCGCCTAGACGCTTCCATGCAGCACCAATTTCTCGCCAGAAGCTCCACTTGCGCTCATCCTCCAGCTCGGCAGACTCTGCAGGAACCGAGGCCGCACCAGGTAACCAGACGGCTGCAGGGAGAGTGAACACTGCCCACCAGATCCCGCTGAGCCCGATAGCAAGGCGCAAAGAGAATGTCGAGCCGCGCAGCATAGTGACAGGTATGATGGCCACAGCCAATAGACATATCCCTGAGCCATATCCAATGGCGATACCGAGAGAAGATATCCTCGCCGTTGTTCTCGAGAGCTCGGCGTCGTATTGTGATAGAAGGGCTTTTGAAGGTGTATGATTCAGTAGCGCATCTTGCTCTGTGCCATTTTCAGACAGATCCTCCCTGGTTGAATCTTCAATCTCCTGCCGCAGTCTAACGACCTCAGGAGCCTCCTTGGCCAAGGAAGGGAGATAAGAGTTCATGGCAACAACCGAGGCACCAAATCCAACATTTGCGACACAGGCGAATAAAGCAGACAGGGCCCAGAACGGTGAAGTGGACGAGAGTGCCAGGAAGAGGATAGCCCCAATTGACCCGAAGAACGCAAAAGTCAACAAGAGCATCTTGCGGTGAGGAGCTTTGCGAGAATAAGAGGGTAGGCCATGTAGGAAATGAAGAAGGCTTACGGTGATCTGCGATACCGCCCATTGAGATCACCGTTAGGGCTTGCATGGCCACAGAGAACGAGTAGACATAGAGGCTTTCATATGTTGGGCGACATTTGAGGACGCAATATTTGACAACTCACCTGAAGCTTGCAGTGTCGATCCAGAACCAACCGATCTGAACGACACATCGTCCACCAGCTTCAATCGGGACGGGAGATGCGGAAACACAAGGCTCGGTGCGTGCAGGTGTCAATCGGCCATTATCCCGAGCGAATTGCTCAAGACAGATTGGAAGGAAGAGAGTGAGGGACACGATGACGAAGACTTCGCTTTAGCAGATGTGAATGACCGAGAAGAGGGCAACGAGTGCAGACTGCTTGCCTGGCAAAAGCGTAGCTTAACCATCCCCGTAAGCCCTTGGTGTACAGATTGGGGGTGGTCATTTGATGATGCTGACACACGCAACTAGGTGTTCATCCAGAAGAGTGTGAAGGATGCAGCAGCCTCGTAATCAAGTACTTACTCGCGTCGTCAGCAATACCTGCCAAGACGGGCCGTCAACGAGAGTAGTGATGGGCAGGTGGACAGCCACATATCCCTCCATTGAGGTCACAGGAGGAATCAATGATGTACACCAAGTTCTTTGAGGTTTAGAGCTCTGGAATCTTAAAGGCTCACTCACGGAGCTCTCCTCTATCTCGTTCTTAAAGCGCTTCGATTGGAATCCAAATGCGCTCAGCAAAAATTGACCCGGCCGAATCAATGAGTGAATGTAACAAAGAAGTGACCGAGTCACGTTATCGTGTTAAGCTGCCACTTACATGCAATATCCTGACTTCCATCATAGACCTCCCCTCCCCATCCGACGGCTATCAAGTATCTGCAGAAGTGCTGCACTCTAATATCACTGTTCACAAACTATGCCTGTTTCGTCACTCCATGCCTATCTTCAGTCCGGGCAATTCCAGTCTCGTCATGTGCCACTGGAAGCTCTTCATCCTTTCTTCTCTTCGCACGCCATGAACCAAATCGGAGCATCGAGCGGCGCGAACGATCTGCTCGAGTTTGTTGGTGATCGCGTTCTCAACCTCGCCTGCGCGCTGATCGTGGACGAGTTGAAGGTGTGCCAAGAACAATTCATAGTACTAAGTTCGGCTGCTTTCGGCTTGCTCTTCGCTCAGTCTCAATTGCTAGTTTGTGATCAGGAAGATCTCAAATAACGACACGCTAGGACGCATCGCCTTCTCGCTTCGCTTCGACACCTACGCCGAACTCTCTCCGGAAAACGAGCATGCGATTGACTCTTGGGCTTTGAGCAGCAAGAAAGAAGCACCTCCCAAAGCTCTTGCGGACCTCTTCGAATCCTTCATTGGAGCCTTCTACATGCAGCACGGCTGGTTCTCCCTCGTTGAATGGCTCAGACTATGCTTTAAACCTCTTGCTGAGCTTGCTACTGAGGACTATTTTCGTCTCGAGTCGACAACGATCCCTGCTCATGTTGCGACCTGGTGGCGGCGTCATGGTCAAAATGTCTCACAACCCGTCTCTCGGGCGTTCTACAAGTACCTCCATGGGAACCAGCCGCAACTCTCCCACCTTGTAGAAACCGTTGTCGATGCAATACCTTTGTCGACGAAGCTCATTTTCTCGAAGACCGGCGAACTGCTCAACGATTGTGACAAGGCAGAAGTCGGGTATCAACTCATGTGCCACTGGATATGTCTTGTTTTCATGAACATGCTTCCCACAATGGCGTGCCCACACCTGCGGGTATCGCATATGGCTTCGGTGAGAGCGCGTCTGACCTGTTGGCCTGCCTTCACCTGACTCCATTGGATAGAGCATCACGAATGTCGTTGTCTGTGAGAGAACACTAGCGGTGCTTGCCCATTTCGGATTCCTCTCGTCGTTCTTCGACGTCGACGACCCCGATTTCAACTCAAGCCTCAGTCCTGCTCAAACAAAACTGCAGCAAGTGTACCTAGCCAAGCTCTCTCTCGCATTCCGAGTTGCCATTGGTTGGCTTCATTCTCGAATGCCGAACGTAGCTCACGATTGGGGTGTTTCTTTCTTTGAGCCCTTAGTTGTGGAGGCTTGTCGTCTTTTGATGGACCAGTCGCGGTAAGGCGTCTGACATTCTATCATTCGAATGAACTCAACCATTCTTCCAGCAAGTCGTCCGCTCGGCCCATGCTTCTACCATTGCACTCGATGAAGAATCGCACGACAAATTTTTGAATATAATATTTATGTTTCTGAACGCATCTAGCAAAAGTAACACCACTACCTACACTATCTGATACATCCTTCTTGCATGACACTTTGAGAAGTTGACTGTTCGAGCCTCTCGACGTCTCAGAGAATAAGGAATGAAAGCGATCTTTTATTGTCTTCTCTCAAATTTGGTTCGTGCTCTCTCGCCCCGTCGCAGATCCTCGTCCTTTAGCTTGCTGGTCAACGCATCCCATACAGTTCGAGCGTGTTTTTCTCCGTTCTAAGAAGCAAATGAGATGAATTGGAGTGCGGGATCAGACAAGTGCATACCACGACCAAATCGCGTATCTGCGCGGATTCTAGCTCTCCTGAGCCCAGAGTCCGCATCGAATGCAGTTGAGAAGACCCGCCCGTGAACGAAAAGATGAGCAGTAGACGTATCGGCGTTGCGGCTTCCTCTGGCAGGTGTCCGTCGAGGAAATGAGCGTAGGTCTTGCCGGCAGAGACTATGTTGAGCGTAACACATATGGGCCATGCATCGCGTCCATCCAAAACTTCTCCCTCGTCCCAATAATCGGGTAACTCAAAGTCAACAGCACGGGCGATAGCACGTGTGTCAAAACCACTCTGAGGTACGGGTGCATCCGAGTCCATTGCCATCTGTCCGCTTTCGGCTGGTGGAGGATTTGCGCCTGCTGGCGCCTTGAATTCGACAGCGCGCGTACGAGGCACCTTGCAATCCCAGAGGGCAGCGCGGCTGGCCATGAAGAGAGCGTCATATACGTTGCCCGAGTCCGCCAAAACAACACAGTCAAGATTCAGGAGCCACGATCGTTTGCTTGGGAGGATGCCGAGATTCGAGGGGTGCAAGGATGGATGTGTGAGTGCCTGATGTAAAAGCGCGGTCATATCGTGCTGTAGATCATCGAGTGCCGAGGATGAGAGGTGCGGATATGCAGACGGAGAACTGGCTTCCGAGACGTTGTGAACGATGCCGCTAAGTCGCGCAAAAGGACGCACCAAGACACGGTACACACGATGCGTCCACCATCCACGCCCTCATCGCGGCTGACATCGACCGTCTCCACTTCGAGTTTGGCCGCAGCGAGGACCTCAGTCCCTCCGCCACCGTCATGAGGATTTTTCCCGATGCTGACGTGCGCAGACCCATTGGCTAACGGCGCCATCCCCGTTTCGAGGCTTATGCTCCGGAATTCATGCAACGCACGGCCATCAGCGCGTAGAGGAGGTTCCGAAAGAAGGCCTGCCCGTATGTACGAGCTCTCAGCCTTGGAAAGTGAGACGGCCATCGTGCAGTGCTGAGGGAATGCGAGACTAACTGCAGCGAAAAGTAATGGGCGTCCACATCACGTGGTCGATGCCAAAAGGCGCAAAGCGGAGAGTTTACACGTGATCTGCACGCACAAACATCTTCTGAAGCGGTCAACGAACGCTTTCAAGTTCAAATGTAGCGCTGGTGAGGGACAATTCGAGCGAACGGAGCAAATGCTTTCGAAAGCGACGGATGTTACAGATGCGGCAATACGTGAGTTAGATAGCAAACGGAAATCAATCAGAATCCACCTCGATCTAGGGCCATAGATTATATCAGAGGACGGCTCAAAAAAGACGATTGCAGACACTGACCGCCATTTTGTTTCGGGCTTTCGAAGCTGCAGCTCGAGAACTTCGGCCTGTAACTGGAGCAAATGCGAGTTGCGATTGAGCCGCGGGCTTCCTGGCGGCCGGTGCCTTCTTGGCAGCACTGGAGCAAGAATTAGGGGCCATCATACAGGGTTCAGTCTCTGAGATACTTGCGTTTTCCTGGCTGGCTTAGAAGGGGGTTCATCAGAATCGTCATCAGAGCCCTCAATCTCGTCGATGTCAATGATCTCGGCCGAATCTGAGTCGCTAGCAGCGGCCTTCTTTCCTCTTTTTGCAGGGGCTTTCTTCGCTGGAGCCTTCTTTGCCGGGGCCTTCTTCGCTGGAGCTTTGACCGTAGCCGCCTTGGCTCGGGTTGTCGTCTTCTTCTTTGGAGGCTCCGGCTCATCGTCTTCGAAAGCGGATCCGGCAGCCAGCATCTCCAAGTCGTCACCCATCATCGAGTCGTCTGATTGGTCACCGTTGGCCCTAGCTTTTCCTTTGGACTTCGATGCGCGATCAATAGACGAAAAAGGAGGGGAGCTTCGTGAAAAGAGCAGACCTTCGTCCGCAAAGCATCGTCTGCTTCTTGCTGCTTCTCCGCATACAGTCGGTCTTGTTCTGCTTTTGCACCCGCCAGCTGGGGTAGCTTGAGTCGTATGGCCTAGGGAAAGCACAGAGATGTTACCATTTCATCCAGTTCGTCCTCGTCGAACTCATCATCTCCCGCGGTCTGGGCGCTCTTCGTGATGCGCTTGAACGCTTTGCTCACGTATCTGTCGCACATCAACACAATCAAGTCATCACCCATTGAACCACATACGTCTGGATGGCATGAGTGTCGTCCTTTTCCACAAACATTCCGATAGCATCCGTCATCTCCATCTCTCCCAGTAACTGCAACTCTTGCACCTCCAAATACTTCTTCACCAGAGTCTGCACCCGGACCCGGGCAAGCTTCTCCCCCGTGCTCAGCCCGACTTGCTCATCGTCCTCTTGCTCTTCGCCGTCGGGAACAGCAGAAGCGACTTTACTCTTGCTCGCCGCTTTTTTGGCTCGGTGAAATACAAGCACGTCAGCCGGATTTGCGAGACGTCCCTGGAACTCTTGTCCGAAGCGTATGGGATTGGACATATCAGAAACGCCAGTGGTGTCGACTTTCAGTCGGATGAGCGGAAGCATCTTCGGAAGCTCTTGCTCTCCATCTTCCATTGCTCTGGCGTTACGCTCGTCCCACTGCTCGTTTGCCCGCTCGATCAGAGCGTTGACCTTTCAGAAGTTCATGAGTGATGAAGAGAATCAAGGATGAAATACCGACCCTGCCCTTGAGATACTTCGAGATGGCCATGGTATCTTTGAGGTCCAAGTTCTCCTCGTCAGCCACATCGGTAAGCACGATGCTCTCTATTTGAAATGGCCGGACCGTGCGCAAAGGGATGGGTGTCATCTCGAACTCTTTGCCTTGGATTTGAAGTAAAGCAACATGCCTGCAGATGGTCAACGACAGCTGGTCGTCAAGCGATCTATGCTCACTTTTCGATGGCCTCTCCATCTGCAAGAGAGGTTGCGACTGACGATCCGGGCTGAGAAATGTAGTAGCCTTTGCCAGCGACTGGTTCAGGGACTATTCGACAATCATGTTCGTGACCCCAGATGACCAGATCAATCGAATCGTCAAACAGTCCTTCTGGCACAAACTCTTGGGGCCCATGTTTGACTCTAGCCACAATCTCAGCAAACACGAAACGATAGAATACTGAGCTGACCGGTTCTGATGTAGCAGGATGATATTGAACCACTTTTGCTTGTCCTTGGGCATCCACATCTTCACACGGTTACTGCGCAGTTCGTAGTGCATCCGCTGGTCTTTGACATTTCCGATTCCGTAGAGCCCTAGATACGTGTTACCTTTGCGTAGGAGCACCGGGTTTACTTCGATCCCGGTGGTTTGCGCTTGACCATCGGACACCGGGAGGTCAATTTTGCCGATGTAGTTAACAAGGCCGGTCACAGAGAGCATGTCCAACGCACAAAGAGCGCCTTCCTGGAACGAATTCAGTGCTGTTTCTCGGTCGAAGCTGGTCAACCCACTGCACCGGCACCCTGTGGGTCATCGTGATTTCCATGTATTGAAAAGACGGGGATTCCGACATTGAGATTAGGGTCTTCATAGTTGATCATGGGGAAGCTAATGAGACATTCAATGAGATTTTCGAAGTTGGGGAGATGTGAGCGCACGTAAAACCCTCCGCCTGGCCCTTGTATGGGTGGCTCAACAATTCCACCTGTATGGGCTTGTCCCCCATCGTATACTCGCGTAGAAGGCCAATAGTCTTGTATAAGCAGTCTCTCGAGGGTTTGTTCTCGTGGAAAAGATCTCCCGCTAAGAGGATGAAGTCGACCTGGGGCCGTCATTACAGATTGTTTTGGTGGCGATCACGATGGTAGGACTCAGAACGAACATCATGTTTCACTGCGAGCTGCAGGATTTCTCGGAATGTTTCTATGGAATCTTGCCCTCGGATTGGATCGCGTTCCATGTAACCAATGTGGTTGTCTGTGGCCAGCATGATCCGTATTGTGTCGTCGGGGACTACGAAAGCGCGCTTTAAGTATCATTGCCAATGGCGACGCAAACCACAAACATTCATCGCGATTGCGTATCCCTGGCACAGTTCCTGGGAGATCGTCGTCACTCATAGTCAGACTCGTCAAAGGCGACGCGTCGCGTGCTGTGAGGAATTTGTTTGTCGGTGTGTCCGAGACGACTGGCTGGTCGGCCATCATCCGGCCTCTTGTTCCCCGCATCGATGTCGACCGAACAGCCCACGGCACTGGAGCTTTATGCGGCTCATCCGTTCTCCACCGACACCGAGTATCAGGTGCGCGCAGATCAAAGCGCCGCATCGTGCGCTGTCAAACGACCAGCAAGGACGGCCTAGCAAGCATCTTGGCTGGCGGGTTGTTGGAAAGCAATCCCTCGGATGAAGCCCGCGAGGAAATCCTTCTCCGCACGAGGGTGTTCTATTTTAACAGGTTGGCTCCAGCGGGTTCCTCGGCGCGGCATGACTGAGAACGCAACCAAGGACGCGCGGTCATGACCTGAGCGTGGATGCTGCTCGGGAAGCGGAGAAGTCCAGGATCGAGAACGTGCAGCCGGTCACACTCTCATTTGCTCAACTTCAAGCTCTGATTGAAGCGGGGAAAGAAGACGAGATACCGAACAATAAAGTCATTTCCGATGCATTGAATGTACGCGCTTGAAAGAGCTGGCTGTCGATTGACTCGCTTGTGCTCAATCCCTCATCTAGGAGAGCGAGGCCAGCGTCTCCACCGCCACTGTGCGCAAAAAACCTTGGGAGGCCGCTGCAGAGGGCAATTCTTAACAATATATCTACTTCGCTTCCTCGTCAAACTTTCCAAGTTCTTTTCCTTTTTGCCACCAAAGCCCGCGACAAAATGAGGAGACAGACTCCACTCAGTTGAACGACCTTTAACGAGCTTAGTCCGAGGGCCGATCGTATGCATCAACCAACCCACCCCACTGAATGTCACTCCGCGCCACCACGTGTATTTGGGGGGCTGAAGGAACGCGCCAGTTATTGGGGCCCCCGTCAGCAGCGGAAGTGACTGTACAGCCATGGCAATGCCAATCCTCGATCTGCAAGGAGTCACTGACTGGGACTGGCAGATGAGGAACGGAGCCATCTTACCCAATCTCGTTGACCGAAAATGCAAAGGAAGACATGATAGCAGCTAAAAGCGACATGACTCGATTGGGGGTTAGATTTCTCGGAGCAAACGTGAAGGGTTTGGGCTTACATGCGCCAGAGAAAACTGAGCAGGGTTAGTGACGTCTGATGCGACGGGGAAAGAGCAACTTACAGCCGTAAAACGCCGCAAAGATGAACAAGCTGGGCGCACTAGTCAGTCTCAACATGGCGAAAACGAGCACGCCGGAGACGGTGGTCATCGGAATCGCCACTGTGGGGCGTTAATTTCGAGTCTAGAATGGACAGATACATACTTACCGTTCAATGCTCCATAGCGGTCCGCGATGAAATTAGGGACGATGCGACCGAGGACGGATGCTGCATTCAGCATCGTGATCTGGATCACTCGTCAGTAGGGTACAGGCGTCTGATGGGACCCCAATGCACCGTGTAGAATGCTGCATCTTTGTTGACCCCATGGAGCACAGCGTAAAGCTGCAGATAGAAATCTGATGTAGATTTGGGTGAGCTGCAATGGCGGTCAGACTTCCAAGGTACATACAAGGAAAAAAGATCCCCCAGAGCACGAGGCAAGCCCCCGCAACACTAATCCAATATGGGACATCTTTGAGAATTGAGCGCAACACAGCGTTATCTTCTGGAGCTCTATGCTTCTTTGTGGGCAGCCGAGGCTTCATCAGTAGATTTCCGAGAAGGAGCAATGATGCTGCGATGAGCGCCACGGTTCTGATGCGCACAATCAACTCGTGAGTAGGACAAAGAAGCACAGAGCATCACCGAATGCCCCACGCGAATCCCACACGTCCATTGATCAGGTGATTCAATACAATGGGGAAAACGACTCCTCCGAGGGATGATCCTAGACACGCAGTCGGCCTGCAGCTCATTCAGAGGAGGAGTGAAAGCCACGAACCAGCAAAGACCAAGCCCATGACGAGTGAACGACGTGCCCGAAAGTAGTGAGACGGAAGCGAGACCGCAGGGACGAATAGCTTTGGGTTGTCAGCTGCGGTACCAGCCAGGATTGTGAGTGCGAACTAGACCCATGCCGATACCCATGCCGATACCCTGAACGAGAAAGACTTGATAGTAATGGTTGGACTGACAGATTGAAAGCATCAAGAAGCTGAATTGGTTCTGTTCAACACCGTTGGAGCTCGGCTGGAGTTCCTACCAGAAGACGTAGATGGTCGTTCCAGCAACCATGAGCAGCCTGAAATGTCCATCGTCAAAGAGTTTGCCTGTGCGAGTTACAGCGGAGCAAGGCAGAGTTGCGAAGCATTCCAGGCCTCACCGGCGGGGAGTCCAATGCTAGGTGGCATTGCGTTAGCAGAGGTTCATTAGCGCAGTACGCCTGCTCACCCAAAGTCGATGAATAGCTGCATTGAACCGATCCAGCTGACATCGGAAGCCGAGCTGTTGTTCAAGAACAGTCGCTGTGCGGGGTCAGGTTTCGTCGAGACGAGCCGTAAGATTTGCTGACCGTGTAGTGGTCCTCGAGCACTCCAAACGAAAGAGACACCCCGAAGGTGGAAAACAGGATAACGGCACTGAGCACGGTCAGATCAAAGTTGGCTGTAGACATTAGCCGACGTACGACCCCAATACTGTCAGCCATCCTTGCAACCCACCCTCCGGGAAGGTCATCGTCGGATTTGGAGCATGTTCAACGACTGTACGCTCCCCGCTGTCCGTAGCTTTTTCGTGGTCGGACATGGTGGTTTGGAGCAGAAGAATGGAGCAAAATTGGAAGACGAGGTAGGGACAGGCATATTCTTAGAAGCCGCAGAAGGGCAGATTGGCGTTTCGCGTTTCCAGGCTGTCGTCAGTCGCCTCGATGCCACCGCGAAGTTTGAACTGAAGGAATTCATACGAGCGAGTGATCTCTTGAGGTGATCCGAGGGGGTGCTTCGAGGATCAATCACATCCACGTCGAAGCATACATCGTCAACGTGAAGCACAATTCAAGTCCAATACGGGTCGGCTTCGTAGCGGCCGAAAGCTTCGATAGTTTTTCGTCACACAAACACACGACTCTGATTCTTCTGATTGCCCACTGGAGTGGTGGGAAATCGCTCGGACAGGGAAACAGACGTGGTGGGAAGTGGACACGTTCCGAATCGTTGCAGGGTCTAGACTCCAAATGATCTGCCGGACGACTTCTGATCAGGGTGCATGTCCGAAAAGAATATCACAGCATACATGTCCATATCCTAGGCCGGATAAAAGCCCCGTACCAAAGAAGAGCGGAAACAACTTGCAAGTTGGTCACGGAGCGCGTGACAATGAGCTTCGGTCCGTCCGCGGTCCGGAGCTAGCAGCAGGATCTTGGGAAAAGTCACGAGCGAATGAAAGAAACCTGGGCTCGTCGTAGGGGGGCTGATTCCACCGACTTCCAGTCACTGTTTTTTCAACGCAAAGCAATGAGACTTCGGTGCCCGAGCTGTGCATTTGCTGGGAAGGCTCCCCAAACTCTACGAGGATTGTGAGGTGTGCCACTCAGTGTCTCCCATTACGTTCCAGGTCGCTACAGTCGCAATCGAGACCGGCCCGCATCTTCGATTCGGTCGAGGCTACCGAGCTTATCGGCCAACACCGCAGTCACATCCGCACTCAGTCTCTAGCACCGCCAATATGTAAAGCGAGCAGGGATTTTCTGCGAGCGGATCACAGCAGCTTCCGGTGGATGAGCTCCTCGGATCGCGATTGCATCATATCATGTGATCGCGCCTGATTTTGGACCTCGATTTCATGACTTCCGAAACGCGACTGGCCGAATTCTTTGCTCGTCAGAGGCTGTTGCTGGCTCAAGAGAGGGCTGCGGAAGTCGAGCGCAGCTCCCTCCTTCTCTCTAACTGCGGACCCAAGCTGCTCGAGCAGAAGGGACTTTCTTTGGCCGGACTTGGGGTGGTGAACGTGAACATCGGCCTCGGTGGAAAGACGTACGCGTGGATCCTGAATTACCTTCGACTTATACGTATCAATGACCTGCAGATTAGTTGAATTGGAACGGCCGACGGCATATCACACGAGTCCGCTCTTTCCTCCTCACACTTTCCGACCCGGCGATCTCGCTCGGATCGAGACCAACGTAACATCTAACGCAAAGAAGACTGCGAAGAAAACTGAGAGTCAGCCTCAAACTGAGGGCGTGGTCTATCGAGTCCGTCTCCGTTTCACTCTCTTCCATGCGCTGATTGTGAACTCGTGCAGGTTACTGACACCAGGATTGTGATCGCCGTTGACGGTGGGGCGGATGAACATGAACTCGAAATACCGGAGCGATGCAGGGTCGTCAAGCTTGCGAACAATGTCACTTACGACAGGCGAGTGCACGCGTATTCCAGTGCAATTCAACTTGACGCCTGCTGTGAGCAGGATGGACAAGACGATCGATCAGCTGGAACGAATCGCGACGGGATCTCCAGTTCGTAGGAATTTCCTCATACACCGGCATCATATCCATCGACCCCCAGGACGTTAAACTTTCTCTAGAGAAGCACCGACTAGTGCAGATCCTCCTGGCAATGACGCCTCGATCGCCGGAAGCCCCACCGCCCGCCGCAATCACTTTCTTCGACGACACGCTCAACGACAGCCAAAAAGCCGCTGTCCAGTTCTGTCTCCAAGCGCCGGAGGTCGCATGTATCCACGGTCCACCCGGTACAGGGAAAACACACACCCTCATCGAAGTTATCCGCCAGCTGACTAGCACTCTTCCAAAGCGGCGGATCCTCATCTGCGGCGCGTCGAATCTGTCGGTCGATAACATCCTCGAGCGTCTTCTAGCGCTGCCCGATAAACTCAAGGTGACGAGGATCGGGCACCCGGCCCGTGTGATGGCGAACCAGGGTGTCTTGGACTCCACACTAGAGGTCAAAGCGGGTCGGACTGAGCAGGCCGTCCTGGCGAAGGACGTTAAGAATGAGCTGGAGACGGCGCTGAGCGTCTTGTCGGGCAAGGGCAAGGCGCCTCGTGGCCTGGAGCGCAGGAAGATGTGGGACGAGGTCAAGGCATTACGGAAAGAGTGAGTGGACTAGACGTTGATGGCACGTAGTTGATTGAACAGATATCGGCAACGTGAAGGCGGGGTCGTCGAATCTGTGCTCTCTGAATCCCAAGTAGGATTCGTGTGTAACTATCCTGCATGTGGCTCATCTTACTAGATCGTGTTGGCGACTTGTCATTCTGCGGGAGGCCGCCAACTACGCAACCACGAATTTGACGTTGTGATCATTGACGAGGCTACGCAGGCTCTCGAAGCTGTGAGTGCAATCGACTTGTCTTTTCGGGCTGATTGACGTGCAACAGGTTTGCTGGGTTCCGATCCTCAAGGGCAAGAAGCTGATCTTGGCTGGAGACCCGATGCAGCTTCCGCCGACGGTGCTGTCCAAGACCAAGACCAAGACCAAGACCAAGCCTGCGAAAAAGGCTGTTGTCAAGACAGATGAGGAAGACAGTTCCGACTCAGAGAACTCGGGCGATGAGAAACCGGCCAAAAAAGGACAAGAGCTCCAACCACCGAGGACGCTCGAGACAACCCTGTTCGATCGGCTGGAAAGGATGTATGGAGGAAAAGTAAAGCGGATGCTCCAAGTGCAGTATCGGTGCGTTCTCGTGCTTTCCGACAACGTTGGACACTGATCAGCAACTCCCGAAGAATGCACGCAGATATCTGCGCGTTCCCGTCCAACACGCTATATGCCTCGAAGCTGACCTCATCACCCGCTGTTGCCAGTAGACTGCTGAAGGATCTCCCTGGCGTAGATGGAGACGAAGAATTGGCCGCACCGGTTGTCTTATTTGATACGGCGGGCTGCGAGTACTTTGAGCGATCGGAAGGAGATTCCGACGAGGGCAGTCGGTGTAACGAAAACGAGGCCACCGTCGTCAAGAACTGGGTGGACAAATTGGTGAGAAATAGACGCACCAATGTACTGACCGGAGATACTCATTATCCATAGACGAGCTGTGGTCTTTTGCCATCCCAAATTGCAGTCATCTCCCCGTGAGTCGATCTTCGACAAAGCTCGTCGCGGCTCTGATCGTCCGACAGCTACCAAGCCCAGGTCACGTTGCTGTCGTCCATCTTGCGGCCGGTGTATGGACTGGATATCGAGATCGGGACTGTCGACGGCATGCAGGGCCGAGAGAAGGAAGCGGTCATCATCAGCCTCGTCCGGAGCAACGACAAGCGCGAGGTGGGTTTTCTCAAAGAGAAGCGTCGGCTGAACGGTGAGCTTGGTTGCACCTATTGTTTGTAAGCTCCTCATTCTCGATGCAGTGGCGATGACGCGAGCGAAACGGCATCTGTGTGTGGTAGGCGACTCGGGCACGGTGTCGCATGGCGGGCGATACCTCAAGCGATGGATGTCGTGGCTGGAGGAGAATGCGGACGTCCGGTACGCAGGACTCGATTGATCAGTGGTCTGCGCCTCGGATTCTGAATTCAGCCAAATATATTTCTGTACTGTGACTGGTTTCTTGTTTCCGGCTGCTGTTGTACTCGCTGGTAGATGCTCTAATCTTATCAGTGATTGCCGATATATGATCCGTCTGGCTCACTTGTGCTTGCGTCTCGACCACTCAACGCTCATCATCCCAACTCCGTTGTACCCGAGTGTATGCATGAACCTGCCAGATTCTTGTTCCAGCACCATATCAACGCATTCGCAAGAGCTGTTCCGTCCACCACCCGCGTCCGAAGATCTGTACACTCAAGAGAGGTCGCACTATGAATGGCCTGTTCTCATTCGACGCAATAACAAGAGCCCCAGTCGTGTCTCTTGGACGCCTGGACTTCTGCAGGCATCCATAGACTTTTGGGTCTACATGCTCCTGACAACTGCATCCACCTCTGGCCACAACCCATCGTCGTCAGCAACGGTCACTACCGCTGCAGTGATCAGAGACCAACTCCGATATCTGACATGCCGTTTCACTGCTGCCCGGAATCAAGCAAAAAATGTCTACTGAATGGGCGGTATAAATAATGGGGGACAAGGAGAGTGGGACCCCACGACTTTCTATCTTCTTGCCTGGTGCATAGACTTCGTTCGACGGCTCTCCATCTTCATATCCACTGCGGACTTTTACGACAATGTTCCCTCTTGCCCTTCTGATTTTTCTTTCTCTGACCGCATCGACGCTTGGAAACCCGATCGAAGTGAGGAAACATACTTCCACCACGAAGCCGCACACGACCACGACCAAAGGATCTGCGTCAACCAAGACCTCAACGGCGAAGACGACCCAGCCGACGAGTGGCAGCGGTGGCTCGGGCTCGTCTGGGGCGCCCACTCTGCAGGCTCTATTCCCGATCGCGAAGACCGTTTCGCAATGGTCCACGTTCCCTGGTGCCTCCAACAGTCTTGCCCTCTCTGACAAGACACTGGGGCCCATATCCGTCATGCCTGGGGTCACCCACGACTATGTCTCCGCCCCGGATGGTACTCTCGCCATGCAGGCCGTCTACCCGAAAGGGTCGTTCAATCCCAGCGGGACACCCCGCGGCGGGTTCTCGTTCTATGCCGCTGGTCCCAGCAACGTCAACCTCGCCACAGCGAAGGAAGTCACGCTGGGATACTCCGTGTTCTTTCCGAAGGGATTCCAGTTCAACAAGGGTGGGAAACTGCCTGGCCTGTACGGTGGCGACGACGCCAAGACGTCCCTGTCCTGCTCGGGCGGGCGGCGGGACCCGACGTGCTTCTCGGCGCGCCTGATGTGGCGCACCAACGGCGCGGGGGAGCTCTACACCTATCTCCCCGATCCATCCGAAGGCTCGCAGTTCGCTGCGAACCAGAAATTGTGCAAGATCCCGAACTCGGACTGCAACCCGACGTACGGCGACTCGATCTCCCGCGGCGCGTTCACGTTCAAGACCGGCGCGTGGACGACCGTGGCGGAGCGCCTCAAGCTGAACACCCCGGGCCAAGCGGATGGCGAACTCGAGCTGTTCGTCGACGGCAAGAGCGTGATCAACGTGGCGGGCTTGGTCATACGGGACAAGGCGGCCGGCCAGATCCGTGGCATTCAGGCCCAGACGTTCTTTGGTGGGGCCACCAAAGACTGGGCCTCGCCTTTAGACCAGAAAGCTTTCTTCGCTGATTTCTCCATGGCCGTTATCTCGTAGATTAGATCCGTCGTTATGCTCCGATAGCTCAATACATATGCTCATGATGTACCCTTCTGACCGGTGGGCCACACCGCCATCTATTCAAAGCAGTGCTGCGTAAATGCCAAAGAACCATGGATCACGGCATATGTATGTTACATACATGCCAGCTCGGTTGTACATTGCCTTGCTTGTCAAGGCTTCTCCACCCTCATAATTGGCTCGATTTCGTCGGACCCGGCTTCCCCGCTGTTCCGTTCCTCTCCGTGTTTTTCCTGTCGGTCTCGAGTTCGACCCGTCGTAGTTGCCCGTATCAAAAAAAATTAGAATTAATTTGATATCAAATAGCAAGGCAGAATGTCGGCGGAGCCGACGCTTTCTAGTATCTCAGAGGGCGTTGTTATTTAGATGATCGGATCTCTCCGAGATCGCTCACCTTGGCCTTGCTTTCATCTCTGACGCGTACGATCTCGAGCATGAACCACTGCCTTGTATCTTCCAATACACTCTAGTCTTGTTTTCCTCTTCAGCATCATGTCTTCAGTGCTGAGAAGTAAACTGACCGGATTCAGTTCACACCCCTAGTCGCGATATCAACTCTTCAGGTAACTAGACTCAGAATGGGAGTTAGAAGGGTAATGCGAGGCAACGCTAGGCGGAACTTCTCGGACGTCCAAGGTCCATAAGTAGCCCTTGAAGCTTTGAACCTGAACCCTCTTATCCCCAGCCCACGCCATGCCCAATCCCGTCACACACGACTCCAAACCAGAGAAGGAAAGTTTCGACAATGGTGCACAACGGAATCGGACGCCCGAGAGGGCATACGCTAAGTGCGCGTGCGTTCCTCAGCTGCTGTTCCGTTCTGAGATACTATGTGCAGAATACAGAACCCATTACATGGTCTCTCGCGGGATGTTTTATTAGAAAAAGTCGAGGTCACTCCATTCTATCTTCTTTGGTACGCAGTGAAGATCGAAGATTCTACAGGCTTTCGCCCGAGAAAAGGATCTGGTTCATATCCTGCCGACCTACAGAAGGGTGCCTTCCTCGCCCAGAATCCTTTGGACTTTGAGGCTATGAAGCAACTGGACGAGGCTGATCGCGCCGTTCTCCGTCTGGAGACGACAAACAAATGGAGACAACCGCGCGCGTTGTATCTGACTGGTATGTCTCCTTACCGCGGACGATCTCAGTGAGTAGAGGTCTTAGTGATCCTCTGTTCGATCGCCGCTGCTGTTCAAGGATGGGATCAAACAGGCTCAAATGGAGGTCAGTCTTATAGTGAATCTCTCAACGTCGACACCGACTATCGGTTCCAGCCAATCTGAGTTTCCCTGAAGAGTGAGCGCAGATCTAGTCCATTTCTGTCTCTATCTCATGGATGTTTGATATAGATTCGGTATAAGGTAGTGCAGATCCGACTATTCTCTCTATAGACTGCATCACTTCTCCAGCACGACCGAACCTGATCCCGTCAAGGCCAGTCGGAACCAGTGGATTGTCGGTGTCGTCAACGCTGCACCTTACATTGCCTCGTCCCTCATCGGATGTTGGACCGCGGACCCATTGAACAACTTGTTCGGTCGTCGGGGTGCCATCTTCATCTCCGCTATCTTCTGTGAGCAAAAATACCCCCTTCCCATTATTGGCCCGCTTACCCCCTGTCCAGGCACGTTCTCTGTTATCGGTTCCGGCTTCTCACAGACCTGGCTGCAACTCCTGGTCACCCGGGTCCTGATGGGCATCGGGATGGGCCTGAAGGCGACGACGGTTCCTGTCTTTTCCGCTGAGAACACCCCGGCATCTATCCGGGGTGGGTTAGTCATGTCCTGGCAAATGTGGACCGCTTTTGGCATCTTCCTCGGCTTCTCTGCCAATCTGGCGTTCTTCCAGATGGGGCGTCTTGCGTGGCGCTTCCAATTGGGCTCCGCCTTCATCCCTGCCGTGCCGCTGCTTATCGGCATCTTTTCATGCCCGGAATCGCCGCGCTGGTTGATGAAGAAGGATCGCTACCACGAGGCGTATAACTCACTTTGTCGTTTGCGCAACTCGGAGCTCCAAGCATGCCGAGATCTGTTCTATATCCACTGTCAGCTGCAGAAAGAACTCGCGGCCCTCGACAGATCGACGTACTGCCGGCGATTTCACGAGCTCTTCACTGTCCCACGCATTAGACGCGCGACTCTCGCAAGCTTTACTGTGATGATTGCGCAGCAGATGTGTGGTATCAATGTGTGTGATGGAATCTCTGTGTGTGATTTGCCATGACGCGTGCCCGCAGATAATCGCGTTCTACTCGTCCAGTGTTTTCCGAGATGCCGGTTATAATAATCTCAGTGCGCTCTTGGCATCTTGGGGCTTCGGTCTCGTCAACTTTCTGTTTGCCTTTCCTGCTGTTTGGGTGAGCATTGGTTATTTACGAGGCTAATTATCCACATGGACTTAGCTCCCTGTAGACGATCGACAGTATGTTGTAACTGTCACTCCTCGCACACTCCACTCAGCTGTTGCAGCGTTTGGGCGTCGGAATCTGCTGCTCTGCACCTTTCCGAACATGGCGTGGAGTCTTCTGGCTGCCGGATTGTGTTTCCTGATTCCATCAGACTCAAACGCGCGTGTGCCATTGATCGCACTGTTCATCTACGTCTTTGCTGCATTCTACAGCCCCGGCGAAGGACCGGTGCCTTCTACAGTGAGGAGCTTCCGCAACTCCACTGCGATCATGATCTGACTAGGTCTCTCAGTACTCCTCTGAGGTGTTCCCGCTGACTCACCGAGAAATGGGCATGAGTTGGTGCGCTTTCTGGTGATCCACATCCTGCCTCGCGCAAGCTGCTTATTCACAACCAGGGCCGTGGCGACGGGAACGTTCTGGAGCTCTGTCCTCTCCGTCTCCTTCCCCCGTCTGAAAGGCGCCACCGGGAGTGTCGGTGCCTTTGGATTCTACGCTGGTACCTCTTCCTGCGTCTTGACTCGAAGAGCGAAAGGCTGAATAACCATCCGTTTCAGGCTGTAACATCATCGCGTTTGTGATGATATTCCTCCTTGTTCCCGAAACGAAGCAGCGGACGCTCGAAGAGCTTGACTACGTCTTCAGCGTGCCAACCAGTGCTCATGCGAGCTACCAACTGCGTGAAGCGCTGCCGTACTTTGTCAAGCGATGGGTTTTACAGAGGAAGGACGTCCGGTTGCGGGCGCTGTACAAATTTGATGACAACGAATCAGCAATGGATGAGAAATGTGTCGATTAGGTTGCAACATGCACTCAGGGCGGCTACTTGGAGTTGAAGTTACGACTTGGCTCGCTGTATCCTCGAACACGTCATACCGGAACGTTTGCACGTGACCTTTGCCGTTACGCGAGCAACAAGAAAGTCGTCATTGGGCTCATTGCACCCGCAGAGCGCGACCTTGCACGTGAGGTCATGTGCAAATCAGGTGACGTAGCTGCCAGTCTGGTCTTCGTGCCTCAGCGTGGGATCTGTGTCATATTGACCCACTTCAAATCCATGAGATGGGCATATGATGCTTGAAAGGTCCGATTTTAACTCGAACTAGTATCTAGAATTGGATGACTTCAGTCACAACCACATCTCCGAGAGGTTTGATGTTATATTCTACACGTTCTTGACATACATTGGAGAATCTTGGAATTCGACCAGAATGAATTTTTTCACGTATGTGATTACCATTCATTTGCCATTTCTATCGCGTTGAGTGTCTCGCAATACTCCTGGATCTCTACGTAACACGTGATCGCGTCCTTGTCTTCGATCTGATTGCCGGGGGACCAAGCTCAACCACACTGGGCGGACAAGTTTCGACGCGTCTATCTCGTCACTGCCCACCATGTCGGATTACAGCAGCGACGATGAAGCGGAGGATGTTCATCGCGACCCGATCACGCACCGGCCCTTGAACCCGCGACGGATACTGTTCGAGCCTGTAATTGGGCGCGTTGTCGACGCGCTTGGTGGCTACGAAGCGGGAGTGTACCGAATGGGAGACGAGGTGTCGGGATGTCTGAAGGATCTGAAGAAGCTCTGGAGGAAGGATGACACGGATGACGAGCGCACGGTCGCGCGCATCTTCTGGGAAAAACGCGTCTTGAGCAAGGACCTGATCCCTATTCTCCTCATGACGGCTGGTGCGGGACAGGTCGAGGACAAGAGGGCGATTGCGTGTGCGGATTTGATCTCTGCGATGACATGGCCCATCGACATGAGTGAGGAGCTGGCCGAGCTGGATTCTGGCGAGCGTGCGGACTTTACACAGCTTCACGCGGCGCATCGCAGCTACAAAGCCGCTGTTCTGCAGCCAGCGGTCATTCAGGCGCTGTTTGCTATCATACTTCCGCCACTCGCGAAGATACCGAAGGAGCGCTCGCTGCGGGACAATCAGGTCGCCGCTCTGGTGCTGTACATTGTGCGCAACCTCGCAGCCATCCGAGACCGGGATGGGCTTCAGTCCCGGCTGCTGACCACTCTCCGCGATAATCACCTCTTTGAACTCATCCTCACCGCCGCTTCCAACTCCGAGAAGGATCCTCTACTTGGTAGCTGGAACACGCTAATTCTTGAGATCTTATTCCTACTCTTCCGTGGCACACCACCGATGTCACTCATAGACCAACCGAAACCGGCGCTGGAACGTCTTCTTGCTGCCGAAGCTCGTGCGGCGCCTGTCCCTACTAGCAGACACTCGCGATTCGGAACGTCCATCGTCGTGTCTGCCAACCCAAAAGCCACTACTCAGGCAGTCGTGCATACGACCGCCCCCGTTCCATTTCTCCTCGATGCCAACAAGAAACGGGTCCGTGTCCGTGCTGTCGAATCTGCGGACGCCATCTATGCCGATGACTTGACGATAGAGGCGCTATCCGTCCTGCGTGGCAGTGCACGGGACTTCCTCAGCGAGGGAGTTTTCAATGCGTTTCTGACGGCGCTTTTGAGAGATATCAAGATGGAGCGGTCATGGGCAACGGGCGATCGGATTGGGATATGGACCCTGGCTGTCGTTCGATGGACGACCTGTTTCTTTTTGCTGGACACCAAAGTCAAGAAGCGAGATTTCGGGCTCGTTGGCGCCGCTGTCGAAAGTGGATTTGTATCTTGGGTACTCAAGAGAATGCGCGAAGCGTCAGAGGAAAAGGTCCGCTTGGCTTTTCTCCCCCTCTTTCTTTGGGCGATCATCTCATCTCGCGCCAGCCTGTTGGATGGCCGGCAATGTTTGCGGGAATGGGTTGTTTGACACAAATTCTCTCGGTTCTTGATGCAATCGCTAGTCCGACATCGGGCGCGACTGAAAGCGATGCAGATGCGGCCCAGACTCTCACCATGCAGCTGATTTACGCCGGAGCACCGCTCGATCTAGCGATGGACTGTTTGCGGGCATGTACGACTGCGAAAGCAGCGGGTCGGGGACCCGCGTTTCTGGACGCTGCTGTGCATTTTGCATATTCACTTGTGCGAATGCTTGAACGTCAAGCCAGTACGGGTGACTCAGTCTATGTTCGCAAAGCAAAATCGAGTGCCAAAAAGGGAAATGCGGAGGACGAGACGCAATACGCGGAAGAAGAAGAGCGGAGGCGCGCTAAGGAAGAACAAGAGCAGACGTTCTCCTTGGATTCTTTTGAGATGGTCCTCCGCCCCACCTCCTGTGATTTTTGGCTGACAGTTCTTATCAGAGATTCGCCAACGCGGAAATCACTCGTGCCCTCCTGCTACAGCTTGGCCGTTTCAAGGACCTGGAGTCTGATGCGTTGCGAAGGGTCGTGAGCTTACTCCATCGGGTAGCCGTCCGCGCCAAAGCTGAGGGCCTCTTCTTCAATGCATGTTCCTTCTGATCCCCACTTCCGAAACTAATGCGCAACAGGTGTCCACGCTGTATCTTTTCCAAAAGATCCTCGGCGAACAGAAGGCGCTTCCTCGAGACCAGCCCCACCGTGACTTGGTCTCGCTAGTGACGTTTGTGCTCCGGCGATTCTTCAAAGCACTCGCGGAGGACTCTTTCCTTGCCGTCGAGGTGTGCTGAGGTCATCCCGCTTATTTGGCGTTGTGTCTGATTCGTTTCCAGGCATTCTTCCCGAAGAATCGGGGACAATGGAAGTCGTTTTCGAGCTGGGAGCCCCCTACCAAGGGTGAACGAGAGCAGACGCGCACGATCGTAACAACGGAGATCAAGGTGAAGAAAGGCTACTCTTGGAGTGAGCAAGTCGGGATCGCCATCGCGGCTCTTGTCGAGTCTGGAGAAGTGGGCCAAATCGAATGGGTGATCACGGTGCGCTGACCATTCCCTGTGTGAGTGCGCGGGCTGTATCTATCTGACAGGCGCTGGCAACGGTAGTCCTCAAGTGGAAGAAAGTTGCCGAAGAAGTAGACAAAAACGCAACTGGTACGGCGGACTCGGAATCGGATGACGAGCAGAAAGTTCGGACAGGGCATATGGAACGAGGTCTCGATGTGCGGCCTGAAGTGCAAGCGGCAATGGTGGACTTTCGTACGTGAATACCGCAGTGTGCTTGCTTCCGCCAGATCTGATTGCACGCAGAGGTCCCGTTTCCACTCAACGAGATGGCTGAAGCTTTTTCGACCAACCCTCGACTACAGCTTTTGATGCGTCTCGTCAAATTCGTCGCGACGGAGTCAGGTAAGGCACATTCGGTGGATTCTCCGTGCTAAGCTAAGCTCGCACAGGTCCGGATGTCACGGAATGGGAGTGGACCATGCCCAAGGAGGTGCCGCCAGCTGAGCTGGAGAGGATGAAAAAGGTTATCGAGCAGTTTTTGGAGACGCCAATCAACCTTCAAGGGAAGAAGGCGAGCGAGCTCATGACCAAGACGAGCCAAAGGCGGCGGCGGTCACCGTCACCGTCTGCTTCGGAATCGGGCTCGGAAAGCTCCGGAGGTCAAGGTGAATTTGACGACAAGAAGAACTCCAAGAAGAAGAAGGGGAGGAAAGCAAGAACGAAGGATCGCAGCGAAAATACCCGGAAAGAGAGACAACAGCAAGAGTACAAATCCGCCCAATTCATTGAGGACAGCGACGAAGAGTACGGCGATATCGATGCATTTTTGGAGAAGGAGAAGGTCATGCGAGAGCGAATCTTGTTGCAGATCGAGAAAACAGGGATGGAGGCACCCATGCAGAAGACTGGCACCAAGAAACGTCGCAAGAAAGATGGGCTGGAGGGTTCCAAGCGAAAGAAAAAGCGGCCTGACGAGGAGGCCGATGACGTCTTCGAGTCCCAGCCAGTAGCTCAGACTCGTCCCCGTCCCAAACCGAAACCCATCTTCAAAGCCAAAGCCGATGAGCTCCCGGTCGATTCCACGATGGATGTCGACGAAGACAGCCAGCACGATAGCGGATCTGCTGCACTCGATGCAGCAGATCCAGACTCGGACTCGGCGTGCCCTCGGCGAAGACCAAGGCGAACTGTTGCTATCTCAGACGACGACGACGACGTCGACGAATGAGCCCGCGGGCAGAATTCTCCGGACATCGGACTGTGTTGCAAATCTATCATTCATCTGTATTTTGTCCTCGTTGTCCGTGTGGAGTCCCGGGCAACGCGCGGATTTCCGTTCAAATCAACATTGGAGCGTTCATTCTCTGTGGCGTGCCAGCCAAGCAGGTAGGATTTTGAGGGGTCCGGATTTTTCCGGGAGTCGGCGACCAGCCTTGAGGCTTGGAACGAAGATTATACTATAGGCGCGACGCGTCGGTGAACTCGGTAGCAGTGGAAGTAGCATGCTCGACCCTTTTCTACCAAGAAGTATTCAATCGCTTACAACGGACATTGTGCAGCGCACGCCTACGCCTTGTCCGGACTGGTCCTTGTTCTCTTGACGCCCGCATTCAGAAGCTAAACGCGCGCATGATCATCTGTCACAAATCATGCATATGCAGATGCAGGACAAGAACAGGATAGCCACCCTGTGCCCGGCTGAGCCCGAATCCGACGTGCGAGGAAATTAATGGCTCCCTCGTAGCTGGGATCCAGCACGCGCGATTATCAGATTGAGAGTCGAATTCAGACTTTCTTCGCTGACTGGAAGTGTATTTCAGGCAACAACCCATATTGGGCGAACACTGGCCCGAAAGTCTCGGTGGGCACCCTCAAAATGGACGATCGAGATCGGGCCCGCTTAAAAAAGCTTCCGTTAGCTTCCGTTTGTCTTGCCGAGTCCTTGATTGTTGGGATCTCGCAATTCAGACTCAGCGGCGCGGCGGGATACTGCCAGAGGCCTGGCGCAGGGGCGGGATTGATAGGGTCTTGCCGTAATTGGTGGATACTGATGACGAGGCGCGGAGAAAAGAGATTAATGTGGCTGGGAGAACCGTTGGAGAGAGATGGGGGGGCGTCGATCGAAAGTTTGAGAGAAAGCGGGCGTAGTGAGCCTCCACGGGCCCTCGGTACATTGTAACGGAGAGACTGGGAGTGGGACGCCACTAGTCCTTTCGGATTATCAGGAACAAGGAGATGGGTTAGAGATGGTTTCTGCCAAACGGGCCAAAGCCTGAACTGCCAAACGATTGTGGCAAATAGGCATCCACAGTGATCGGGCATCACGAAGTGAATTGCCTCCGCCGCCCATATTGATGACCCCAGCAAGTAGCCGCTAGCAACCGCCGGCGAGCGGCAAAGAAAACATTCTTGCCTAAAGCTTGTAATTATCCTGGGGATGGATTGTCCTCAGGGCGCACAGGAGCTCTCAAACTAGCTTAGATGAAAAGTCTAGAGCAGCAACATTCGCGCAGATTTTGTCATTTCGCGAGGAGCTCCGAAAGGTGTGGAATATTTGCCAGTTTCACAGGTCTGTCGCGTGATGGAAGCGACGACATAAAGTAGGGACACAACAACACCACAACAGAAAAGAAATCCCCGCGTCCCACCGTATAATACGGCACTTCCTCTCCTCGTCCATCCTCTTGATCCCACAACTCCCCTCGACTTACGTTACGCTGATGTCGTCTTTAACCGGATCTGCAGAGCGTCCCGAGCGCAGCCGTAACGCTAAGGCTCAAGCGAGACATCGAGCAAAACGAAAGGCGTACATCGAGCAGGTGTGTGGCCACCGTCGTCGGCCTCGCGTTCGCTGTGTTCTGACGCGTCCTTTAGCTCGAGCAGACCGTTACGAAGCTCCAGACCGCGCTTGGCGCCTCTGGAGACCAACTGACTGCCATACCCCCACCGCTTGCCCGGATTCGTGACCTCGAGCAAGAGAATGATCGGCTTCTGAAGGAAAATGAGGCGCTCCATCGGATGCTCCAGGAGGCCAACGGGGGACGTCCAATCTCGATGGAACTTGGGGCTAGGCGCGCGTCTCCTCTAGGCTCATTCAACGACTCGCGGAACGCGTGCGATCGCGACTACAAGCGGCGTAAAATGGAAACTAGCAACGTCGACGACTATATCCTTAATTCGTATGGCACCCACTCGCGCGCGCACTCGCACTCCCCGCCGTCGATCGGACTTTCTCGACACAGTCCGAGCAGCTCCTCTCATACCCCCGATCCCCACTCTCGTCCTCCACCTCTCTCCATCCCCCATCACTTTCACCATGGGCCGACAAACCATGGTCCGGCTTCTGCCCCTCCTCCCCTTTACGGACTTGGAGGGCCACCCCCAGCATTTCAAATGCCACACACACCGTCTGGGTCGAGTTCGACGTCCAGTCCTCCGTTTTCGGCGAGTATCTTTCCTTAAGCGTATGCTGTCGCGCATGGGCTGTGGATCCTAGTGACCTTGTTTTCTTTTTCAGCCCGCAACCATGCACCCGACGGCCAACTCGCCTGTCGCCCATAGACCTCCGCCCCACACACTAACGAGTTATCCGTCGGCGAACGGGACCGGGGGTGCAGGATATGTGTCCGTGAAAGCGGAGGACGATTATCCGGTGTGTGAAGGGTGCTATGTTTTCGACGATCCCCTTGCTTACGCGCTCTAGCCTCCGAGTCACCATTCGGGTCACTTCAGTGGGAGCCTGCCGTCCTTCGCACAAACGCTTCCCGATCACGCGATGGAAAACGGGTCATCATGGCACTACCATCCCGAGCGCACTCAGCTGCATCGGTAGACCCGATCCTCCCTGCCCGCTCGCCATCCCATCGCTTTCCATCTGCTATCCCGTCTGCATACAGTACTGTACTTATCTGATTTTATGAAGTATATACTCCCAACTACAGTGTCGTGCGCCCGCTCGAGCATATAGATCGTTGCCGATACCCTCAATTGAGCTGAACAGAGAAGATGTCGGCATCAGAGATGTGAGGTCGCCGATCTTACGTGACCTCGTGCACCCAAGTGACGGCACCCACGCTCGGTCACCGAGCCGCCCTCGGATGCTGTGCTGCTGCCTGTCGGGCGCACGGGCCTCCGGTCCAGGATCTCAATGGCGCTTTGTCCGACGGACAAAGAAACATTCCATCAATCCCCGCGGAAGCAAGAGCGTGTTTGTCCGCAGCTTTAGTGGCGCAAGAAAGTTCTTTGTTCAGAATTCTGTTATGAAGCGCAAACTCGGTGTACATCCACGAACGCTCACTGTATAAACTTCTCTTCCAGATATATCGTGACAGCCCTCTCCTTCGAGGTCGCCGCTGCTTCGCACCATCAGCGAGACGCAGTCTGAATCTTCGCATCGAAATTGGCGATCCCCATGTTCCAGATCCGAGACGGGTGTGGTGCCGAGGCTCTGTCGACAACCGGTAACGGTGGCTTCGAGCCCGCGATTGCCCGGAAACAGGGTGGGCTTCGACGGACCAGCATCTCCGTCGCTCGATCGGCTCTACCGACCGCCGCCGCAAAGCGCCATCACGAATACGGGGATAAAGGGAACATCCGACACAAACTTCCTGGGCTAAAAAGTGCCAAAGAGCGGGTGTCTGATGGAGGCCGGCCGATCCGGACTATGCTCGAGCAGGCTGGCACCGTGCTGATTGGTGAGACTTTTGATTTCCCCAGTGAGTAAATAGCCTTCTTGATATGAGCCGGTTGTTGACGCAGGGTCATATGGAGCTCTATCATGCGAGTGCGACGTTCTCAAAGGGTCGGCGATCAATCCCGGGAACGTGTGGAATGTGCTGCAGACCGAGGAGGGCCAGTATCATTTGTGGGTGGCAGCCAAGGCAGCGGTCCAGAGGTCCGTTCGAGTTCCTGGTCTCGCCGATCTCCGCGACATGATAGCAGCCGAACTAGGGGAAAGACTCTTTTGCAAAGCGCTATGGACCGATTAGTTAGTGCAGCTTCGAATAACCACAAATGGAGTTGACGCTTCTGGCCTAGATCGTCGAGCTAGGGATGGCCCAAATCCAGCGATCTGGAGGGACTCATATGACATTCGTGGATCCGCGTCTGAAAAACAATGCGCCAGAGATGGTTGCCAACGCCTGGCGGATAGTAAACCGCTTTCGTCGGCTCGGCGTGAGAGAAACACAGGTCATCATCAGCGTTCGTACAGCCGCCATTTGCCCCTGCTCCCTGCTCCCTGACTGCTTTCAGATCCCGGCAACAGAAGCCGGAATCAATGCTGCGAGGGCTCTCCAAGCAGCAGGCGTCATCACGAATCTGATTCTTGTCTCGGGTCTAACGCATGCGGCTGTCTGCGCCGAGACTGGCGCGGGGGCGATATCCATTGCCGTGGGCACGGTGCGTGGCTTCGCCCCACCGTCTATTTATGTGCGTCTGACGCTCGAGCAGTTCTTGAGAAGCCGAGCACAGAAACAGGCAGGAGTCGAGAGCATCCAGGCTATTTCAGAATACTACCGGGTGAACAAAATCAAGACGCGTATTCTTGGGCGAGATTTTCAGCGGGTGAGCGGGCGAGCCATGTATATTTAGCAGCCGTTGCTGGAATTTGATATCGTGTCAGCTCTCAGAATTGGCCGAGTTGCCGGTCTTCGACGGAGTGTGTTTATCCAGCAAGCAGCTCGAAGACACGCGGAGCTTCAAGGTTGAGTCGCGGAGCGAGTCGTTGGTACCCCTCCACGTAACCAGACGAGCGGAGCAGGCTCAGTATCCTACGACGTTCCTGCAAGAAGAATCTGGATGTATGCGGTTGATGTCGGTCGCCACCCGCCAGAACATTGCCACAGACATGAACACCGCTTTGGGAGAAATGGAAGAGCAGATGGACGCCATCCAGCATATGTTGCGGGCAGAGCTCAAGTGGCAGCTGGCTGTGCAGAATTGGACGATGGAGGAGTTGTACCGATTTGGGGACATGCTGTCGACGAGTTCTCGCGCATCACATCGAGAAGTGGTGTCCGGTCAGAGATTGATGGAGGGAGAGTATTTTTGAGGTGCTGGTTCGTCCTCCGATGTCTTCGTAACTGTACTTTGCGAAGCATTCTTGATTGTAGACCGTGGGCTAGGTACAAGTCCAATGCTTGCGACGACGTCGGCGACGTTCAGAAAACCGCATGGTAACTTACTTGAGCGTTTCCAACGGCGATATCCGACGTCCTTGCCACTGGTTCGTTCACGCAGTTCCTTTCGCCATGAATGATTGAATCGGAGAATGCGTTTGGAAAGGTTGACAGCAACACAGCCACGATCGCGATCCATCAAACGCGCTCACATGATCACGAACTGCCACACCCGCCTATCTCCGTCAGTTTGATTCTTGTCCGAAGACCTGTTACGACCTCCGACAGTCCCATGCTTTTATGAATGAGCCCACTTGATCACTATAACCGCAGCCTTCGGCATGGAAACTTGGTGGAAGATAACAAATGGAATGCTGTCTAGTAAAGTCGGGTTCGAGTGGGCAACGGGGGGTCAGAATTATCTTAACTCTCCGGCCATTTATTATGCCCGAGACCTTGTCATGTCTCGGGTGAGCGATAATTCATGCGGATTCTTTCTGCTTGGATACGAGTTGGAGTTCAAGCATGACAAAACCACTTCAACGATGTTCGGCTTTCCACTCGGAAACGTAGCCAACTGGAGTTGAAGCTGAGGGATTATAGAGGCTATACTACACTGTATGTTTGTTACTCAACTGAGCGCCAATACTTATCCTTCCTTCCTGTACTTCCCTCGCTCCATCCATCAACCGGATCATCGTGATGCCGGACCGTATCCTAATCTACTAGTCTTATCTTCTACCAGGTATGCAATTGTACCCAGGAGCGCCTACCGAGACGCGTCCGAGCTTGTATGAAGCACTTCTTTTCCTTCGGAAATGTCCTCTCACAGCTTCTCAGACTCCCGAAGCTGGCCGTAAAGCCCTGGATCAAACCCGCCGCAGACGACCTCGTTCTCATCAATGCCCGCGTCGTTGACCCCGCCACCAGCTCACTTCTCGATGGGCAGCTACAAATGATACGGATCGAAAACGGCCGGATTCGTTCAGTGGTCCCAATGCAGAACAACATGGGGTCGCAAGACAGGACCAAGAAAGTTGATCTGAACGGAAAGTTTGTGTGCCCGTGAGCCTACGATCACGGTCCCGGTGCTTTTTGCTGAGATGCGATTATCATGTTAAAGAGGCCTTATTGACTGTCATGTTCATGTTACTGCTGTACCTGGGGTCAAGGCAAGTTATCGTCTTCGTGTGCGTTGCGTTGGGGTCTAACGCTCAAGTCGGAGAACATGGGCGAGTTCGGTCAGATGCTTGAGCAAGACATCAATCTCCGTACTGCGTATGTTCTCAAAGGTAACTTGAAACCTGCCCATAGCGCTCCTCTCTAAAACGAGTGTCTAGAAATGCTCCTACGTGGATTCACCACAGTTCGCGACACCGGCGGGGCTTCCAAGCGAGTGGCCCTGGCGATAGAAGAAGGCCTGTTTCCGGGTCCCAGATTGATTCAGTGCGGGAAGGCGCTTTCACAGACAGGTGTGCTCATGTTTAGATCTTGTACGAGATTTGTCTTGCCAATTCAATAGGCGGACATGGTGATTTTGAACCGGGACTTTCCGGTGGCTCGTCGACGAGCTGTTGCGGCGGTCATTCCAAGGGACTGGGACGTGTCGCAGACGGAGTTCCCGATGTTCTCAGAGCTGTGAGGGAAGAATTGAAGGCTGGGGCAGATTGTGAGTCCGTCGCTGAATCGCAGTTCTCACCTTGCTCACGAGCGCAGTCATCAAAATCATGGTAGGCGGTGGAGTGGCGTCTGAGACCGACGCGATCGAAACCGTGCAATACACCGCCGAAGAGATCAAAGCCATAACCACCACCTGTAAACAAATGGGAGGCAAGATGAGTAGGCAGCTCCGCTATCGCGAGAGATGTGAGCTGACTCCATCCAGCAACCGCACATGCATATACTGTAGAGGCCATCCGTCATGCTATCGATAACGGAGTTGCCGGCATCGAGCACGGAAATCTGATCGACCGCCCAACCGCTGATCTGTTCGTCCTCTCTCGTAAATGAGAACTCGACTACTGAGACAGGTACAAGGATGGCTTCGAAAGGAATATTTGTGAGTCAAGCGCGCAACGGCAGGGTAGCGCCTGCTTATGCGCCGTAGTTGACACCAACCCTGTCTTGTTATGGTGGGCGCTGCGATCTATGGTCTCCGACTCTCTAAATTTTGGTCCTAGGCATCATGGTTCGCCCTCCCTTCGAAGACTTCCTCCCTCCAGATGGGAAGAAGAAGAACGCTCAAGTGATGGAACAAGGTCTCGCAGCCCTCAAGATTGCACATGAAGCTGGTGTAACGATCTGCTAGTGAGCTGGAACTTCATTAGCACCCATCCAGCCGTCGATTAAAACATGGTAGTGGTTCAGATCTGCTAACCTCTCTGCACGCACTGCAGACGGAAGAGTTTGCAGTTAGGGCAGCAGTCTTGCCATCTCAAGAGATCCTCCGGCACGCGACCACGAACGCAGGTGAGTCGCGCAGTCGTTGGGTGTGCATCAGCCGAAGTTGCTTCCAAGCAAAAATGCTGGGAAAGGCGTCGCTCATCGGAACCATCTCGCCGGGAGCTTTCGCAGATTTGATTGTGCTGGACGCCAATCCTCTCGAGGATGTGACCGTGCTTGACAGACCAGAAGACCATTTATTAACTGTGATGAAGCAAGGTAGAGTGTACAGCAGTAGGATTGCTGGTTTGGTCGTCGATTCCTAGTGCCCGGTCTAGTTTATCAGGCGCATTGTGGAACTGCCAAATCACCCTTGACTCGGGCTGCTGCATTTTGTACACTGGATGATACAATGAAATCATAATGCCTCGGCGGCGGAAATGTAAAGAACTGCAGATCCTCAGAATGGCGTCTTTAGCGAGAATATGTTGTCGTGCGCACCGTTGTTGCCTCGAATGAACGCATCCCCGTACCGATTCGTGACCACACCGTTCACATGCTCCTCCGTCTGCTCCAGCGCGATGTTCATATACCCATCAAGGCATGAGAGAAGCCCTGGACGACAAGTCAGCTCGCTACTCTAGATCGCGAAACACCGCCTACCGCGGTAGTCGACCCCAGAGGTCAGACGCACGATCACTCTTTTGCCGACGACACCTTTGAGAAAGTCGGTCGGAGAGCCAGTGTGCGTAGGTGGTGCAGGTGGAGGTGTATTGTCTTGAGGCGGAGGAGGAGGTGGGGGAGAATCGTCGTCCATGAAAGCAAGAACGAAGAACAAGCTTGCTGTGATGGGAAAATGATCGAGGCAAATGCAGGTTGGCCTCAAGTTTTCAGAGAGTTCGATGCTCTGCGTCGAAGTGGACTGGTTGACTACATGATACACAATGGATAATTATCGATACGCAACAATCATTCTGGAGGCTTTCTCTCTCGAATTTTACCAGCGCGGGCAGCTTGGTCCCGCACAACTTCACCTTCTTCCTTCCATTGCTTCTTCTCGTGGGCATCCCATTCATCTTTGGCATCAATCCAGCGTTCCTGCACATCCCGAATATCATCTGCGGGACCCTTCATCGTACTAAGCGCACTGGAGAACAAGCCGAACGCATTGGGACGCGATGACGGCGCCGAGTCACTCGTATCAATGGTGCCCGGCGGCGCATTCGCGTTAGACGGGGGGATGAAGACGTAGCCCGTTGCCCGGTCGATAGCCCTTGTCAAATGTAGCATCGAGTTTTTATCCTGCACGCCTGATTAGCCACGGACGTAAGGGGCATGGCTACGCATGCGTACTTCGACTGCCAAAGTCTCGAATCCTACCAGACCGAAGTCCTCCACGAGAGAGATGATCGCCATATTAAGAGCGGCATATCGTGGAGTCGAAGCAGATAGTGAATTCTCCAAGTAGGATAGATCTTGGACCTCGGTGTAGAAATCCAGATTGAAGTCTGGAAAAATCATGAGGTTGGAAATTTGGGTGGCGGAAAGTGATGTACCCAGCTCGCCATACTGTGATATCAGGTCAATCTTGGACAAGACATTGATATGTGGCAGTTCCAGATGCAGCATGGCACGGAGGGAGAGCAGCAGTATGGAGATGTACTTGGCTGCGTCTGTGATATAATGGGCATCGCAAAGATGCACCGCGGCCAGCTACTGGCTCTACATATAAGCACATGATCAATGTAGACAAAACTGTACCAGGCGCACCCGAAAGCCTCCTTTGGTAAGCTTTTGGACGATGTGCTTGACGCTATCATGGTTCGTGCTCAATTCGACCTGGCCCGGAAGATCGAAGAGCACATAGGCGTCCTTGCCAAGTTCGTTCAAACGTTCTTCCAACCAGTCAAAGTTGGCCTCGAGGTACTCCATGCAGTAGAGCAGTCCGCCATTGGGTCCCAGGCCGAACTCATTCATCACGTCTTGCAGCGTGATGAGCGAAGATATATCGATTGCGCAGGGATATGTGATATTTTCATTCGCGGGATCCAGGTTTACAACGGCGATAGGCCGATTTAGAGCGGTGAACAGCTGGTGTTTCCCATAGCAGTACGTGGATTTCCCACTCCCAGGAGCCCCACATACCACTTCGCCGCACGGCATCTGTGCGGAGATAGGGTGTGAGGAAGGAGACGAATGTTTTTGATCGCTCAGCAAAGCTTCAACACAGGCAAACTCAAAACACAAAGTATGGAAATTCAAATGGGGTCGTTCGTTCGTGCAGGATCAACAAGCAGGTACTAAAAATATAGTGGGCAACAGGGTCATCAGGTAGTATAATACAGTCCGTGAAGTGCATGCATGGCAGCCAAAAGGCGGCGGGTCAAATAAGTGGAAGTGGTATGTGTGGGTGAATGCGCATAGCGCAGGCGAAGGAGACGATAAATTACAGAGCCAATGAGGAAACGGGTTCGATGAGGCGCACTAGAGAGCCAGTGCAACGGCAACGATGGCAACGAGGCCGACCAAAGCCGTGTTTCCGGTGACAGAGACCGCTCCGCCAGTCGGGGATGGTGAAGGGCTCGAAACGGAGCTAGAGGGAGAAGGCGAGGATGCAGGTGCGGTGGACGATGCTGCCGCAGGTGCGTTGGATGTAGTCGAAGCCGGTGCCGCTGCCGAGCTGCTCTTGCCAAGAGACGCGGTGGCGGAGAACTCAGCACCAATAGCGGATGAGATGGTCACACCCTATTCGAAAGAATAGTCAGTTATTGACTCGGTTGGAGACGCTGTACAGTACGCACCGAGGCAAGACAGAACTGGTACGAGACCGAAATGGCCTGAGCCAGGTCGGTGCCCTGACAAGACGTCTCAATGCACCCAAAGGTGCTCTGAATGAAGTTGCTGTTATGGCAGAGGCAGTCGTTGTTGCCAGAAGCGCAGTTTCCGGTGTCGGCGTTAGCCAGGCAGGATTGTGCGCAAGCTACAAGAAGGATTGAGTGAGTCGAAGAGAAGAAAAATCATGGTCACGGACTGGGGTACTGGCGACGGATAGAAGTCGCAGCGGTGGAGGCCGCGAAAAGGGAGATGATGGCGAGGACGGAGAAGCGCATGATAGATATTGGGTGGTAAAGACGGTGACGTTTGCAACGGGAAGGCGAAGGGGAGGGTTGCAGACAGGCGCAAGAGAGCGAATGAAAAGTAACTCGAGGAGCTGCTTGAAGAAACGGAGAACCTCGCGACGCGAATTTATACCCGGCCGTCCGGGTGTTGATGACAGTCACTCGATGATGCCTTTGTCCGAGTTAAGCGATTGTTCCATGGCGGACAGTGAAGCGGACGATCAGAACAATGGCCTTCCGAGCATACATGCAGGGACACAATGGGAACCGCCAATGGAGTACAATGGTTTTACTGTAGCCGTAACAAAGGAACGTCCCGATTGGGAAACAAACAAGGCACCCAAATAAGGGCGCATGGTCTTTGACGTGATTTCGGTGGGCGCACTTGACACTACTTGACAGATGGATGTGACCCACAAAGGTGATCAATGTGACGGTCTCCTGTCACGTGGAAGTAGATTCCACGTGAGCTCACGTGAAACTGAGCAGCATTCTGCCAGATCCGGTCTTGGAATTTGCTCAACGACACCCAATCCCGCCGCAAGACATGGTGAGCAGACCAGGCATTCTATTTCTCTCGTTCAAGTTCTCACTCCCTCGTCATTACAGGCCCCAGCACCCAAGAAAAAGGTCCCTCTTGGCTGCACCTCCGTTCGACTCGTCATTAACTTCTTGGCAGACCGGCGGCAAGACCCGCTCTGCCCTGCAAGATGTCGTGACCCGTGAATACACGATTCATCTGCACAAGCTAGTGCACGGTCGCTCCTTCAAAAAGCGTGCCCCATGGGCCGTCAAGTCCGTCGTCGATTTCGCTCAAAAGGCCATGGGAACGCAGGATGTCCGCCTCGACCCTGAGTTGAACAAGGAGATCTGGTCGCGGGGCATCAAGAGCGTGCCTCATCGGTTGCGTGTTAAGCTCGAGCGTGCGTGGATGGATCACTCAGATGTGGTCACTCGGCTGACCACATTTCTCAGGGAAACGAAATGACGAGGAGAACGCAAAGGAGAAACTGTACACATACGCATCGTTTGTCTCGGTCCCGACATTCAAGGTGAGTTTTTTTTGTCGTCTTACTACGAACTTTCGACTGACATGTCCCGCAGGGTCTGCAAACTGTCGTCGTTGATGCCGAGTAGAGTTGCCGTCGTTTCTTTCTTCCGTACCATGTCAAGCATATTCTTCCACCATCCCTATGCTATGCCGCATGTCTCATTGTAACTGGACGAACCGTGAATCTATGATCACCTGTGTCGTAATCTTGTGCGCCATGTTCTTGTTCTCCAAACCTTTTTTGCTTCCACCTCTCGTGTCTGCGGTCACTTGCGGTCGCCTCAGATCAATCGAGATCGAGACCACATCCCTCGGACCATGGTGCTGAATTCTGCGGGTGATGTAACTGGTTTCATCCCTTTTTACCATCCTTGCTAAGACGTGTCCAAATATAGCGGCCCGATAAACAGTACTCGCGAAGACGATACCGGTTCCGTGCGCGTGCAGTGCTATTTATGACAGATCCCCGCATTGTGTGCATTGTGTGCTTTTACTGAACGAAAGCAAGCGCGTGTGCGCAGGTGTGTACCGTGTCTATTTCTGGAACTGTTACGAAGGCCGTTAAGAGCATCCCCTTCTCTTACTTTGATTTCGACATCCCGCTTGACTTTGACTCCTTGCCCTGGGCTGGTCCCTGGCCGACTTCGCCTTATAAACGTATTCAACGGCCTCCATACTAGACAACCTCGCCATGCTCCTATTCGCATGCCTCGCTCTCTTCATGCACGCGTCGGCGTTTCCCATCGCACATCACACTTCGCGGGCTATCAAGTCCGATTTCCCTCTCAGTGCGTCGCCATACCCGACGAACCCAACGACAGGCTGCTCTCAGCCCTCGACATGGCAGTTTAGCGCGTCAGGCCATAAGAACCTGACTCTCGGTGACCGCTCATTACTGGTTCACATCCCCAAGGATTACGATCCTTCAATGGCGCACGCTCTTGTCGTCTCCTTCCACGCGTTCAAAATGAATGGTGCAGAGCAGGAACGGATCAGTGGTTTCTCTGAGCCCGGTTTGCGATTGAACGGGAAAGTGAGCCTCCCTTCCTTTCATTCTTCTGACCTGGGTGATGACCGCGCTCAGGGAATCGTCGCGGTATACCCAAACGGGCAGTTTGGGCCAGGAAAAACCGGAAACGAGAGTATACGCGCCTGGCAGGGTGCACCTTATGCAGCAGTGCGTTTAAGGTCAACACGCTTTCTCATAACTCATACTCCGATAGAAAGGAGTAGACGACGTATGCGGAAGTTGATGCTCTGAACCTTCTGCATTTTGACCCCCAGAACAGATTGCCTTCACACAGCAGATGATAGAGGCCTTGTCTGGTAATCTATGCCTAGATTCTAACCGATTCTATGCTTCGGGCAAAAGTAACGTGCGTGAGATACGATCCTTGCGCATCTGCTGCTCACGGCAAGGGACAGGGAGGTGGATTGACGAATCTTCTTGCTTGCACGCCTGCCACAGCCAACCTGTTTGCTGCATTTGCTCCGGTCTCGGCGGCGCTCTATGCTGGTGCCAATCCTGCCGATTGTTCTCCCGGGAGACCGATTCCTCTTGTCAACTTCCACGGCCTGGCAGACAGAGTTGTTCCGTTTGATGGGCAGTTGGCAGACCGGGAGGGGAATACGGAATGTGCGTTCCGGGGTTCTGCGGATTCTGTTCTATCCTCTGACCGGATCTACAGACGCGACTCCCAATATCAGCCAGTATCGAGCTGCATGGGCGGAACGAAACGGATGTGCCGCACACAAGGCCGCGGTTATTGTGACCGGCAGCAGCTCGAATCCGCCGCCGGGCGCGCGATTGGGTCTCAACGCTCTTGTGTCGCATCCGCATGTGAACACCACGCTCAAACAGTCCATCTGCGCCGTGGGATACACGCCAGCAATTGTGCAGGGCTTCACGGTCAAAGATCTGGGTCACTCGTGGCCCAGCACTCTTGGACTCGATGGAGGAGTGACGGATTTCAATGCCACGACTGCAAACATCCTACCGTTCTTTGACGCACATGCGTTGGGCAGCAATGAGAATACTGCGGCTTCCATCTAGACGAGGCACTTAAGCTTGACGCTCTATCTACTAATATCTGTCGATGCATCGTGTAGTCATTTGCCAGTGGACTGTCTTCTTGAACCTTGCGCACACTCCAGTTCAGTTACCTTCCTAGATTATATTAGCCAAGGCAACTTTCAAATAAACCTTGACATTTGAGCCGCTGCGAACCACGCTCTTACCTAATTCTGAACGTGTATGTGTGTGCTGGAATAGACGCTGTAATCCAGAAGTTGACAGGATCCATCCGCATGTCCTGTTGAAAGATTCAGGGACCTGGAGGGTGAGGCAGACAGATAAGCGCCGTTTCAACGTAAGAGGGTGGTCGATTATCTGGAAAAGCGTTGGGGAGACCTCCAGGAAACATAGCATTATAAATTATGGTAGACTGGACCACATGAGAGATGAACTGCATGTGGTAGTTGCTTGAGATTATGAACGATGCTTCGGTTCAGCAACTCACCGACTACGCGGCGTGGATAGATGGTTGATACCTTTCGTAACGCCGTCCCCGCTTCACACTGCCGGTCCACTTGACCTCCACAACGCGAACGCTTTCCTCACAACCAAGAAGCCGAAGAAGGCGCCGAGAATGTAGACGACTATACGCCACGTCCGAAGACCGCCTTCGCCGATCCCGAAGGCTTGCCCCGCGCGGCGCGTTGTTTGGGCCAATGTGGCGCCAAACGAGCTGAAACGATCACCCTAGGCTCCTTGAGTACCCAATATAGGACTGGGAGACTACACACTGTCTCGTCCAGCATAAGGTTCTGCCGCTCTACGTCGTCATGGATGTCTGTGGTGATCTGCAGTATATATAACGATTAGCATTAGGGTCGGGCGGGTCGGAGCCACCGAAGGAGCGCACCCCACGCAGCGTACGGAGCTTCCCGTGAAGCTCATCTAGCCTTTGGTCATTTTGGGATTCGTAGGTATCCTCAAGCGCGCGATCCCTAGACGTGGACATGGTCGTTCTTTCGAGGTGAGGCACAGTAATTGACGGCCGTCGGATGGAACTGATGGCGGCCGCATAGCCACATCCCATGTCTCTGCCGCAGGCCCACTACGACCCGAGAAGGGTTTGCCTCAACCCGTTTCCCAACATCGAGTTGGGAAAACATCGCCGCACTCTTGGTGTATACCTCGCTGGGGGTCTCGTGCGTCACCACCGAACTCTGCTGACTGGAGGGTGTTGATTGTGAATGCCGTAGTTCGCACTAGCCAATTGGCTGTTCTTAGACGCATGCATCGTTTCCGCTCACGCAAAGGCTCCCTGGGGTCAGCCTGACACCCCTGTCCCAGTCCACGTCTCATTCGTTGACTGGGTGCCGGGAATTTGCTCTCTCCTCGGATACCTCGTCATCAACCTTATCGACAAGGACCGTATCCGTGGTGAGGACTTTGGAGACCCTCGCGCTGTCTGGAGAGCCCGGCTTTTTCTATTCATCGGGTTTGCCTTGATGGCAGGTGGACTCGCGGGTAGCGTGGTGCGTGCATTTGATCCGTCATCTTGCGAACGCAGCTCACTACTCGTGCGCGATGTCCCAGAGCTTACTTGTACTGAAGTACGTCCTTCCGGCACATGACGCCCAGTTCAAGTACTATGGCTACGCGGCCGTCTCCCAGAACGTTGCCCTCATGCTGTCTGTGGTTGTACTGTGGATGGCACAGCACACAACAGACGAGTACGAATACCAACTCACTCTCTGAGCGGTCTAATTATCCAGATGTTATCTATGCGTGTGTGTAATCATGTTGTCGTGTCCCCGCTTGTACAACTCCAAAAGAGATCATCCGATTAGATCGTCAATCAGACCCGCTCACATCCTCGGCGGCGCCACTGGCCGCTGGAATCGCCTCTTCCTTGCGTTCCCATACTTCGTGTATGAGACTGCGCGTATCTTCCAGCCCGCGGTTCCGCGTACTTGGACTTGTCATTGTTGTTCCCAGACTGGCCTGTCTGCCATGTCCGCGACGGAAAGGTGTGGGGATCGTTGACGGAGCGGACTCGGAGGCTGGGCCGACTGCGGAGTCAGCAGCGGGCTCTGGATCGGGTGCCGACATGAGAGCCTTGCCCTGCTCCGAGCTCGCGTCAACCAGTTGCGGAGGCAGTCGCTCGTTCTCGATATCTGATATCCGACTATGACATGTTAGCCTTGGAGGCCTGTCCTGAAGGTGACTAGACAAGACTTACGCATCCTCAAAGCCACTGATGGCAGCCTTGATGCCCTCAGAACCGGAGGCCAGTGTCCCATACGGCAACTTGGCGGACCCAGATATGTTCTTGAGCTCCGACACTTTCTCCGACTCCTCTCTGCACAACGGTCAGCGACGGACGGCGTGATTGAGAGAGGGCGGGAGCGAACCGAAGTAACGAGAATACCAGAGACATCCGGCCGACAGCCATAATCTTGTTTTTAATGACCTGCTGCCTGGCTTTGGTGTCTTCAGTCACAGTCGGGGAGGACGCTTCGTCCCGCTCCTCCAGTTCTTCCTTTGTGCACGTGTTCAGCACTGCGACGAGCATGTGCGTGACTGCGAGATAGTCAGCACTGCCTTGGCCGAAAACGGTATCATGTAAATCAAGCGCACTCTTCTCTCCGACGAACGGCAGACTCCAGGTGAAAACATCCATAAAGTTGGGGAGCCAGTACGGATGTGGACTGTAATTGAATTGGCGGATGTTCATCACATCGTTTTCGTATCTTGTGGAGATGATCAGCTAAATAGAAGCACAGCGCGTTTGGTAGCCCACTTGATGACAGCAGCCTTATTGTTGTACACGTCCAAGTAGTTGGGTGCTGAGAAGATCGTCATGAGCGAGGGGAACTCCGCCACCCGCCCGTTCCGGTACATGCGATACCTGGCAAGCATGCATCAATGATCAAGTGCATTCATGGCCGAAGAATCATTCACCCCTTGTCCTGAGCTTCATGCGCTCTGATGACAGACGTAAGCTTGTTGCGTTCGAGGAAGGCGCACACAGCATGGTATCTGATCGGGCTCAGCGCGGCGCACGGCAATCGCAGAGATGAATCCTGACGTGAAAAAGTACGAGCATCCTCGCACATGATTGTGCACGAAGTGATCGGTCGTCGTCTCCGAGCCAAAGTTCTCTATAGGATCTGACCACAAGATATCGCACATGAGGCCCTGGTTCGGTGGCTCGCGGAACCGATCGATCTGTCGCACAGATTAAGCAGTGCTCGTCGCTGGAACGACGCAAGTAGCGGACATTGCGGATGTCGTCCAACGTGTTCAGCTCCGGGGACAAGCCGCCGTGAATGCACAGGAACCGCTTATTCACAACGGCAGCAAGGGGCAGAGCACAAAAAGAGTCTGTGCAGGCGTCGTAAAGTCGTTCAGAGTATTTGTGCTTGCCTGTCTGTCCCATTAACAGTGCGCCGCGGATGAACAACAATAAACGCACACTCGAGCTTGAAGGTAAAATAATCCGTCAAATGGCGGCATTCGTGGTTGCCACGGAGCAAGTAGACGCGAGTAGGATACCAGATCTTGAGAGCCCACAGATACAGAACGCACTGGATCCAGTTGGAGACATGGAGGTCTGATATAGCAACAGCAGCGCACCTCCACACTGAAGTATCCACGATCCACGTAGTCACCCAGGAAGAGGTAGGTCGTATCTCCTGGGTTGCCACCGAAATCGAATAGTTTGACGAGATCATACTGCACGATGAATGAATGAGTACTGCATCTGCACAGCTCAGGAACCCTGACGACGCACGTATTGACCATGGATATCTCCACATACTTTCCCACAAGATGGTGAGCACGAGCAGAAGATGACTGGCTCTCAGCACACACTCGTTATGGATCCTTCCAACGGGATCAGGTTCGGCTCCTCTTTCAACAGCTCTGTCGCCTGCTCGATGATATATAATGCTTGATCCTCGCTCAGACGGCCTTCCCGGTAGAAATGGTTCTTCAAGAAGGCGATGTCGGGCTTCGTGGGATCACTCTTGGAGAAAAACTGCTCAGGTGTCGGAATCGTCATGGCGGGCGCTTGCACCTAGATCGCGTCAGCATGGGACTCGGAATAGCCTGAGCGAAACGGGTTAAGGATGGCCATGACGATCGATTCTATCCTCTGTCCACCCCCACAGACCTACATCGGGTCACGGACCGAAAGTGATACTACTCACGTCTTTGATCACTCGCTCCTGCGTGTTAACAGTCGTGCCGTCCTCGAGCACATGTTGCGTAAAGTCAATGGTGGGAATGCCATTTCGGAGCTGAAGCTGCTCGATGGCGTTGCTCAGTTGCTCCGCGCCGCTGGTGCTCATGGATGATGAGAGAAAGCGTCGGAACGAATCTGAACGAGCGATTGATGCAGATGGCCCTGTCCATCAGCCGTCTCTCGTAACACAGACCGCCCGAAGTCTATCTGCGAGATTAACATGAGAAAACTGGAGCCAGGAGGCTGGAAGGAGACTGAATCATTGACACGGCGTGCCGAAGTACAGAGTACACAAAGGAGTTGACGGTCGTGCCAAAAGTGACCAGCGAAATAAGTGACCTCGCATCAGATCGGAAACCCGAACACATCACCACGCCACTGTCTTCTTGAGCACCGCACGGCGGCATCCGAGTCCACGCGCTCAGTATCTGCTTCTTTCTCGGACCAGCACACTATTTCCCCCCACCCCACATTCATACAGTATGGCGGCCAGCAAGCCCTTCGATCCTAATGAAGCTCAAAATCTCATTGAGGTGCAGTTGCAGTCGCATGGATGCGACCGATCTATTGACGCGCCGCCGGTATAGATCGAGAAACAGTACGTGGCCTCATGGCACCCAACGAAAGAGCCAAGGCTGAGCGAGACCCACTTCCAGGTTTGCCGTCAAGGCAGTCGAGCAGGCACAGGTGCGTCACAATCACCCACGGGACGTTTTCCTGGCCGACCGACTCTCACGATGATAGACATACTGGAACCTCCTCGAGAAAGTCGCTCCCCGGGATCTCAAGCTGACGAAGTCTGTCTCTCCAAGAAACCATATCGAAGTATCAGCCCCGTTAAGAATCTTTCTTTAGACTCGATGATGAGATCTTCGAACACACGATGAAGACGTTCCCTGAGCTCGCGGAGAACGGGCACGCAAAACTGATTCAGCTGGACGAGGATTGGATGAAGAGCGCGTCGGGTAAAGAGCGCTGGCGCGAGTTCATCGAGTCCTACAGAAAGAAGATCAAGGACTACAACTTTGGTTCGCTCATCCGGACCAATGCCAAGGAAGAGTATGGAGAAAAGAACACGATATTCGTGACCCGGATACAGGTACGTCCGAGTCCTCTATGTGCTCATGGAAACTGCTTAGCTTACGCGCGCGCTGCAGTTCTATGCGTTTGAGGTACGACCTACTTCGTTCTCTTGCCTGGTCTCTAGCGCGTGCTCAGCACCATCATCCTCTAGATCTCTCGCAACCGTCTTGGTTTGAACGATGCGGCACATACCCTGGCAAAGGAGGAAGCCGCAAAAGAGAAAGCAAAGGAGGAGGCTGCGAGCAAGAAGAAAAAGTCATCCTAGGGTCGGTCCTATCTCTTGTTTCATGTCGTCGACTTGACTGACGATCCTTTCTAGCTACCGTCCGTTGATAGGGTATTCTACTTGTCTGCGAAGGTTTACATCCTCGCTGGCAACATGCAAACATTCACTGGGTCGTGGTGACAGATTCAGTAGCCGACTTCCCATATCATGTGGCTAAAGCGAGTTTTCCGGGCCGTACAACACATCCGCCTTGATCACCCTGCAGCCAGCTCGCCCATTTGCCTTTTGAGCGTCATTGACCTGCCTTACTGAGTTTCTTGCCAAGCGGTCTGTCTTGCACGCTGACGGTCTCGCTCCCACCTTCGGCGCGTCCGAGTTTGGAGAGAACAGTCGATTGGAACACAGCTTCTTGCGGCTGTGCTAATAAGTCCAGACACGGGTCCTCGAGGGACCGGTGGGTCTCGTCTCGCAGCAAACTCAAGTGGCGCTAGCAAATGGCTAGTAGTTACTTCTGACTCGTAAGACCTCGATCGCTGAAGGCAAATAGAGGATCGGATACGGTACTGGCGCACTGACTAGCAAAGCGTCCACCTCGCTTCCTCGGCCATGACTCCAAGTAGTACGGATAGGTGATCAAAGCCATAAAGTGACGATCTTCAATGATTATCAGATTAGATCAGATTAGATCAGATCAGATCTTCAGTAGCTTGTCTCCTTGATCATCTGGGTACGCATTTCCACAAACCTCTTATAGTAAAGTTGTTGGGGACGAAGATGAGAACCTGCTGTGAAAACAAGAGTCTAGACCCATTCTAAGACGGTCTTAGTTCATTTCGAAACAGAATCCGTACGTGTTGCCTTCGAACTAAGGTCAGGGTCAAAAGGAGCTCTGCGTCGCAAGAGGAAGACCAGCAATTCTGATTCAGTTGTTTCCCGTTCCTCATTCACACGTGGATAGCACGAAAGCCGGATGGATAGGTGGAGTACATATCCTTAGCGTAATTTACTCTGATTCTGTGGGTCCCCCAGTTGCACGTCACGACCGTATCATTGATTGCAAGGGCCCCTGCCTGATTGATCGGCAGGGACTCTCCTTGTCCAAGCACAAGGTTGCACATCCATCTTTATGTGAACGAGAAGACCGCTTCTTGAAACAACAGGACCCGGTACGACGGCCACCAACGCCGCCTTCTGTTCTCGTTATCTCCTGAATTACGGAGGTTGATGGACGCCGTCGACACTTATTCTGTAAACGGCATAAGATGCTCGCCTTGGAATGGGAGCCATCGACGCCGCGAAACATGGCGACCAGATGCAGCGCCGCCAAACTTGAGCTTATCAAATAATTCCTAGATGATCACTCTAATCAAATCTCACGGAGGAGCGAGATAAAAAATAGTCTGTATGGTCCGAGCGGCTCGCAGTTTGCCTGATAGGTCACACATGATTGAGAGCTGAGATGCTGTGAAGACCATGTCTGCAACCGAAGCCGCACTGACCAGATTACAGAACGCACACATTGCGCACAGATTCTGTCTCCAGTGAGTTCAGGCCGATTCACCTTGGCAGATGACGATAGTTCGGGTTCCAAAGCGACATCAGCAAGATCAACACGGAAAAAATCGCCGCGGATGACCGTCCACTGCATCAAAAGTAAAGGCTAACAGTGCGAGCAGTGAAATCACCGGTAAAAAAAATGTGACGCCCCCCAGATACTGTAGGTTGTACCATCGTCCACACCCCCAAACCCCAAGAAAGGTAATTTTTTTATATCCGTAGCTGGGAAACGCAAACAGCGAGCTCAACATTGCCGAGATTGACATCTGACTCGAGGCCTGCAGCGAGGACGAAAAAACACGGGGTTCGCAAATGCAGCGGCCTTGACCTGTATCGTGCAAAATTCAATAGAAGGAAGGAGAGAGATGTATTGGTGGCTTCAAGGAGGTCGCGTCTCGTCGGTGTAGTCAAGCGGAAGCAGTCATCCAAGTGTCGAAAGGCCTAGTAAAAACAGAAAAGTATAAGAAGCGAAGCCGCAAAGCTACGCGAAATGAAAGGACCATATGTCCTAGTGGAGATGGTATGACAGAGGACGTCGGAAAAGGCAGCAACCGAGAGGTCCAGGCGGATGGATGAGTCATTCCCCTCGTTCCCAGACCCATTCCATTGGCCGCTGGCCGGTGAGAATGGGTTTTGTGTGCTCGGGTGCCTGATGCGCAGTGGCAATAGAACGTGTAGTCAACGAGGGCTCGCTGGGATGTGGAGATAGAGATAAAAAGAACTGCGTCCAGGCATATGTAAGAAGTTTTCCGGTGGGGGGCGTGAGTTGATGCGTCACATCTGCTGATGTTCAGCCAGTCGGCTATAGCGATCCGCGCAGCCAGGCGCAGCCCTTCATCAGACATGTAGCAAACATAAGCGGATCCCGCACCTTTGGACCCGCGGAGCCAAATGCCGAATATACTCCCGTCCTCTTCCGGAACCTAGAGGAAAAACCAATTGAATGCACGAGGCTGGGAAGCACGAGGCGGCAGGTGTGCAGCAGCACTGCATCGTATGCGTCTGCGGGCCTGCCGCCCATCCGCGATATGTGAAAACGACTGAATCGGTTGGGTGGGAATAGAGAGCTCGTCTGCTTGGATGGGGGCCCGCCGGTACCATGTGGGCTCCAGTACGAAGCGCTCCAGAGAAAATTCCCGACAAAGCACGTGAGTGCTCGTCATCGACATGCTGTCAGATGACATCTCGTGCGCCGGAGATGCGGCGAGATCGATCGGGCCTTTTGGTTTGAGTTCTCTCACAGAATCACCCCTACCGGGAAGAAGGCAGTTTTGATTCGCGCATGGCATGGGTGGCTCTAGAGGACGCTCTGGTATAAGTATCCACACTTGACAGCCGGAAGCTATCCTTTTCTCTGCGATCTTTTCCGACTCGACCCGCGCCCTCCCTCGCCTCCGCTCTTGTACATCTCTTCCTCCCGCGCCCGCCTCTCGCACCTCCGTTACCTTTCCCTCCCTCTCCCGCGACACCCCACCTCACATCTGGCCCTGGGAACAGCTCTTAGTATAGTTGCTGGAGATGAACGCGATCGGACAACGTGCGGCTCGCTTTATTCATTCATCCTTGCGAGTGCCTGAGGCATCTTCAGACCTCACTTGGGCACCGAGCTACCCATCGTCGCAGGAGACGGACTGCATCGCATCTTTCGCTTTCGCCTCAAACCTCACCCCATCAGAGTTCGTTGCGACTGAGGACTCCTCGCCGGCCTTCATCTCTTACTCCCCTACTGCGGCGACAAGGAAGCGCCGCCGGATCTCAGTGTCCACCAAGGATGTGGTCGGAGCGGACTCACCGCCCGAATCTCCCCGTAGCGCCGATGCCCCACGTATCCCTCGCCCGCCCAACGCGTTCATCCTCTTCCGCGCATCGTTCATTCGCGGCATCTCTGTCTCTGACGGCGCGTCCCCCGCCGCGATGCCCTCGTCCTCACACTCGGACACCAGCCTCTCGACGGCGCCAAGCGCTGCTCTTCCGACCGACCTGTCTGCGATCGCAGGGGCCGCTTGGGCTGCGCTTGGTGCTGACCAGAAGTCGCAGTGGTACGATAAAGCAAAGGAGGAGCGAGAGAGGCATCGCGAGCGATTCCCTGGATACACCTACACGCCGCGCAATCGAACTCGAGAGAAAGGCAGGCGGACCTCGTCGATGTCCGCGGCCTCATCCTCGTCATCAGACGGCGCATCGGGCTCGTCCACGAAGGAGAAACGGATCAAGAGAGATATCCCTCCCACCGACCACGAACGGTGCGCGCACATTGCCGCTCTGATCCTGTCCGGTCTTGCAGGCCCCGCACTCGACAGCGCACTGGAGCAATACGATCGAGACCGTAAAGCCGAAGCGGAGAAGAGCGGGAAAGGAGTCGTGCTGCGCTGGGCTACCGAGGAGGCAGAGAAAAGGAGTATGAAGTGTAAAACGAAACCCGAGGCTCCTGTGACCAAGGAGCGCAAGACGGCTACGCCGAAGCGACGAAGAGTCATGTCTGAGAGCGCCCTGACATGCATTGATTATGATTCCAGCTGCTCGTCCTCAATCGTCTCTCCTCAGTCTGCCGGTGGATTGTTCGATATGTCTACTGCGTTGTTCGACTTCGACTTTGACTCGTCGACTCTCGCCGATCCAGTCTCACCCACTCTATCTTATGCTTCAGCTGTCTCCCGATCCCCCGCATCATCATGTACCTCGGCGTCCTCGTCTTCTTCCTCACCGGCTCCAGGCACACCTTCCATGGCGTACTCGTCGCTTGCGGATGCGACTGGGTACGATGGGCTGCAGGCCACTTTCCAATATAGGGAGGGTGAGCAGATGATGTGCCTCAGCGGAGGCCAATTTGACCTCGAAGCTGCTTTCGAATCTTGGAACCAGTCTTGTTTCTCCGGATTCTCGTCCGAGTCTATGGACCCGTATGGCCACAGTCTCGCGCCGCCGTTCGAACCGAATCTTGGGCTCAGTCTAACCGGCTTTGACACTGAGCCTGTATCAACGGAGTATCCAGCGGGGATCGTGTGGTAATTTTGCACTTTTTTACGGTGCAACACGACCCTCGCTTACGCCGGTAAATATACCCTGATGGATGGATGGAATGTTGTACACCTCTGGGACTTTGTGGATGCCCCCCTCGCTGTTGTTTGTTGTCACCTCCCCTCTCCTCCGTTTCCCTCTCTCCCGACCCCTCACTCTCACTGTCTCGCCATCTCTTATTGCTATCGAATATCTTGCGCTACCTACCCCATCGGCTGTATCACCACGTTGCAATAGAATTTACATGTCCATTGCTGCCTCGAGGCGGCGGGGGCGGTCCAAGGCTGCAACGTGGCCGCGCGACTGGCCTCGCGGCGTGCGGCATCGATCCGGAGTGTCGGACGGTGGCTCAGGGTCCGCAGTGCGTGCTTCTTAATTCGGCATACAACCTTCCTTTTTGGGCTGCGCGGTCCGGGGGCCCGGGATTGCCGAATGTTCGCAGGGAAAAGCGTCCGCGGCACGGGCCCTGATAACATTTGGTGCAGCGTGCGACGAGGTCCTCGCGTTCTGATTGGAAATGTCTCCTTGCTTCCCGCCGGCTTCGAGTGGGAAAGCAATATTCATGTCAGGTGGAACTTATGTACTGGCGTAGGTCCGAGGGTTTAGCTTTCGAGAGTGACGTTGGATTGACGGAGAGTTGATTAATTTGGGGGGATAGTGCTCGGACCTTGGGCCTGGTGTTTGTCACCCACCCAACCAGCAGCAGCGACGCGCTCAAACGAGCAAAAACACTACGGCAAATAGCCCGGAGATTCTCCGCATCTCCCACATCCATCACCGCGAACGAATCAGGATCATGTGCTCCGCATTTCCCAACAAGCGAATAGAACGAGGAACGGGACGTTACATAAGTTCTCCAGACTAGCCAGCCCACGGTCAGAAACATTTCTGATGAGCAGCGGACCTGCCGGCGCACATAAGTCGGCGGGCCTGGGCCCGGGCCTCGTCATTTCCAGAGACTCACCATCCGATCAGTGCGTTCGAACTGAACTTTGCTCATCCGGTGCGCGATATCACGAGGCGGCGCCAATCTGCCAGATTTCTGGGGGCCGTGTTCCTGGGCCGCTGCCAATTTGGGATTTGTGGGCGTCCGCTAGGGCGAGCGCCTCAATCTAAACCGTTTGAGGTCAATAGCTCTTGTTTGTCTGGTGTTGGAACTCAGATGGGATGGGATTCCCGGGCATTCGGCGAAGTTGGGGAACATCGATGCGGTTGCACATTGGAATGTCACGCGCCACTACTTACTAGGGGGCAGAGAATGGCAACGGATCCAGGCTAGTAGAGATAAGATGAAGGTGCTAAATGGCAAGTCTTATCGATTCATCTCAATCGTTGGATTGCATTGGCATGTGCCATTATCTACTATCGCATCTTATGGGAGTCAAGATCCGGATAGTAAGTATGCAAGCAGGAACGTTTGTCCTGGACGCCTTCAGGTCTGAATGTGAACCTTGTCTAATCAAACCATTTACCGCTCGATATCGCCAGGCAGGAGAAACCCGCTGCCGCCAATCTGCTGTTTGAAACATCGGAGGACTGCGGCCCACATGCGACAATCTGACGTGGGTCCAGTGACCCTCACATCCAGTCGGATCCAGGTTCATTTTCCCAGTCACCGGTGCTGTACATAATCATGACGATTGTCTGATATTCGGCGGTGACAACCGACCACTTGAGCCTTCTATCTCGGGAATTATTGTCATGTTTTGTTCTCGATGGAGCGGGAGTTTCAGCTCACAGGCGGCGTCCCCTGCCCAAGCTGGACACCGCAGCTCATAGGTGGCGTATGCAATTGACTTTGTTCTCTCCAAAGTCACAACCCCCCGAGTCTCGATGTACGGCGAGGTACAGCTCATTAATGAATTCTCCATGTCCGCCTTCCCATACCTGGCTTGCTAGCACGAGGCACTGGATGCCACACATTTTTAGTGACATCAAGGTCCCGTATCACTGAGGAAGCTGTTCCTGCACACACGATCTGACATCTCGTACGCCACTTGTTCTGATTTTGAAGGTCCGAATTCACTCCCCAACTTGATCGCAAGGTTGCGCAAGCTGCGAAAGAGCAATGCATGTCTCGAAGATAGGTGGGAAAATGGTTAAGAGGATCTGGACTGAGAGCCGGAAAACATATCTCTGAACCGTCGTTGAATGCGCAGAACATGTCTACACAAACGTGCCATTTTTATCAATGCATCCTTCTCTGACAGAGCATCTCGGCTCCAATCCTTCCGGTTCGTTCCCGGAGTCCTGCAACAACAGAGCGACGACACCGTGTGCGGGAACCGCGGAGACCGTCACGTTGCGAATTGCAGTCCCGTTGGACGTGTGAGTCCAGAGGTCCTGGGTCGGTTCAGAAAAGGGATACTTGACAAAAATCCATCGCAAGAACGCACCCTGACGGAATAGGTTCTCCCTGCGCGCAGCCAGGGCGATTCCGTCAAATTGAACGTCATGTCCGCTGCTTCGTCGAGAACATTGATCTGCCCGTCCTTGTCAAAGAGGTCCTCGGCGCGCATGCAATGGACATCTTACAAGCATCACCACAGTCCCATTCTCACTCTGACCGCTCCAGTATTGCGCAGGATACTGTCGGCTGGGCGTGAAGTCGGGATTGACACCCCATCTAAATGGTGTCAGGGCTTTCCCGACTACGGCATCCTGGTTGATGGCAATGATCTCGTAGTTGGTTAGGATGGAGAGTGTCTCCTCTGTCATCGAAGCGAGCTGCCCAAAAGTAAACTTGACAGCCAACGGCTAGGCATATTATACTGATACACACATGCGTTCCCTGAAATTTTGATAAGAAAGCGAATCGAGTGGGATATAATTACCCGCTTACAATGAGAAGGGGAGATTTCAGTAGTGCCCAGACAGTAAAATGGGTCTTCGCTTCTTCATAAGTCAGGTCCCCGTTTCCGACTTCGAGCTGAATTCACGTCATTGGAAGGATAGTCGAGATCCAATCCACGAGGCACACCATGTCCAGATCGCCATGCCCGTAGAAATCTGTGGCCCACGATTGGAAAGAGTTTCTAGCCAACTTCAGCATCTCGTCGCAATCTTAATGTGCAAAGCGAAACGATGACGTACAGGTCGATGATATACTTGACCGAGTCCCAATTCGGAGCTGAGGCAGAAAATAAACACGGGCCAGGCGGCGCACACATTCAGGGACCCACTGATATCGTTTGTCGTACGCCAACTTTGGCCCAGATCTCTGGCCCACAGAGACGGTTGTTGCTGGGAAGGTCGTCGGACGTGTATTCAGTCGGTTTCAGGTCAAGACGTACCCTGCCCCATTCGCACAAAGACAGAATCATGGGCGCCTTTCCGCTGGTTTTCGATTGGGATGCGATAGCATCGGCCATGTGTGTGTAGCCTGTCCAGTAGCTCAAGTAACTGCGGGATCGGGGAAGGGAGCTGAGACCGACGTCCGATGATATTTTCATGTGTGATGTCGTCAAAGGGGACTGAATGATAGCGATTGTCAGATTTCCGAAGAGCACGAGTGAAACAGCATTGCCTACCAGCACAATTGTCGTACCTGCAACACGATCAGTCGGCGGAAGAGGTTGGTTGATTTGAACCGTCGACTTACTTCAACAGATCAAAGCCCCACTCCTCGTTGAAGAGCTTCACATCCCGCTCTTCGTTTTGGTACGATCCAGGATAGAGCGCGCACGTGAACCACCCAGCGTCGCTGTAGATCCCCGCTTTCCTGCACCGAGAACTCTTCTAGCACGCGATCAATGGCATGCACGAGCCACGACTTACAGTCCCAGCCCGTGAATCTTGTCCACCAACGACCGCATGCCCGACGGGAACTTGGCCGGGTCCTCAACGATGTCCCTGCCTCCGTGCGCTGCTTCAGCGAATAGCAGTCGTCGATATTGATGTAGTTGTAGCCGGCGATGTGCAGCCCATGCTGCTTCACGAGCGCGGCCGTTTCGAGTATGAGCGTCTCGTTGATGTCGCACTAGCGCAGGTTATGAGAGCCGGCCTGCATGGCTGAGGCGCAACGAAACATACGTGATACGCGTTCCAGCTGGAAGGACAGTCTTTTGTCAAGGAGGAAGGTCGGGGAAAACTTGTAGACGCACTGTTGTATCCCATGACTGCACGATGCTTAAGGTCAACTTGCCGCTATCCAAGCATCCCATGCGACGGCTCACCAGGAAGCCGGCCGACTTTATGCTCGGCGACATCCGTCAGATGTGCGGGACCCCACTTGAGCCCAACAAGTCTCATAGTCAACGAAGTCAGATTGCCGGAGTTGTGCACCGCCGCTGCCGAGAGAGACATCCCGAGCAAGAGACTGACGAGCGCCGTTGCGACGATCGACGCGCGGAGTGTCCATCCTCGTTCGAGGACGGAGGATTCTGGATAGCAGTTGGCACTACACGCCTCTTCTCGTCGGGCTTCAATTCCGGGCTTAGACCGAAACTATGCATGGCGCGCGTTGTGGGGAAAGCTGGGGAAAGAGGCGGTGGCGGTGCCTAACATGATGTCATTGTTGCATAACTCATGAGCGTTCGTGAGCGAGCGAAAGCCATCGAATGGCCTGGGATTCTGACACCTATGTTACAGGATAGTTTTGGTTACTGTACATCGAGAACTACTACAGAACGGATCGGGGCGAGCCATGCGTTAAGCGCTGCTCAAGTGGGAACCTCGCCCGTCGAGCCTCGCTTCCTGTATATCCAAGGGAGAGATGCTGATCCCGACGGCTCTAGAGCAGTGGGCGTGATATTGGCTTTGTCTGGCGTTGTGACAGAAGGCATAGATAGCACCGGTGAGAGACGTCGTGGAGCAAGAGAAGGGATGGCCGTCGCAGACTTGCCCGGGATGGACAAAGGGCGAATTTCGGGAAGGAGGCGCTCTCGCACAGATGTCGCGGCCACACCACCTGCTGACGGCAACAGCGAGGCAGACGGCGGTGGAGAAATCCATGTGTCAGTGTCATAATGGGAATGGTGCGCGAGTCCGCCCGGAGATGGCGGCGGAGAGTCTGGTACACCGACGAACGTCACCCTACGGGTGTCAGTCATTCGCCGAGATCTGCGAGCGACAGGCGAAGCAGCGCCACGGGTGGTCTGTCTCCCCTTAGAGATCAGGAAAGGACCAGAGATGCGCGACTTGATGATTCTGCCATTGCTGCGCACTCTATATCGTTTCAAAAAGACCCACGCGAGAAAAAACACAAGAACAAAGCCGAGGAGAGCGCCGATCGCAGCGCCAATAACACCCCTCCGGTTTATTCTGCCGGTGGGTTAGCATGAGCAAATGGTCCGGTCATTGTAGATAGCGGACATACGACGGATCATTCGAAGTCGCACCAGACGAAACAGGAGCGACCGTCGGTCGGGCAACTGGTGCTCCGGATGTTATCGAGGGATGGATGCTTGCCGAGCTTGGACTAACTGTCCCCGAGGTACCATCTGTCGTTCTGGAAGGCGCAACCGTACTGGCAATCGACAAAGAACTTGACAGGCCGACAGGAAGGGGCAAGACTGAAGAAGAGCTCGACAATTGGTCGTGTGAAGATTGGGGACGTTGAATCTGCGTCGGCGTGCTCACTGCCCCCGAAGATGTCCCCGCCGGTCGGCCACTTGTAACAACCTCAGATGAATGAGAGCTTCAGATGTAATCAGAACACGAACGCGTTCAACGGGAACAGCAGTACGGACACAGATGGGCTGGAAGACACCGCGCTCGAGCTCGCTGAAGCCACGCTGGATGTATTTCCGAAGATGATCACTACGGCAGAGAATACCTCGGTGGTGCTGAATGGAGGAGAGCTTAGAACGGGGATTGGTACCGGGAAGGCAGATGGTCGAGGCGCAGGTATCTCGGTTTGTGACGAGCCAGATTGCGTATCTGCGGTGTGCAGCGGAGCAGCAACGACGGGCGCATTCGATATACTAGAAGAGATCGCGATCGAAGAGTGCAGAACTGAAGAGGATGAAACCGCGCTGCAATGACCGGGTGAGCAGGATGGTCAGATGTGCCGAAACAAGCTCACCTCTGCGCGGCTGATTTTGGACCCTGACGCGGGCGAGTGCCCAAACGTCTTGCAAAGACGCTCATGGTGTAATTGAGGCGAAGAAGACTGGAGCGATGACGCGAATAAGCGGTCCGACGGACAAAGCTCTGGCACAACGACCCGTCGTTGGCGCAATGCCTATCGGTGCCCTAGCTGCGATGGCAAAGCTAAGTGGTGATACGCGGTGGAGATCCCAGAGGTACGACGTGGAGATCCTGGTAGAAGCATGCTGATAACCTGAGAGTTCGTGTCTTCGTGTCAGAGGATGCAGCAGCGATCAAGGAAAAGGTGAACCATCAACATCGCCATTCGGATGGTCGTGTGGATATCTGATCCCAAAATACGACCTTGACGACTTCTTGCGATAGACAACTCAGAAGATAAAGGTTCGACATTCGGACCAGATGCTCGGCGGCCTAGGAAGGAGAGTTTTAGAGGGGTGAGAATAAAGTAGTTGGTCAAGGAGTGTGATGTGCGGTAAGTCCCGTGCAACAAATTCCCCCTGTCACAAACCACAGCTAGTCTCCTTGAAGCAGACTACCCACAAGGCCTTCCGGTACTCAAAACCTGAATCAGCATATAAGGCACCAATGTGCTGAGTGCAAAGTCTGCCTTAGGGAGAATAACCACAGTCGACTATGCTTGTCCTGGTCGAAAACTAAGGGCTCCATGTATGCAATTTACGCGAATCGTTCTATGATCAAGGAATGCGAAATCGAGTACCAACTAGCCCATCACGAGAGCCATCGCAATGCCCCGCATATCCGGTAATATGTTCTGAGCTTTCTGGGCTTGGAAAGAGCGCCAGAACCCGAAGCCTGCGTGATCACCCGTGGAAGAGTTTTGGGTGGTTTTGAGCCTGGCCAGTGGGCTTAGTACGGTCGGATGTGCAGAAATGACCAGCTCCGAGGGGGATAAAGCAACTTTTCCCGGACCTTACTTTCGTTCAGCGGCACTCCTTCGCTTCCCTGCGAGCCTTGTTTCCGCTACTTATGCAATCCGACTCAGAGAAGGTCACTTCGCCACGAGCGTGGGGGAACGAGTGCGTATGCACGATGCTTGCTGTGAGCAGCTGAGTGATGGCCTTTGCAGAATCCAGAATCCTCTACATGGTATCCCGCGGGATAGGTTACTGGAACAAGTCCAGGTGACGGTGCAGGGCTTTCCTCGATGTGTGCCTTGACCCAATCATCACGCAGGCATTCGCACAGGAAAAGGGCCTGACGCATATCCTTCCGGAATTACGGAAGGGTGCTCTGCTCGCGCAGGACCCTACCAATTTCGAAAAGATCGATCTCTTGGACGATGCTGACCGTGCGGTCATCCGTCTCGAAACAACCCATAAGTGGAGACAACCGCGCGCGTTATATTTGACTGGTGCGCTCCGGCACCGCTCATCGGGCTTCATCCAATGCGAAGCGGCTCTTAGTCATTCTTTGTTCTATTGCTGCGGCCGTCCAGGGCTGGGATCAAACTGGTTCCAACGGAGGCATGCGAGACTACCATAACTGTGCTTGCTTCGATGCTGACAATGTCCCTTAGCTAACTTGAGTTTCCCTGAAGAGTTTGTTCTCTTGCACTCTACCGATACGCCATTGCTCACGACTTTGACACAGATTTGGCATCAGGTGTGTTTGTCATCCGCCATGAGCCTACTGAAACCACTGTTTCCTTCCAGCACCATGGACGCAGATCCCGCCAAAGCCAGTAGGAACCAATGGATCGTTGGCGTAATCAATGCCGCTCCGTACCTCTCTGCTTCTCTAATCGGGTGCTGGACTACGGACCCGCTGAACAACCTCTTCGGACGTCGTGGTGCTATCTTCATTTCCGCTATCTTCTGTGAGCCAAACACTTTGCCTTCTGTGATCGACGATAACCGCTGACCAGGCATGCTCTCGGTCATCGGATCTGGGTTCGCACAAACATGGCCCCAGCTCTTTGTCACTCGCCTGTTGCTGGGGATCGGGATGGGGCTGAAGGGCTCGACGGTGCCTGTTTTTACATCCGAGAGCTCACCATCATCTATCCGCGGCGGCTTAGTCATGTCGTGGCTCATGTGGATTGCATTCGGCGTCTTTCTCGGCTTTTGCGCCAATCTGGCTTTCTTCCAGATGGGCCGACTCGCGTGGCGCTTTCAACTTGGCTCTGCCTTTCTTCCCGCTCTGCCGCTGCTCATCGGGATCTTCTCGTGCCCGGAATCGCCGCGCTGGTTAATGAAAAAGAATCGCTACGAGCAGGCATATGAGTCACTGTGTCGTTTGCGCAACTCGGAGCTCCAGGCATGTCGGGATCTATTTTACATTCACTCTCAGCTCGAGAAGGAGTTTGCCGCCCTCGGCAAGTCGAGCTATTGCAAGCGGTTCATTGAACTATTTACGATCCCACGGATTAGGCGTGCCACAGTCGCCAGCTTCACTGTCATGATTGCCCAGCAAATGTGTGGAATCAATGTCAGAACACAGTCTGCATCGCTCGCTTCTGCGTGACTGACTCGTTAGCGCAGATCATTGCATTTTACTCCTCGACTATCTTCCGCGATGCAGGATACAGCACTCTCAGCGCATTGTTGGCATCGATGGGTTTTGGATTGGTAGCCTTCATATCTTCCTTTCCTGCTGTTTGGGTAAGCCCTCGCTTCGAGTATGAGCATCGACTGAGCCAGCATTCAGACTATCGATAGTAAGCCACACTTCAGGTATCGCTCACAGACAGCTATCGACCAATCAACCCTAGCATTCGGACGCCGGAACTTACTGCTCTTGACTTTCCCGAACATGGCATGGAGTCTTTTGGCAGCTGGCCTGTGTTTCTTAATTCCATCCAACTCGAGCGCTCGCGTGCCCTTGATCGCGCTCTTCATCTACATATTCACTATCTTTTACAACTCTGGCGGAGGCCCGGTCCCAAGCACGGTGTGTTTGTCGCGCTCTACTTCCACGGATTCAATGGCTCATGGCATTGTCTCAGTATGCTGCTGAAGCGTTCCCGCTGACCCACAGGGAAATGGGCATGAGCTGGTGAGTATCTTTGGCTTGTGTGACGCATGTCCGGACAAACTAACCATCCAGGTCCACCGCAACGTGTCTGTTCTGGAGCTCTGTTCTGTCCGTCACCTTTCCTCGACTTCAAGCGGCTACCGGCAGCATCGGCGCTTTCAGTTTCTACGCCGGTGCGACTTCGAATCGACGCGAGACGAGGACTAACACGCTTCCCCAGGCTGTAACGTGGTCGCTTTCCTGATGATCTTCTTTCTCGTTCCGGAGACGAAACAGCGTTCACTCGAAGAGCTCGACTACGTCTTTAGCTTGCCCACTCGCACACACGTCAGTCATCAGGTCAACCACTCTCTGCCGTACTTCTTCAAGCGATGGATCCTCCAGAGAAAGGATACCCAGGCGAAGTCTTTGTGAAAGAGACGAGTCGACAGTCCAAGGACGGGAAGCTCAAACGGTGTACGTACCCGTATGTAATTGAAGTATGAAAGTGGAGAATCCCGGACGAATGGCTCCTTGAATGGTGTCGGAAGGCTAGCGTGAGGATACACATATGTCACCGGCGTCACCAGCGTCATCCTTAGAGTCATAGTCTTTGGGTTCGTCGGTCTGCTTGAACGAGACATCCAGAACGGCCAGAAAACTCGGCTCCAGCACATTTTGATAACGTAATGATTCCCACGAGCGGAACTTTGCACTCCAAATCGGAGTCGCAATATTCTGGCTGCAGGTCTCCACATTACTAACGGCACTCCAATGACGAGCTAGGGTCAGCCCTGGGTGGGTGACACGATGGTGGTCAAGCGGGACAGTTTCAATCGAATCTTGAATGACATCACGTTAAAAATCGAAACTTTTATTCAAATCTTCATGCAACAGCTCTCTCATTCCGGGTGGTAACTTCGGTTCGGAACCCTCGGCTACATATCCTGACACCTCGTTTCAGTGGCGGGAGCGGTATCAAGGACAGCCGATACGCACTGAACGGCATCTCTACGCTTTCCTTGGCGTTGAATGTGATAGTCGGGAGATCCTGTGGCCAGACACCGTCGGCTGAGATCAGAAACGAATAAGACGTGACACACGATGTATGGAATTTTGTCGAGTGGGACTAGGAAACGATCAGAATTGTCAGCTTCACTGAACACGAAGCGCGCACTTTTGTCTTGCACCACGAGCTTGGTCACACCGAGTGCAGTATCCGTAGTCATCTGTACCGGGCCCAAGTGACGCGTGGGGAAGCCCAGTACACGCAGTTCAGAAGTCCGATCTCGAGGAGGATCGTCGCCCAGGATGCCCTGCAGTGGCTGGTCTGAGCATGGCGTGCATGCAAGAACCTGCGTGACTGACCCCGAACAGGAACCACTCAAAGCGCCCATCCCCATCCTCTGGGGCCAGAACATTTTCTGCTTTGGGATCAAGCAGACATATTTTAGACTTGGCGTCGGGTCCAAGTAACCGTGCCATGAGATCGAGGACGCCCTCTTGATGGCATGCTGCACTTGCTAGTCCGTCTGCCGGGGCAAACACTGCAGACAATGATTCGCGCGATGCAGAAGTGAGGTGAGTGAAGTGAACGGCAGAAGAAGGACCCGCGAGCGTGCGCATGTGCTGTTCGGCTGGATCAGAGGTGTGATGGATGGATGAAGAATGGGGACCGACAGTGTACTCGAGTTCTACCCAAGGAGGGATAGCCCTGACCGTGTCGTCGTCGTCCTCCATGTGTTCTTGGAACTCTCATCAGGAAGATTCGCGCTTCAACGCGTCGACATACCGATAACGTAGGTGAAGCCCATGATGGAAGAGATCAAGATTGAGAGATTGTGTAATGCCAAATAAGGCACGCCGAGCATGCCATTTCACTCACCAATCTCACCTCCTTACTATACGAATCTCAACCGATCCCGAATCCAACAATGAGAGTCTTGCAAATGGCACACGTTCATCGAGCAATCAGATTGGATACCAGTGACTGCAAGTCCTGGCTCACGCGACATCAACGCGGTAGTGGAATCTCTGATGTCATAGCTGGCGTCAGACTCCTGTTCTTCTTTCCATACTCATGCGCCCTCTGTCTTTATGCTCTCGTCTACTGAGGCAGACCCAGAAAATACCCACCCCAGCGGTGCTTCACTCGCATGCTGCGCGTCGTTACACCTCTAAGTCCTCCCTCAACAACACGACCGTTGAGCATGCCCACTTCCTAGCGGATGCCGCACCTTCTAGTAAGTGGAAACCCGGTCCCAGCGTCGGACACAGCGCCCGCGAAATGGATGGAGCTCGCGCGGATGATCTTCCTGAGGGGAAAGGTGAATCATCTGGCCGTTCAGTACCAGTCATGGCCCTCTAATCTCAATTGCTTCACAGGGAAACTCGCGTCGACATCCTCACATTTATTCAAACTCATCCTACCGTTGGGGATGCTGCACTTTGGAAAAGAGGGGACCATTCGGCTTGAGAATCATCAGAAACACCCCCCACCCACGGTCCTCCTCTTGCATCCTTCACAACCACTGTCACACGTCAGCCGCCTCATCCTAGCCTCTCTGGATCCGGCCACGCTACCAAAGATCTCGTTTCAAAGTAAAACGCGCACTGGACGCGACTTCCAGTGGTCTGATTCAACAGATATCGGAGATTTCATCCGAGATGCAGCGCAGGCCGCACATTTCACAATCCATTTCACGTCCGATGGGAAGCATGACTCTGGCATTGCTCTCGAAGTGGAGGTTCCCACTGCGGCCGACAGAACTCGCTTCATGCGACGCCGACTTCAGGCGCTCAACACTCGTATGAAGAGTATGGAGAAACTCAAGCTGGAATGTGACCGGGAAGCACACCGCAGCGCTAAAAGGATGGCCACGGGAGGATTTGGAGTCTTAGCTATGTACTGGGCGTTGGTGGCGCGTCTGACGTTCTGGGACTACGGATGGTGAGTTACTTCTGTCTTCATTCGCTGCTCGTGTCTTACTGTCTCTCAGGGATGTCATGGAACCTATCACGTATTTGAGTGGTCTCTCTACCGTGATGGGTGGTTACTTGTGGTGCGTTTCGCAACAGATATTCCCAAGTTTATTCTCATCTTACCCAGGTTCTTGTATCAAGGCCGAGAAGTATCCTATTCGTCCGTGCTTGACCGGTCAATCTCGTCGCGAAGACACGCTTTGTACAAGGCTCGCGGGTTTGATATTGAGAGATGGATGGAACTCGTGACAGAAGCCAAAGCACTGCGGAGAGAAGTGCAGCGGATCACCGACGAATACGACGATACGCGGTCTAGAACCGACGACGAGCAGGAGGATGAAGATACGGAGAAGGAGGAGGAAAAAGAGAAGGGGAAGGAGAAGGGTGGAATTCTGTCAGAATGAGATATCTACCAACGGCAGGAATCTAGATCTCTTGAGCGGTTCCCACATTCCTTATACCTAGAATACAAGTTTGGCGAGCTGGGCAGGTGGACAGGGGACACTTATTTCGCGCTCTAGCTGTGCTTGGAGGTAAAGAGCATTTGTAATGTGACCCTGGCTCGACGCTATCAGGGTATGTGGTACTTGGTGGAACGAGCTGGCCCTTCGGCATGTCTTCAATGTTTGCCTCGCGTTCCGCAGGAGATCCTAACGATGATGCATGATGGCTGGGCTTCGCCGCACACCAGCGGATTAAAGGACCAGGTCAATCAGTACGAGGGTCTGCTACTTTGGCTAATCTCGAACGCGTCTGCACTAGAGCGCCGAGTAGATGCCACATCAGTGTAAGCTATGGGAATTACGTCATGAAGTCGCGGTCCCGTGACAGGAGACCACTTGCGCGCAGCGTCGCACTCCCAGATTCAGCACCAGGTGAGCGTCATATGAGATTTCAACTATGATCTACATCTGCATATACGGTATACTTCTGATAACGAATTCAAAGCAATCAAGGGTGCGAAGTCGTTTCGATACGGGATCGAACTCAGTGCCAGGAGCATGATCAAAGGTCTATCCAGCTCATGTGACTCAGTACTGGCTTTGACTCTCTCTGACACTTAGCCTTTGACACGAATGACAACGGCAATGCGCGAACCAAGTCAAAACCAAGTCATACGCCCCATCGAGGGGCAGTACTATTTAAAGTGCCTGAAGCCAGACCAGATCTTCATCGGTCTGGTGTAAGCTCAATCAATGCACTCGGATCCACTCCCATTCGAAGGCGACGCCCCGGACGCACACAAACTCATCTACGAGGTGTACGAGAATACATTTATAAGCTCCATGGCATGGAAGGTGGCAGGATCCAGTGAGTTCCTGGCCCAGCCGTTTGTATCGCCATTGCGTTGAAGCGTCCTCGCGTCCACAGCGAACCATATTGCCGTCGCCTGTTGGCGGACACTCTGCAGAGAGAAGGAGGAGGAAGAAAAGGCCAGGAACGCCCTTCTCGGACCAGGAAACGGGGCTATCCGAACCCTCGACTTGTTCCCAATCCAGATAGTCGATGTCGTATATGAGGTCCGTTGTTTTTTCAGCTCTACAAGCCATCAACATCCTCTCATGCGATCATTGCCCGTATCTAGGTCCTTTCGCACCTCCATCCTCTGGATCTGAGCCACGTAGCGCGCGCAAACAAGTTCTTCCGTGGACTGCTGCTCTCGCCTCATGCGAATTCAATATGGAGGGCAGCGTTCGACATTGATGTGGTGGAGGATCAGAATATCTTTTCGATCCCTACGTGTCCATACCATATTCCTGGAAGGAGATGGGCCAAGCTGTTGTTTGGGGCGGATATCTGTGAGGTATAACTTGTTCCGTTGGACAGATACAACAGCGCTCATGTTCGCAGTTCTGCGATGCGTCGGACACAAGACCGGATTACACAATCTACCGACGTCTGTGCACCAGTTGTATGAATCAGGAGTACTTGTTATCCCCGATTCACTTGATCATTCCCTCATCTCGACTTTCCTTTAGGCTATCTCCAGGGGTCCCGGGTTATGACTCCTTTCATTCAGTGCAAGCTTTGGTACCCCAATCATATCGCCATGGTGAGCTGAACACCAGTTTAATCCTCCCTGAACCATCATTAAGCCGCTTGCAGACGGCCGTCAGATTAGACCGAATTCCGCCTTGGGGAGGATGTGGCCCGGAGATGGCGCCGACTTCGCGAGAAAGTACACTTATCTGGCCGAACAATCGCCTTCTTCAGAAGGTTCGTTCAGCGATAGTGAGGCCTCTACACCGCTCCAGATGTTTGTGGTCAGAAGCAAGAAGATCCTCAGAGAGACCGAAGACCGCGCGTTAGAGGCTATGGACTGGGCAGAAAATATTACCGATAATGTATTCTGGGACGCGCAGATACGTGCTCACGCTGTGACGAAAAGGTTCAGTGACTCTGTCGAACATTTGGATTCCAACGTGACTCATCAGCTCCGCAGAGCCATTAAGCGACTAATCGAGGAAGGCCACAATGCCCAGGATGTTTCTCTAGCCGCGGAGAACCGATTCTCTGAAAGCGTACATTTGATGCACTTTCCTCGTTTGACGTCTAGACGTTGGCACAAAATCCGACCATACCTTCTTCCCCTTGTAGAATCTCATCGGGAAGCCCGACTACTCCAACAACGCCTTGACCTCATCCAACGGCGGAAGGTCACGTTCCTAGCTGCTGTCGCTCAAGTTCTCTCCAACGCTCCACACCAAACTTGGGTATACAATCCCCCGTCATATACACTGGAGACCATGGCCGGTGTCAGCGAGCTTCTGAACGATCCCTCAGATGGGGAATTGGCTCCCAACGATCTACGCATCTCCGACATCTTGTCTGTCCTGGGTCAGTTTGTCGCGAATTGGAGACACGAGAAGAAGCGGCTCTTGGCCTCACTGCTTCCGCGTTCAGAGGAGAATCCTGACATACAGAGGCTCGACCTTGTGACGAGTGTTTTCACTTGCCTCGGCTCCTGGTCCGATTGGTCGCTGAACACTTCCGGACGTTCGCTCATCGGATGGGCTGGGGCAGGTTCCCACCTGCAATGTCGGAGTCTCGAAGTATACTGGGATCGCCGTCTCCATTACTGTTCTGAAGGTGCATCCGCGGCTGTTGAGCTGATGCGACTGGTCGGGCTTGATCCTGCGACGACGACGGTCGACCAGATGGATATGGTCTGTGGGACCGGCAGACTGTGCGGCAATGAGAAACGCTTCATCTGTATGCTGTGTCCCGCTGTCAGCTGCAAAGGTGGTGTTGGCCGCCCGGTGATGCACTGGCGAGAATGCGTTAGTGGGAACTGATCTTGCCACGATGTCGAGGGCTGAACAAGTTGTCCAGGTCGCTCATGTGATCAAGCAGGTTCGCGATTCAAACAACGAAGCACACAGATCCCCGTCCTGGGGTCTGCTCTCAGAGGAAGCGGCAGCTCATATTCGACGTTTCGAAACCCTCGATCCCTATGTTCTCAACGATGCCTGGTTCTGTGCGCTGTGTCCAGCCCATTACGACAACTATAGACCACGAGCTGAAGTCTTGCAGCATGTCCGGGACCAGTACGTCATGACTCGATGTGCTCGGTCATCGCTAGAGATCCATTTCTAGACACCACATCGCACGTCCGCTCGACGGTGCTCACTACTTACACAATCCCTCCGTTAATCGGACCCCTAGGTCTCCGGTGATGCTCGCTCAAGAAGGCCAGATCCCCGAATTTCGATGCAAGCATTGCCCTCCGGGTGCGACTCGTTTATATCCGCTTCGCAGCATCACGCGCCATCTGGCAGACAGGTATGAGTCAGCTTTGACTTCGAGCACAGATGGTTCCTGACCGCGTTTTTCAAGTCATGCGATTGCAAGGCCAGATGAGCGAGATTGGAAGGTTGTCAGACAGATCCTGCGGGTTACTGTATAATCAAGCTGTCGGCAGAAAAAGCTCGCGGTCTCTCCGAAGTACTTTTTATCGCTTGTGGTCCTTTCAAATTAGGATGTTCTTTCAACAAAGAGGCTGCGCGTCGGCGCAAACATGGCGAAGCCGAGTTTGTCGGGAACGCCGCGGCCATTGAGCTCGATGCTCGATATAGCTACGTGTCCCAACGCGTCGGTATCCATTCGCTCTGAGTACGGCATTGGCACGCATCTGTCCTGCTCTCGACTGCCATGACTCAAAAACCACACACGACTGTTAATAGGCATGTTTCTGATGACCTCGAGATCTATCGTATCTTCCGCGAATCGACCCTGCTGAACGCAAGAAGCAACTAACGAGGACAGAATCGTTTTACATGAGCGGTGCCACTCGGGCGACCCTGAAGGAACCCTGGCCAGATGCGTTCGGGTCTGGAACCACTCGAGCTCTTCTACGTCGTCCGTCATCCTCGCAATCAGCGCTGTGCGACTTCGAACCGACAAGTGTGGATTTTGGGGTGGCGGACAGACGGTCTGGCCATGGCCGGAGATCTCATGCGTCGCTCGAGAGACGGCGCCGGGGCGGTGTTAGGCACGGCGAGTGTGCGTTTCTTACCCTTCCCTGCATTGGCGTGCTCGATATACGCATCCCTTTACTTCCATGCGTCTTCACCGCTGGCTTGCACGTTCTGGCCGCCCGCCGCGTCAGCTCGACTGGGCCTGGGAACGATCCTTGTGCTCGCTGTCACGGTGCATGCACTCCATTTCGACCCAGTAGCGCGAGAAGCACACACTCAAGTTCCCATGTGTTCTGCAACCACAGCAACTCCATTCGACGTTGCCTGCAAGTTACACTTGCAAGCGAGATGCATGTGCGAGATTTCACCCTTACTCTGGCTTTTTCGACCGTCCTTGGTCTCCAAATGCAGACACGGATCCACCGTTCGAGAAGACAGGGAGCGGCGCAAAAACCCTTGACAGGTTGACAATGAACACCCGGTTCACAGCAGGTTCGCATGTTGTGCGTGCCATACCCATCCTCGCCCCCTTCTCTTGCATCTTCTTGCACAGTCGGGCCATGCGGTCGCAGCAGAACGCGCGGCCGATCTGGCCGGGAGAAAAAGCTGTGGTGCAGATGGCCCAGAGCTAGCCGGTGAGAAAAAGTGTCCGGACAGGCAGAGGATATCATGGATCTGAATTACGGGACGCGCGTGCTGAGGTCGTGAGGCAGATGCTGTCGTGGGTCGCGCTCGCTCCGTGACCGGCGCCTCGCTGCATAATAATCCCCTGAATGGACGCATATGTGTCGAATGAATGCGCTGGCACAGATCACATCTCCGACGTCGCAGCCTCGACTCTTGCCGAAGCGCAGTATCGGCTGTGGCGCTGCTGTGACTGGTCGATCCTTGCTTCTGTGTGCGGACGAAATGGACCCCGTTTTACTAGTGCTGTGTCGGTGATCGGGAGAAGCCTTTCAACTGGATGCTGTGTCTGTTTTCTGTGTTTTTGCTTTTTTTCAAATCTTACTTAGTGTGAAGCATCGCTCCTGAACGGGTTGCGGAAAAGACCGACGGTTGTCAGCTGACAGGCGCTCGGCCTTTGTGACTCATATGAATGCGGCTCGAGGCGCAGCCCTCCGAAAAGCACCCTCGGCTGGACGAGATCCGTGGGCGATTATCCGCTGCAGTCTCCGGCGGCATAGCCAATTCAAATTGTTCATGTTTTTCCGCTCTGATTTACAGCAAGTGTGTGTTCTCCGCAAGGACGCAATAGTTGGTTGTTATAGCAGCCGTTGTTACTGCCCGGACCCACTGTGACAGCATGATGAAATTTCAAGTCTCCAAAGTTCCATGGCCGGGAACGTGATTTTGGAGTCTGTGACGAGTGTCCGCTTAGAATAGAGGCGCTGGGAGTGGGCGCAAAAATGATGCTTTGGATGACGTCGACCAGCCCCGCTGATGGATTCCCATCGAGCTCTCAAGTCCTCCGGGTTGGACGAGTGGATATTGCATCGCCAAACTTGGAGGCCGCGTCAGGCAGGTCGCCGACAGCCAGTCTGGCTCAGACTCGGCGACGCAGCCACCCATCCTCCAACCTCCTGGTCGCACCGGCCAAGCTCGCGCTGAAATCACGCGCGAAATCTCGATGTTCCTAATCCAGCCCACGATAGGATCTGATGACATAAAATTGATTTTGAATCTGGTTATTTCTTGTTTGGCCGGAAACCGGGTATATAAGACAGGGCGGCCGTTACCTAGTCGTAAGAAACCCCGCATCGACACTCCCTTCTGCGTGCAGTACCCCGCGTGCCTACCACAATGTCCGCCGCCACCGCAACCACCCCTCAGATCGGCGTATCCACCAAGATGTGGGCGACAAACACACACTGGTCGTTATACAGCCAGTGCTGCTTGTGGGATACCGTTCAACGACGCGTTCAGGTGTGGGAGTGCATCCGTGATCGTGCGTAGATTCTCTCCTCTTCCCGCCCGTCCTGCCGTGCCTAACCACGGCGCCCGCAGACGATTCGATACCCGGCACTGAGCCACCCAACACATCCTACTGGCGATTCATCGCGTACAGATGATGTCCCCACCCTGTGCGCGCGTGCGCACCACCACCTTCTTGACTCGGAACACCCACCCCTCAGCAACAAACCTGCGCTGTCGCCCTGAGATGATCAGTCCAGTCCCCTTGCCCGCCGCCAGCTCCATACACCGACGATGCCCTATTTATGGTGCACGTGCACGGCTTGCTTTCTGCCTTCACGGTCTGTGTGCTCGCCGAGTTCAGAAACGGGTGCCCAGCGGAGCAACATGCTATTTATCCGTTGTCCCATGTCATACACTGTGGGACTGCGCTCAGCTATCGTACTGCGCAGCGTTGGTTTCCCTGTCATTGGGCCTTCCTAGTAACTCATCTGCATAACTTATTTGCGAATTCTGTGATAATTCAACTGGTTCTCCGCTGTTCTGTGCGACTACATTTTCCGCCTTCCGGAGCCAAGACATCAATCAACGAAATCAGGCATGACGCAGAGGTGACGTCAGTCAATTTCTCTCCAGCACGATCGCGTCTTTGCGCGTGCCTCGCTGCTTACCTTGCTACTCGCACGTCCTCGTCTTCGTCATCGCCCCGAGATAACAACCCGGGGAGGTCCTCCTGACCGCGGAAGGCAGAATCTGCAATCTGCACTAGGCTCATACTGGGGCATCATCGCGGTCTGTCACCGTCACGGGGTGGCCATCGCGAACAGTCAGTCGTCGGTCTGGATCGTGTGTCCTTCAGCCAGCTGAGCTTGCTAGCGCTTGCCTTCTCTTCGAATCCATCTCCCACGACATCGGCCGCTTTCGCAGAGGGAGCCGCAATTCTAAGTTTAACTTGCCCCTCGCGTAGCCCTTCGCGGGACAGGTCAGTAGTAAGCAGCAGCAGCAGCAACAGTCCTCTGGTCGCTTCGGCGTACATACAGCCGCCTAATGCACAGCCCAGCACGGGTCATTGTTTTGGACACGTCTGGATTGTAATCCAACAGTACAAATCGCCTGTTGGGGTCTGCGATCGCATCCAACCGCTAGGAACAAGGTTCGACGGCCTTCCTAGGCCGCTTCGTCAGCCCCCACTTGTCATTGACATCCGACGAGAACCTTCTTTGCAACTGGTCACCTGCGGGCATAGCATGTGCTCTGCGCTTGCGTCTACTACGTACGTGCAGGCAGGCCGATTGTACAAGGCATGACGCCTATGCACTGGGAGTTGATTTCTCCAACTGGTTTGAGCGCTAGGATGAATGAGATGCGGCATTCTCCGGATCCGATCCAACTACTACAGGGGTGCCGACAATCGCCGGTTGGGGTGCTTATTGGTAATCTGAGTTGCCGGCGATCCAAGTTCGTGGAAGGACCGTACACCTTGTGGCCTGTCCAAATTTCTTCTTGATTATCTTTCCGTCTCTTTCCGTCTGTTGTAAAATTTGCACAGGGTCAGAATCGTGCCAAGAATACAGCCAGCTTCAAGATAACCATCGAATCGATGGTTGCGTTGCACAAAAGCGGAGATTTCCCTTTTTGGAAGCGGAGACTTCCTCATTGGGAAAGGGGCCCCCTTTTTTGACTGAGTCTCGCATCTCCTATGTAGCAGTAGCTAAGAAACTGAACACACATATTCCACATAAAACGATAACAGGCAAGCATACGAAATTCCAGACAAAAAAACAGGACAAAGTTGGGTTTCATTGTTTCATATTCATGCTTTCGTTCTCGCCCTCGTAACGCGCTTGACTGGCATTTCACTTTCGACGACTTCCTCCTTGATAGTCTTCCGCCCAGAGCGGGTATTCTCTTTCTCCTTTTCTTTCGTATCGGGTGTCGCCGCTGCAGTCTTCCTCGTCGATCTCGGCCTTGGAATGGACGACGTCGACGCGGGCTTTTTCGCTGGCATCACTGGTTCATCTTCGTCCTCGTGTTTCACTTTGGCTGCAACGCGACCTTTCCTGCCTTTCACGACAGCGACTATCTCGATCTCGCCGTCGTTGTCCTGCACGGCTTTTGACGGAACGGAAGCCGGGGCTTTGACGGCCCGCGCTCTTTTCACCGGGAGTGCCGGCTCGGAGACGGGCTCGGCAGCGGCAGCACTGCTTTGAACAGAAGGTGGCTTTCGCGGCTTCCGAGCAACAGTCGCAACCTCTTTATCATCGATCTCTTCAGGCTCGGCAGTAGCACTTCGGCTTCGCCCTCGTCTCGGTTTTGCCGGTGCAACCGGGACCTCGGGGAGAGGCATAGGTTTGTCGTCTTCCTCCGCTAGAGCGCGACTTCGACCACGACGTGTCTTGGGCGCAGATTCCTCTTCTTCAAGAACAGCAGACTCTGAAGTCGGTGCACGACTTCGGGCTCGGCGGACCTTGCTCTCGGGAGCCGGAGTCACTGCCTGTGGTGGTGCCTCTGATGTCGGCGCACGACTCCGGGCTCGACGGGGTTTCTCAGGAACCACTTCTGTCTCTGGCTCAGCAGCCTCGGCAGTCACCGCTCGACTCCGGGTTGGACGTTTTTCTGCCACTGTTTCGCGGACAACCTCGGCCACGGGCTCTGCCGTCGGTTGGCGAGTGCGCCGAGTCGTTCGGGCTGGGGCTGGGGTTTCTTCGGCAATGGGTGTACGACTGCGAGCATCGTGTGGTTCTGGGGCGACCAGCTGATCAGAATTCTCTTCTCGCGTTTCATCTGCATGCAGGTCCGCAATCGGATTGCTGGTGAGATCGAATGGCGATTGCTGCGCAGCGGGAAGAATGGGATTCTCATCTTCGTTCATGGGAGACGGATTCTCGTCCAGGACAAGCTTTGGAAGAGCAAGCGGGTTTTGTGCTTCAACAGCTTGCTGCTCTCCATCAGCCTGTTTGCAAGTCAGCGTAGTCTCGCAAGCAGAATCATCGCGACACACATCATCAACCTCCATCTGAATCTGTCCTTCTTCTTGCTTCGCCCTTGTCAACTCGGCTGCGACCCGTTCTCTGACCTTGATAGGCGTGCCTGCAATCACACTATCGCGTCGGTGCTTCATCACTTCCACTTTCTCCTTCAATTCACGCAAGATCTGTCTCGAATCTCGTCGATCTCCGGCCAACTCGTTGTCAGCATCGTGCTCGTCCAACATCGGCAAGCCAGAAGGCGATACTTTCCGGGGCGATGTGGATCCTTTGCGCGGAGACGACATACGCGACATACCCGGCACACCTCCGACGCCCCAGAAAGGATCAGGAGCAGTCAACGCGCTGCGGCGGCGCTCCGAAATGGCCTTGCGCTCGGCATCAGAAACACTGGAAGTGGTAGTCTTTCGTTCTGCGTCGGGCTTTGAAGGGGAGTCGAGTACAAGGTCCTTGACTTTCCACGGAGACTGAGACACCGGGATTCGCTGCGCAACACCTCCAAGCGAGAATCGGGGGTTGCTGGACGCGACACGGGATGGCTGAGGTGTCATAAAAGGTGGAAGGGTGCGAGCTGCTACTGCCGGGGGTGGTGCTACGGAGGTCTTGACTGAGGTTTCAGTCGTGAGGGCAGCCAAGTCAGGGTATACGGGCTGGAAACCTTCTGAGTCAACATCCATTGCCTGGAACGAGATCAGTTGTGTCACGGTCTAAGAAAAAGCACACACCGTCGCGCCCATCGATTTGCGACCAAAACCCGCCGGTGTTTTGGCGGCCGGATGGGGAACCTCTCCCTCCAGTGACGCAACCGGAAGTCTTGCCGGCGTTGTTGTGTTCTGCGCTACAATTCAGGGATCATTCACCAATGAAAACGAAAATCCTGACCTGGAGCACTGTCTTGCGTTTGGGGGTCAAAGTGGTCATCGGTAGCTAGCAATGGCATGAGAACCGACGAAAGGCAAGCGCGCGGACTGGAAAGTGACGGACCACAGGTTGCTCGATTTCCTGTTCGTCATGATCTTCTTGTTTGCTCCGTTCTTCACCTGCTTGCTCATCCCTATCATGTCCAGTCGATTCAGTCGGTTCAGCCGGTTCGGGCAGCACCTCTTCTTGCTCCTGAAAACGCCTCAACAACTGGCATCAAAACGGGACAGATAAGAACTGACCTCCTCTTTGACACCAAAGAACCCGCCAACCAGCTTCTCGAAACTCTTCCGCCAGCCCAGTTTCTTGGCAGGGACCCTAGGCTCGTCATGGACCTCCTCCTGATAATCTTCCATTACATCATCCTCGCCCTCGCTGCTACTGCTACCGCTAGAGACGCTGATAACACTGAGCCCGAGGTCTCTGACCTCCTCCTCCGAGGTGTCTTCTGAATCGGAGTCTGGATCTGGATCGACACCACTGCTGCTTGCCACAGCCGAGGGACCGGCAACACCAACAGGCACGCGCGGAGTGTACTGTTTCGTCGGTGACACAGGTGTGCGACGGGGCGTAGCGGCCGGCTGCGGCAGGACCTTGGTCGGGCTTGTCGGCGGAGGCAGAGTGGGATACAAGCGTCCCGAGTCGTTCGCTGTTGGCTTCTCGGGTGAGATAGGTGCTCCGAAGACCGGTCTGGGAAGCGGGGCAGGATTAGCCTTGATAGGGCTTGTTTGCGCGAGGCCTGTATTAGTGCCGGCGTTGGATTTAGTCGGGCTCTTGCTCTTAGTAGGACTAGTTGGAGGTCCAACTGCGCTAGAGCCGTTCGATCCTAGATTCGAAGTACCAGCGTTCCAGACAGCACGGTGCGCACTGCGAATGAGAACAGCACGATGCAGAGTCGCGGTGGGCCGTTTGGGCGTCCTAGGTTGGGAAGTGGACGAAGATGATGAAGCTGAACCAGACGATGAAGATCCCGAATTCGTGTCACCGGTCGGAGACAGATATGGGCCAACATCCTCGAGAATGACAAGATCTCTCGCCTCTTCAACCACTTTGGGACACGACCCATGCACTAGTGTTAGTGTGGGATGATCCATTTCCATGTCGTCATACTCGTCCGCTTCGTCGATGGTATCCATATCTTGGTCTGCATCCTGTTCGCTATCACGAGACTGAGCCGGTGCGAATGGATTAAAAGAGGGCCCGGATTTGGTGGGCGATTTACTTGGTGAGCGCCTGCCCTTTGTTGGAGACGGGCTTCGGCTGGTGCTTCGCCCACGTGCAGGGAGCGTAAACGGAGCTCTGAGCGGGGACTGCAGGATACGGAGGTTTTCGCGAGGATCATTGGACGGGCGAGGAGAGAAGACCTGAGCCGAGGCGATCATAGATAGTCGTAATTTGCGATTGGCTGAATATCGTATGTCCCCGTGGTAAATGAGAGGGAAGCAGAGAGGTCGGAAGTTAGTGGCACGTCAACGCAAATGTGCAAGGTAGACAAACGCACGCGCAGGAGATTGCCATAAAGCAGCACGACTCTCTTTTGGCGGGTAACTAAACCGGAACTTCTTGTTATTGATAACAAATTCGCTGCCATTGAGCAATGGCTCTGAGGAGGGCTTGACAGAGTCTTCGTCGTTTGGCAGAACCTGACACCCATCGACAACAACCCCCGTTGCACCAAAAACCTCGATGTAGGCTTTCTTGTCGTCATTGAACGCTACGCGGGCGTGTAACGGGGCGACTGCAGTGTAGTACAGACGGATAGAGCAAGTAGGATCGCGACCAAAGGTGACGCTGTCCGTGTCGACGCCGAAGGACTGCACCGTTGTAGAGTCCCCGGGGCGTAGAAGAGCAATGGTACCGTAGCGGCCTGGAAGATCCATGGCAGCAGGAAGGCAGGGTAAGACGGCGAGGGGATCAACCTGTTGTTGTCTGTTGTCGTGTTGAATGTCAACACGTGCCCCGGCTCGCGGTCACCTGCAAATCATCAATTCGGATCACGTTCGGAACGTCCCAGACCTTCCAGTTCGATCAGTTCCAACGGTTAGTATCTGCCTCTCGAACGATGGCCAGTATGTACACACATAGAGGTTGGATATAATGAGCTAGGAATCTGATCCGTACGCACCCTAGCGACGTTAGTGCGTTAGCAACTCCCTGAGTCTTAGTTTCATGCTTTGATACATCAAAGATTCAGCGGCCCATTTGTAGCAAAGTGAGGCCTCAAAATGTGACAAGGCCTCCAAATACAATAATTAGGAAGAGATTCATGGCTTTTCATAGCAGTGCCTGCAGTAGGGCAACAGAAATCGATCGTCAAGCTATGAAATCGACAGACAACCGGACCCGAATAGCGGAGATAAGATAAGATTCCATCCCGCCATCACAGCACGTGGAAAATATCAGAGTCCGTCGCAACAGATCAGACCTGTGGCAGGCTGCTGCCTGTCATTTACTTTGCGCCTCTTGCTCAGCGACGTAGCGCGAGCGGCCCCGTCATGTTCCGGACGCTCCTGACACCGCTCAGGCTGCGCTTCGACTCGTCGCCACGCTCCGCTGTCACCCAAAACATCGTCACGCCGATTGTCGCTGAGGAGGATGAGCTTGAAAACCCGGAGGACTTTGCGAGGGATGTGCTGGTCGAGCTCATGCGGAACTCCGTGGAGAAGCTGAAGATGTCGCAGGACACACACTCGAGGATGGAGGTACGCCCGCTCGACCTCTGTGTCATATCCGGTTTGTCGGACTCACTCGCGTGTGCAGACGCTGGTCGAGATACAGCGCATTATGCTCCAAGACTCGCTATCCGCAACGAAGGACGTGTTCAGGGAGATGGATGGATTCGTCGGACTCATGAGTGTTCTCTCCGCAGCGCATGAGGGAAGCGAGAACGCGGATGAGGCACAATTGGGGGAGATCATTGAATGCAGCCGGCTTGCATTCATGATCACGTCGGAAGCGATGACCGACCACCCGGACAACACTCAGTACTTCAAGGTACGTTGCCCACCCGGGTTCCTGGCGTTGAACTCACAAGTGCTTGACAACAGACACGCATCGGATTCGAGTCGCTAGCCACTGCAATCGAGAACCTTACCTTGGATCCACGGACCGTGGACTACACCATGGGCCTTCTCCTTTCCTTCGCATTCCGAAACTTCTCTATTGCGGGGACCTTCAAGTCTATCCGCGGAGTCGAGCTACCCAATGTCGAGCCCACCCTGCGAGAAGTGGTGTCGCGCCTGGGGGGTATCAAACGCCCGGGGGCTATCGCACTCATTAACAGGTTCGCACCGCAGCTCGTTGGCCAAGACGCGACTATGCGCTTCGGTGTCCTCAAACTATTCGAGCTACTGGCCAACACGACGCACCGGAACCACGTTATATTCAGCAGTCTCGAGTTGGCGGAGAATGTGCTGGTGCGCTTTTGCGAGCTCGACACGCCAGATGTGGAGAGGAATGTGCTGCAGAAGCTGTTGAGGCGACTGCTGGACATGGGCGCAACGCCTTCTGTGGCAAGATACTTGTTCCAGGCAGTGATAAGGGAGGATGGAACGCTGCATGCTGAGCTGCTGGAGATGATTCGGTACGGGATGAAATCGCGGTGGCTAGAACACTTTTCGATGGAGTCGCCCGCTTCGCTGACGATGACGGACGACGGTGTCAAGGGTTTGGTGCGTCTCATGCTTAGCCATCCGTCCTTCGCGCTGAGACTGTCGTAGCCAGTGACGGGCTTTACGTACATGGTATGCTTCGGCGTCGCTTGTGGTCTTCCGCTGATGGGTTGTGCAGACCTGGCTCTGGATCAAAGAGCTTCCCAGTACGACCCACACCCTGTTCTCTGCCCAGATGAACAGCCGCTCCCTCCTTTCGCTGAGCTTGCGAGGCGACGGCAAACTCGAGCTGGCATCCTCCGCCAACCGCGACATCGGCGTGTTCCGAAAGAGCCAGATCACCAAAATGAGGTGGACACATGTCACGCTGGTGCACTACCCGTCACGGGCCGGCAATCCGACCATCCGTGGGTTGCAAAGTTCGATATGTTTTCTTTTCTCTTATCTTGTACAGGACTTTACCTTGACGGAGTTTTGAATGACGGCTTCAACTGGAACTATCCAAAATTCGAGTCACAACCCCAGACGATCAAGTACATCATTGGCGAGGATTCGAACAAGACCAGGATGAGCTGGTCGATTGCCTCTGCTCATCTGATGGCTTTCCCATTCGGTAACTCTCTTTAGCAGACATGCGAATCGGCCGATTGATGTTCTCAGGCGACGATCTACCAAGATTCATACACCATCTGGGACCCCGCTACTCGGGAAATTTCCAGGACCCCATGCTCGTCAAGTTCCTCACCTACGAGGCCTCCACATCCCTCAACATGTATCTGTCCACGATCGCCGCAAAATCCAATGTTCCAGTGGCTAACATGGCCCTGATGAAGGTCGTAAATGACGGTCTCGGTGTGCCAGAGTCGTCCATCATTTTTTCGGTTTCGCCTAGGAGTTGTCCGACCGATGATCCCGAGCGGGCAATCGTCCCAGCCAACGGCAGTAGACACGAATTTGCGACTCGTGGTGACGTTTTCATCGTCAAGGCCGCCTGTTTGGATATGTCTCTTTGGAAGATCGGCGGTGCAGCTGTCCCGTTGCGACTACTACAAGTCGCGAGCGTGAGTGACAGTTCAAAAAGTCCCGCTTATTCAACAAGCTTATGTCATACCATCAGACTCCTCACGAGGTATCCCGAGCACTGGGTGTGTTGCTGGATGGCCTCAGAAACAGCTGGCAAAATTCTGAAGACATGGAGCGGATCCGTGGCTACGAGATTATTGCCGGTGTGCTCCGGCCCAAAGCGCACTTGATCAACATGACTGGCTTCGAGACTATTTTCGAGTTTCTCGGCTTCAATTTCCGTTCACCGGAGTACGTTGCCCATCATTCTTGCTCAGGTTGCCAGGTGCCTGATTAATTGGTAGACATTCCACCGTTGTGAATGCCGTTGCTTACCGCGCCATTGCGCTGGACTTTGAGCTGTGGTCAAGCACACGGGTGGAGGTGCAACGAGTCCATCTCGAGCATTTCACCACCCTCCTCGTCTCGAGCCGGTACAAGAAATTCAACATCAAGCAGCGCTTCCCCAAGCTTGGGCTCGTGCGCAAGCTCCTGTTTGCTCTGCAGACAAACTGGTACCAGTCTGAGATCGTCCCATTCGTGCTCGAGGCCCTGAAATCCGCGCTCCAAGTCAATTTCTCCAAAGACGACGCTATCAAACCCGTCGTTTCGTATCTCGCAGCCAATCTGCACCCCGACAAGGCCGCGGATGACAAAGACAAGGACGAGCCCGCCTCGCCGCAGAGCATGGAAAATCGTGACCCGCGAGAGAAGGCGGAGATGGTCCTGGAGATGCTCATCTCGCTCCTTTCGATCCCGGTGTTATACAACAGATTCTGTGTCGTCCTCCCCCTGACGCGGATCTGCATCCTGCTCCTGGGTGACCGGCCATCGCCGTTCATCGCCACCCAGATTCTCACGCTGGTGGCGATCAGCAACAGCATGGCCCCCGCGTTCGCACGCAAATTCGAGCTCATCAGCGGATGGAGCGTCTTCAAGACCGTGCTCCCTTCGTGCTGGGACCCGGTTGTGAACGAAGCTGCTCTGGATGTTCTGCTCGGCCGTTTTTCCGGTGGAGAAACGATCAAGTCTCCCCTTGAGAATGGGCAGAGCGCACCCTCCGCGAAAATCGTCTGCCCTCAAATCGTGCCCACTATCTTTTCCGCTCTTCAAGTCGGCTTGGGCACCGTCGCACGAAATTGCAGTGTTGATGGCGAGTTGAACTTTGTCTCTGCTTGTCGAGATTTGCTCACAGTTTGACAGATTCGGAAAACGTGTCCTGGGCCGTCGAGTCGACCATGGAGGTCCTCATCGAGGAGCTCATTGACCTGCACGCCTCGAGCAACCCGTTCCGCGAAGTGTTCAGGTCGCAGCAGACGATGCAGCTGTTCGTGAACAGTTACAAGGCTTTCACGCTGCGAGTCGTCGAGGCGTCGACCATCAACCAACGGACCATCCGTATTCTAGAAAAGCTGTCGCACTTTGGCCTGGCTCTGGCTCTGGACAACTGTGTCGCCGGCGCTCAGAAACGCGAGGTGCGTCATGGATTGCCACCATGAGCTTCTATCTGTTTGCTCACTCGGCTCGTAGATCCTCGACACGCTAGCAGAAGCCGAAACGATCCTCGCGCCATCCAACGAAAAGACGGCAATCGACCCCGCTCTCGTCGTCGACACGCGCACCGTGCGCCAGCGATTCGCATCCGCGCGGTTCAGCATCCAGATCGGCGAGCGCGCGGTGGTCAAGACTATGACGCGGATGAACGAGTGGCGGCTGACGATCCAGTCGTCCGAGCGCCAGCGGGTGCGCAAGACCATCCTCGATCTCCGTGAAAACAAGCGCCAGATCTCCCGGCTGTCCGAGTGGTCGAACCTGCTGACCTCGGAGCGCGGGCTGTGGCCGAATCCCGAAGTTAGGACGTGGAGATTGGATGAGACGGAAGGGCCGCAGCGCGTCCGGTGAGTGGCATTCTTGGTTTCACCTTCGTTTTCTTGATCTCGGGGGTACAGAAATCGACTGGAGCCGATGAACGACAAGTCACTAGCCATCCGCATCGACACGAGCGATCCCAACATGCGGAACGTCGAGGCGCCCGACATCGACACGCAGTCGATCGTCCAAGCAGAGGTGCCTCGGATTCTTGCGACTCACTAATCAGTGCTGATCGTTTGCAGGTCCCGCCGTGGGCCGAGTCGTACGAGATTTCTGCGACGGACATGGACGGTAAGCGCCTGCCAATCATCAATCGACGTGAGCTTATCCCGCATCCTCAGATCGGCAACTTGCGGAAGAGATCACGGACGACAAGCACCGGCGCGTGCGCCACGAGCTGGAACCCGGGGACGTCATCGAGGCGGTGGCGACCGTCGCACGGATCGCAGGGGTGGACTCCTCGCCCGGACTGATGATCATCGGACGGACGCACATCTACATGCTCGATGGGCTGGTCGAGAGCGACGACGGCGAGATCGTGGATGCGCACGATGCCCCGAAGCAGCTGTTCTTCGTGCCCGGCAGCATTGTCGAGCTTGACGGTCCGCAGAAAGCCCAGCGATGGTTCGTCTGCGATGTGCACTTGTCACTAGGTTGCTCATTAGCTGTTTCCAGGTCGCATGACCAGATAGCTGCGTTTGGCGACAAGACATTCTTGTTCAGAGATGTGGCGTGCGTGCCTCCTCCCTTCTTTGTCTGCTACTGAGAAACTCACTGCTCCTGCAGGCTCGAGATGTACTTCAAAGACAGCCGCTCGCTCCTGATCGTCTTTCTCGACAAGCAGCGGCGCCACAACTTTGACCAGAGACTGCAGCACATCATCACCCGGCACTCCCACCCGGGAGACAATGTCCCATCGGCGTCGACGCCCATGGGCCGGAGCCGCACGCCGCGGCCTGGGTTTGGGAAGGTGTTCCAGCGGTCGGACGAGCTGTCGACTGCTCAGCGGCGGTGGCAGGCGCGAGAGATCAGCAACGTATGTCATATGCTACGACGTGGTGGGGGTGTTCTGACCTGTGTTTTCTGCAGTTCACGTACATCAGCATCCTGAACCAGATCTCCGGTCGCACACCGAGTGATGCGACGCAATATCCCATCTTCCGTGCGCAGTCTAGTCGAGACTCTGGAGGTTGATGCTAACATTAAATCCAGCCTGGGTGCTGAAAGACTATACCTCGACAACACTGGACCTCAACAACCCTGACTCATTCCGAGAGTGCGCTGCTGTGCTTCTCCTGCCGTGCAACCAGCTAATCCAGCCGCAGCCTGACCAAGCCAATGGGCGCGCTGACCGATGTCCGGCGCGAGGCCGCGACGATGCGCTACACGAATCTCGAGAGCGTCGGCGAGAATCCGTTCCACTACGGGACGCACTTCAGCTCGTCGATGATCGTGTGCCACTTCCTCATCCGGATGGCGCCCTTTACGAACATGTTCAAGACACTGCAGGGCGGAGACTGGGATCTCCCAGATCGGTTGTTCAGGTAGGCGCATAATTGGATACACTTAAGTGTAACTCATCCATCTACCAGCGATGTTGCGCGCGCATATGAATCGGCTGCATCCGACGTCCGTGGCGATGTCAGAGAGCTCATCCCCGAGTTCTACACATGTCCAGAGTGCGTGTGCCGGGTTAACACGCCCGATTCACAGCTGACGTGCATCCCAGGTTTCTCGAAAACTCGGACAACCTCGACTTTGGCGTGCAGCAGAACACAGGAGAGAAGATTCACGACGTGAAGCTCCCGCCATGGGCCAAGAATGACCCGTTGTTGTTCATCACCCTGAATCGACGGGTAGGCACTGTGCTCTGCATTCCCCATATGGACTGGCCTCTCATTTGTTTCGACAGGCACTGGAGAGCGCGTACGTGAGCGAGAATCTTCCAGCGTGGATCGACCTCATCTGGGGCCACAAACAACGGGATCCCGAGTCTCTGAACTGCTTCCACCCGCTGTCGTACGAAGGCTCGATCGACCTGGACAAGATCACGGACGAGCTCGAGCGCGAAGCGACGGTGGGCATCATCCACAACTTTGGGCAGACGCCGCGGAAGCTGTTCACGACGCCGCACCCGGCCCGCTACGACTACGGCCCGTCGACGCTGCCGATCGGGACGTCGTCGGGGATCGAGGAGGACCCGCACATGCTGGTCCAGGAGGGCCGCTGCTTCCACGAGCTGGGGACGGGCAATCCCGTACGCGAGCTGGTCATGGATCCGATCGCAGACCGAATGCTCGCCTGCCCGGAGGGCGTGCTCGTCGTGCCGGGCCGGCCGCACGAACGGGTGGAATGGGGCACGACACGGGCGGCGGCGGGGCAGCTGCGGTACGTGATCGACCAGCGGGTGGTGCAGGTGATCGAGGAGGCGTTCTGCGTGTGCGCGGCATTCGCGGACTCGACGAGCCTCGTGACCGGGTGCAGCGACTACACAGTGCGGCTGTGGAAGATGACGCGCAGTGCGCACAACTCGAACATCGTGCGGCTCGGGCTGGCGAACATCATGCGCATCCACACGCACGACGTCGTCGCCGTGACCGCGTCGCGCGCCTGGGCGATCGTGCTCAGCGGCTCGCGCGACGGGAGCGCGGCGATCTGGGACCTGAACCGCGGGATCTACATCCGCTCGATCTGGCACGACGCGCCGGTGCACCTCGTCGCCATCAACGAGAGCACGGGCTACATCGCCACGTGCTCGAGCAACAAGCTGTCGCTGCACACCATCAACGGCCGCGCGATGGCGGTCCTCGATCTCACCGCGCCGTCGCCGACGGACGGGATCATTTTCTCGCCGATCACGTCGCTCGCGTTCCACGAGCGGGAGTACTCGCACATGGGCGTCCTCGCGACGGGCGCGTTGGACGGGACGATCACGCTGCGCACGTGGACCGCCGACGGGACGCCCGCGGGCGAGACCGCCGTCTGGGAGTTCCTGACGATGCGCACGATGCGCGTCCGGGCGGTCGGTGGAGAGCGGCCGCCGGCGGTCACGGCTCTGCGGCTGTACGGAGAGGACATCTATCACGGAGAGGAGACTGGCAAGGCGTTCATGTGGACGCTGCCAGAGTGATTTTTTACATATTTGTATTTTTGGGTCTAATATGTCACAAGGAAGAGCTTGCCAATATGAAGACATTTTTGTAATCACGCAAAGAGCAATGATCAGTAGTATCGACCAGAACATTCAGTGATTCGATGTGAAACTGCTCACAAGACGGCTCCATCGACAATCATTTATGAAGTATTTGTAAGTCGGCAGGATCGGGAGGAGCTGAATCTCAATCTCGACCATGACTACAGCGATGAACATCCGACTCTGGTCACCAGACGCAAAAGGTCAAGAGAGGTGAGTTGTTATTCATCAAAATCGTTCATATCGTCTAAACACAAGCCAGTATGCACTGTGCGTGCATTGTCTATCTACACCTTGACAAAGATCCGACGCTCGTGCGAGAGTCGCGCTGGTGAAGGATGAGCGTACTGCGTGCACCGGCCCAAACTCAGCGGCGCTCACCAGATAACGCGAAGCACGACCCCAACAACATCGCACACCCCGAATACGCAGCCACCGCCTGCCAATTGTTGCCAGAGCGCGAAAGCACAGCGCCACCAATCGATGCGCCCGCAAGTTGGCCGGGCGAGTTGGCGAGAATCATGAAACCGGTGATGGTGGCGAGGTCGTTCAGGCCAAACAGCTGCGCGCACACGACGGGCAGCAGACTGATGAACCAGCACCCGACGAGACCGTAGACAAGGCTGAACGCAATGATCGACCCGAACGTGTCTGCGAACATCCAGATCAGCAGCTGCGCGAGGCCGCCGAGCAGGAACGTCGTGAAGAACATGTTCAGGGTCCCGAAGGCGTCGGCCAGACGACCGGCCATGATCTGGGGTACAGTGAGGAACGGATAAGCAGGGCGTGGCAGCACTTGCTTACGCGACCGATTCCGCCTAGATCGTGCGTGGCCAGTCAGTGGCTAGCATACAGCCTGGATGAATCAGACACTCACCGCCGATGTTCATAATGACGAGTGGCACGACCACCAGCAGCGAGTTCGGGTCCAGGGACGGCACTTTCACTTTCACATAGGTCGTAATCAGGTAGTACGGGCCCTGCATAAAAGCTCCTGAGCAAAGCCGAAGGAAGAAAGGAACAATAGATGCGCTCACCTGGAAGCCGAAGATGCCCGTAAAGACGGTCAACGCGACGCAATAGAAGGCGGGTCCGCGCGTCGTCGGCAGCCAGTGCTTTTGGATCTTCTCGTACCCCGGTGCGCGTCGCTCGGCCATCATGAACCACGCACAGATCCAGATCACGGCGTAGATCGCACTGTACACGAGCATCGTCTTTTTATACCCCAGATTGGACAGCCTGCCGCGGGAGGAGATTAGTATCCCGCCCTCCTCCTATGCAGAACACAACGCACAGCGGGCGGATCACGAGCGAGCCTGCGGCCCCGCCGAGGCTGGAGCCGGACACCGCGATGCCAGTCGCCAGTCCCCGTCTGCGCTGGAACCACTGCGCGGGCAGCGCCATGTACAGCGGCATCGAGATCCCGCCCGAGATGCCGAGCAGGCAGCCCTGGAAGAGGAAGACCTGGTACAGCTTCGTCGCGAACGCAGACGCCAAAAGACACAGATAGGACAGCAGAGAGCTCAGGGCGATCATGCGCTTCAGCGGAGTCAGAAGTCATCATCGAACAGGGAAAACTTCCGAAGTACCTTGAAGCCGCTGGAGACCGTCCGTCAGTCGGTGAATAGCAAGGTGCAAAATCAAACCCACTATCGCTCTCCAATGCCTCCGAAGAAGTACGCCGTGGAGTTCATCGACTAGAGAAGGTGAGATGGGCTGACCCATTGCTCGTTCGGAGAACGGACAAATGAAAAGAGGCCGCCCACAAGACTCAGCGTACTCAAACTCGCATCTTTGTACTGGTCCGAGTGGTAAAAGTCCTGCAGCACACCCCAAACAAGACCCCATCCCCTGCGAACGGCAGAATCAATATCCGCTTTGAGAAGTTCTGTTCAGCAAACCTACATGCACGTCGCGGTCATGAGCGCGCATCCAAAAACGACGAGCCAAGCGCGCAGGCCTCCATCGGGGTACGTCCACTCCTCCTCATCGGCGACGCTGGCCTTCTCGTTCAGCTGGGCTGCCTTTCGGTCCGCAGCCGGGGCGACGACGGTGACGGCCTCGCCTTGCAGCAGCGCCTCAGCTGGCAGAATTGAACCTGCAGGAATGGACGAAGGGCTGGACATGGTGGGCGTCGCTGGGTTGCATTCAAGAGCTCAATAGTTGAGGGTGGTTTATGGTCAGTCGTTACGTGCCCTCGTTACGTTTAAGATGTGGGGGGATAAACGATATTCCGTGTGTGCAGGGCGCCGGTCCGGCATGTTCCATCCCTGAGAATGCGGCTGAATCAACTGGTGCGCGAAGCGGGGTCGTGTAGGTCGCCTGCGCTTGGCCCGCGGCCAAGTCACGCGTAGCTTAGCCAGGAGGCGAAACACGGCATACTAGCGCAAGTCGGAACTTGTCTGGTCTCTACAGCGAGGAAACTGCTGGAATCGACGCGAAGGAGTGGTGTTCTTGTGGGCGATAAGTGACAAGACCAAGCCGATCGGAAGACGGCCCGGTAATCTGATCTCTTCAGCGCGTGACCACGTGAGCTCGGGGCCCCATTCAATTTCGCATTTCAATAAGAAGCCCCTCGCCAAAAGAAATGTTCAACTGCTACTTGTGTGACAGCGGTGTTCCGCTGCGCGCTGAAACTCCATCCACGGATTTTGCCATCATGGATCCGACAGACGCGATATGGAACGCGTTTTTGTTTCGGGGTACAAATGAGGAGATGTAGAAGGAAGAATCAACGGGGGCAATGCGCGATGTCCTTCTCATGTTGCCGCGTTTACGTCGGAACGCGATATTACTGTCTTCTTTTCGATCTGAGATGTCACAGACGGGTTTACATCCGCCTCGTGAGTCCCAGGGTACGGCATGACTTTTCCCTGGCCGATCGAGAGGCGAAGGCTTCGGTTCTGCCTCGCAAACAGAGGTTTCAGGTCAAATAAACAGTTGAAACTCCTCGGTGTACTTAGATCTACACTTTAGCCCAGACTCGACGATCATAAGAGAATCGCGCTGGAAGAGAACTAAGGAAAAGCACTCGCGGCTGAGAAGGATGCAGCAGGACACACCGCACAGAACGAAACAAGATCCCAACAACATGGCACATCCGGAGTAGACCGACACCGCTCTCCAATCCCCACCGGAACCCGCGAGGACAGCGCCCCCGATCGATGCACCGGCCAATTGACCAGGCGAGGTAGCAAGGGTCATGAAACCAGTCACCGTCGCCAGATCATTCAATCCAAACAGCTGAGCGCATACGACCGGGATGAGGCTGACGTACCAGCACCCGACGAGTCCGTACACCGCACTGAAGGCGACAACCGACGCGTAGGAGCGCGCAAGCGTCCACAGCAGCAGCTGCGCGAGCCCGCCGAGCAGGAACGTCGCGAAGAACACGTTGAGGGGCCCGAAGCGGTCAGCCAGGCGGCCGGCCAGGATCTGAAACGGGGTGATGAACAACATGCGCGGGCCTGTGACTTGGGCGCCTGCTCACACGACCGATCCCGCCTAGAATCCCATCAGCACATGCGTTACTTTATCGCCAGAGGGCACCCACCGGACACGTTCATGACCGCCAGAGGAACGACTACGAGCAGGGACTGTGGATCAAGCGACGGCACCTGCTCCTTGACGTAAGTCGTGATGAACCAGCAGGGACTCTGAGAACCAAATTAGACATGTGCACTGGATGCGCGCCGCGCCGACTCACCAAGAACCCGAAGACACTCGTGAAAACGCTCAGCGCAATGCAGTAGAAGACGGGCCCACGCGTCTTCGGCAGCCAGTGCTTTTGAATCTCCTTGTACCCCGGTGCCCGCCGTTCAGCCATCATGAGCCACGCACATGCCCAGATCCCGGCGTATGCGGCGCTGTAAACAAGCATCGTCTTCTTGTACCCAAGATGCAACAACCTACTTGACCCTGAGCCTACTGAAGATGGGGACCGGACGACCAAAGACGTACAGTGGACGAATCAGAAGAGAACCCACGCCGCTTCCGATACCAGACCCAGCGACAGCGATGCCCGTCGCGAGCCCCCGTTTGCGGAGGAACCATTGTGAAGGCAGCGCCATGTAAAGGGGCAGGGATATCCCAGACGCAAGCCCCATGAAGACCCCTTGGAAGAGGAAGATGTGGTACAGCTGAGTCGGAAACGCTGATGCCAGCAGAGATAGATACCCGAGAAAGCAGCTCAGAGCCATCATGCGCTTCAGATGGCTTAGCATCCCTAGCGGCGACAGGAGCGACTAGATCATGCCTTGTAGCCACTGAAAAGAGGTGAGTTGACCGAAACTTCGCAGGGAAGCACACCTACTGTCGCTCTCCGACGCCTCCGAAAAAGTACGCAGAGCAGTTCATGCACTAGGGCGCAGGTCGTCAGGACATAGCGAATGAACAGGCTCGTTCGTGTTGCTCACGAAGGCGAATATGCCACCAACAAGACTCAATGTGCCCAAGCTTGAATCTTTGAACTTGTCCGAATGGAAGAAGTCCTGCAGCACTCCCCACACAAGACCCCATCCCCTGCGACGACTTCAGCCTCGCATCGAGGATCGCGTGGTCACTCACAGAGACGTCCCAGCCATGATCGAGCACCCGAAAACGACAAGCCAAGCACGCAAACCGCCATCAGGATACGTCCACTCGAGCTCTGGCTCGATATCGGATGGACCAGGTTTCTCCTCTGTAGATGGAACAGCAACGATCGACTCTCCGTGAAGAATCGCCTCCTTAGGCAGCGAGAAGCTCGCAGGAATCAGCGCAGGGTCGGACATGATTGTGGACGGGAGTTTGGGTGCATTCGGCAGCGGAGTCGAGGAAGTCGTCGGGCGCGGTCAAAAGCCGCTCCCAAATCGGTTGTGTACGTGTCAGTGATCGATAATCTACCTGTGGGGCTTGTCCTCCTGCCTCATGCTGCTTCTTATAGTGCTGGAAGCTGGGCACGGTGGTTCTCTAGCGCGGTCATTTCATATACAGGCAGTCGATCGCCTGATGGGGCGTCCGTGTTCGTGGATATCGTATGGACTCAGGGTATTCTTTGCAGGTCGGACGCGGTCCGGGCGAAGTCCTTGCGGGCTTTTGAAGCTCTAGGACTAGTTGACAACATGAAAATCGGTGACAAGAGCAAGCTGCGATCGGCACGATTATTGTCCCTTGCTCACGTGACTCAGCGGGAGAGTTTCAGTGAGTGAAAAAAACCTCGTCATCTCGTATTTGAAAGCATAGGGCGAGCCTCAAGAACGGTCTAGTATAAGATGGATAAAATTTGTGAATGGATAGGCAACTCGTAAAATTCGGAACGGGTGAATCGGAGTGAGTCAATTTGGTCTTCAACGCGTTGAAGGAAAATAGATATCTCTTGATGAGACCAGTAGTACTACAGTAGTACTACAGTAGTACATACTTGTTACAAAAAGTGGGGAATAAATCCAGTCCAATCTACAGACAAGAAAGCGCCAATCGGTATGGCTCGGAGAGAGGTAAACATCAGGATGGCCAGAGCCAGTCGAATAAAGACATAGAGGATGATCGATGCAATGCTCCCGAGGCGAAGGGGCCCTAGCACAAGGAGTGCGTATGTAGAGCTATGGATGTCTCTTGAAAAGTGAAATATGTTCAATACGCCCATGAATATGGTGGGTCCTAGCGAGACCGAGATGGCACAGCTTCTCCACAGCCATTTTTCGATCACAGAGGGAAAGTGGATATTCCATGCAGCGCAGTGAAGGCCTCCGAAAATGAGGCCGAATACAGCTTGTGTAAGTAGACTGAACTGCATCAGAGAAAAAGGCTGCCAGGTGAGTTCCCGATCACGGCTTGTGATGTTTTGAGACCAAAACGTGGGGACGAATCCTCCCGTCGGAACTTGGTATTGGCCTAATAGGATGCCATCTAATCTCTCAGCAAGCCTCTTGGCCCAGAGTTTGGTCTGATGCGCATCCTCCTTCGACAGGGTGTCGCCACGCGCTGAGGTACTCGGCGTCTTCAGATGGACTTGAAGGACGATCGGTTTTTGCACACCGAGAGGCTTGTGCCACCAGAGAAGCCACACAATCGGGGTGAGCGCGGCGAAGCCCATTGTGGCCACCTCGAGCTGCGTGACTGGTAGTCCCTGGACAACCCGGCCGATCATCTGCAGCAGGAACCACAACCCCTGCAACAGTGCAATGCTCTTCGTAAAAGCATCACCCTTGCTCTTGTCCTCGATGTCCGCTTGCTTCACAGCTGCGATAGCTTCGAGAACACCGGGCTCGTTAAGCTGGTCCTCGGTAGCAATGACCTTGCCGTCCGCGTCGATGAATCCGCCCATCGAGAAAAAGAAGGCGTGGGTCATCGAAAGGGAGTCTGGGGAAGTTCGATGGGCTGAGGGAAGCTAAGAGACGGGTGGCGAATGTCAAAGGCGTCGCGCGCTCACCTTGATACGATGTCCGAGCGTAGATGAACTGCCAGAGGGCAAAGGAAAGCACTACCTCAGGTGCCGCCAGAGCAACCAGCATGAGCTTGACACTCTCCGTCACGGTCCAAAATCCCTTCCTCCCCGGGGCGGGTACATTTGGGTGCACCGAGACCCAGACAGAGGCAAAGATGGTCAACAGACAGCCCCAGACAATGCTGAAGAGGCTGCGAGAGAGTGACCCGTTTGCGTTGTCCAATGGCTCGTCTATGCACCCGAGCGTAAGGGTGTTGTTCACCTGCGGGAGGAGCATGAGAGGGCGAAGAGCGACCAATGATTGAGGACTACTGGCAACGGAGTTGAGATTCAAATACCCCGGCTCGGGCGCTTGTTCCATCCTTCTTTCCAGTCACAGGCATGTCTGGGGCCAGGCCTTGGCAGCATGGGGGTACGTTCTTCATGAGCAGGCGGTTTATCGTGGCCACCTCTTTCTCTCCTGCGCATGTTGCAATCGCAGATCCAGGCGGCAAACCTCGTTGCTTCCTGTTTCACCCGTTTCCATTCGATTTATGCATGAGTGGCTTTGGTTCATGCAAGCCCCATGCGAAATAGGATACGGTATGTTCTTCAGGTTCGTGAGACATAACCGGGTTGCAAGGCCAGTCTGATCGCAGAGCATATGTCTGGAAGGAGCCCAGCTGCCAGCTACGTCCGTGTCCCAGCGTTCTCTGGAATTTGACTTTCTAGCCCTTGGGGCAGCCAGTTCGTGTTCAGTCTCTGAAGGGTAAGATTCCCACAATTTCGCTTCTGAAGGACGACGATCTTGGACTTGAGCTTCATGCGACCGATCCAGCGCTATCCGTGAGAATGACCGTCAGCGAATACACGGAATTGCAGCGTGTATGCATTGAGGAGGGACTGAGGGACCTGTAGCCCATATGACGACGTGATTCGTTTGGAGTGGTGCAGGCAACTAGTGAGAAAGCGCCCGTCCCACGATGCTTTTCCCAAGGGAAAGGTGGAAGTATCGTGCCGGAGGATGTCTGCGAGTTCGGTGAATGCACCGATGGCCACTATAGCCGCCCGAGACAAGCTCGGTCATGAGTCCGGGCACATGTAAGATGAGGAGAGGAGACCTGCTTTGCAGCGCATGGAAATGGCCGTCTGGTACAGGTCCACGCACGGTGTAAAAGCTCGAGCCGACGTTCATAGCTCATCGATAAAACGCACTCGTCCGAAAGGCAGAGGCAGCCCTGCAGCTCGCATCCCATGGTTCCCGCTGCTAGTTGTGGCTGCGGGAGGGATGGGGATAGAAGGACACAGAGCCAAACCAGCAACCGCAGCTGATGTAGTCTACGGTGTCCTCATTGCAACTGGCACACTTATAAGCGCTGGCCCAGAAGACCGCGTGTTAGGGCAGACAAGAGTACCAGTCCGCCAAATCCTCCGCGCAGATGCAATAGATATAGCCTGAGATCCTGAGTCGCTTCGAGGGCGAGGGATCTAGACAGTGTAGCTTGAGAAGGTCATCTTGGCGCGAGGCAGGACATGGGGCACTGCCTTCCAGCGGACCGAGAGTATCCGTGACAGACGCAGGAGCGTGAGAGTCGTCACCTGCCACGTATGGCAGCAAGTAAGACACACCTATCACAACTTCAGCCTTGTATGAAAAGTGCCGCAACAACTCACAAACATGTCCTGGCCATCATAGACCACCCGAAAACGACAAGCCAAGCATATAAAACGCTTGGCGCCATCGGGATACATACGCCATCGGGATACATCCCATCGAGCGCTGCCTAAATGTCGGACGAAGAGACCGTCTCATCTGCAGATTAGACAGCAGCTGCCAGCGACGACTCCTTGGGGAGTATCGTCTCCACAGACAGCACCAAATGCGCAAGGACAAGCGCAGTGTCGGACGTAATTGTATACGGGAGTTTGGACGCATTCGGCAGCAGACTCAAAGGAGTCGTGGGGCGCAGTCGAGGGCCGCTTTCTAATCGGTTGCATACATGCCAGGGAAACTGATCGCAGTGGTAGGCAGTCGATCGCCTGACGAGCTGTTCGAGTTTGTGGATCTCGTATGGATCCAGGGAGTTCTTTGGAAGTCGGAAGCAATCCGGAAGGAGTTCTTGCAGGTTCGTGAAGGAACTAGTTGCAACATGGAAACCAGTGACAAGAGCAAGCTGCGATCGGCTTGTCTCTGCCGCACGTGACTTCGATCAGGCCATTCGATGAGCGAACAGAACCTCGCCATCTCGATATTCAAAAAGCGAGGACTGGTTGAAAAACATTCTGATAAGAAAATGGACCAAATCATGTAGAGACGGCTGATTCGAAAATTTCGAAACGGATGGATCGTGTGAGGCAATGTAGTCTTGCAAATGAAAAATCAACATCTTTCGTAAGAACAGTAGTACTTATTACAAAAAGTGAGGAATGAATCCAGTCCAATCTACAGACGAGAAGGCCCCGATTGGTATGTCTCGGAGAGAGGTAAACATCAGGACGAGCAAAGCCAGCCGAGCCAAGACATACAAAATGGGCAATGCAAAGATCACGAGTGCAAGAGGCAGGAACACAAGAAGGTCGTATGCCAAACCATCACTTTCTTTCGGGATTGAAATTGTATTCAATGAGCCCATGAATATGGTAGGCGCAAACGTGACCAAGATGGCACAGCTCCTCCACAGCCATTTTTCAATCACAGAGGGGAAGTCGACGTTCCATGCCGCGCAGTGGAAGCCGCCGAAAATGAGACCGAACACGGCTTGGCTGAGAAGACTGCGCTGAGCCACAGAAAATGAGCGCCAGGTGACTTCGGAATCCGACTCGGCCTCGCTGTGAGACCAGAACGTGGGGACGGACCGTCCCGTCGGATCGTCGTAGTTCCCTAGTACGAGACCCCCGAATCTATTCCAGAGCCTGTCGTGCCAGGTTTCGGTCTCATTCGCATCCTCTTGCAACGGAGTGTTAATCGATGCTGGGGTAGCAGGCGTCTTCGGCAGGGCTGCAAGGTCATTTTGCGCGTCCTCCTTCGATGGGGTGTCACTACGTGCTGTGGAACTAGGCGTGGCCAGATGGACTGCGAGAACGATCGGTTCTTGCACATCAAGAGGCTTGCGCCACCAGAGAAGCCAAACAACCGGGGTGAGCGCAGCAAACCCCACCGTGGACACCTCAAGCTGCGTGACTGGCAGTCTCTGGACAACCCGGCCGATCATCTGCAGCAGGAACCACAATCCTTGAAGCAGTGCGACACCCTTCGTGAACCCATCACCCTTGCTCTTGTCCTGAATCTCCGCTTGCTTCACAGCTGCGACAGCCGCGAGGACACCGGGCTTGTTGAGCTGACCCTCGGTAGCGATGACCTTGCCGTCCGCGTCGATGAATCCGCCCATCGAGAGAAAGAAGGCATGAGTCATCGAGAGGGAGTCCGGGGGAGTTCGATGAGCTGATGGAAGCTTAGAGACGGGTGGCGAATGTCAAAGGCGCCGCGCGCTCACCTTGATACAATTTCCGAGCATAGATGAACTGCCGGAGAGCAAAGGCGACCACAGCCTCGGGTGCTGCCAGAGCAACTAGCATGAACCTGACTCTCCTTGTCGCGGTCCAGAACACCTTGGTGCTTGGCGCAGGTACATTGGGGTGCACCGAGACCCAGACAGAGGCAAAGATAGTCGATAGACAGCCCCAAATGATAGCGAAGAGAGTGCGAGAGAGCGGTCCGTTCGCGTTGTCCAATGCTTCACCTGTGCGCGCAAGAGAAACGGTGTTGTTCACATGGGGTAGGAGCATGAGAAGGACGGGGAGCGACCGATGGCTGATCAGCGCTGAGAGTGGCGATCTGGGTCAAGTACTCCCAAGCCGGGCGCTTGTTCCATGCTTCTTTCCAGTCACAGGGATATCGGGGGTTAGTTCTTGACAGGATGAATGGTTAAGAGACTGTTGAGCCAGATTGCTGCTGCCGGAGCGGTCTATTGATCACAGCACGCAGTCCTTCGCGGCCACCCTCGTTCGTGAATCATCCCGCATCGAGGCGACAAGAGAGGACCCTCATTCCCACCCGATACACACGTTCCCATCCGACTCGCGTTTGTATCGATCCGCATTCGCTCAGACTGGTCCAACACAACATAGTATATCCTCTCGGCGACGCTTCGCTAGTCATGCCCACTTTATCAACCGGCGTCCAGAGCCAACCTCAAAGCATATGTCTAGAAAGCTTCAGCTGCCATCCGAATCTGTGTCGCATTGTTCTCTGGACTTTAGCTTTCCACCCCCGCAGAAGCCTGTTTGCGCTAAGTCTATTCACAGCTCATTGATTTCCAGCCAGTCATGCACGCCTCGTCCAATCAAGCGGTGATTGATGAACCCGACTGTGAAGCTCGTGAAAGGACAGTCTTCTGGAGGGGTAAAGGCTTGTGCACACAGGCCTTGGCTGCAGGAGCGCACGTCCGATGGGGCGTTTTGGAACGAAAAGGCGGAAGCATCATGCCCGAGTCTTCCAGAGTCGAATGAATGCGCCGATGGTGGTGATAATCAGCCTGAGACAAGGTTTATCATGGGTCAGGCCACGTGTAAAGAAGAGGGGACCTGCCTGTCGGGGCATTGGGTTGTCTCATTGACGTGGATATATTCCAAGTCTATCCACGATATGAAGACCTAAATCGAACGGTCGCATCCCGTCGATAGAACACACTCCTTAGAGATGCCGAGGCAGTCGTGAGGCCTGCGCGCGAGGTGCCCAGGCCCCTGACAGTCGCAGCTGATGTGGTCCATTGAGTACAGAGAATGGTGCACTTCTTGCAGCTGAGGTGCGCATGACCGTGGGCCCGGTAGACAGATCACGGACACAGTGCATGTTCCCGATTTATCCGGGCTACGTTCCCTGAGATGAAGAGGGATGTGGGCTCCAAGTCGTTGATTCAGCAGCTCCCGCCTGTCGATGATGCTACAGACGCTCGTGCGTCATCGCAAATTGTTAAGGGAGGTGTAGAAGAATCCTGAAATCTATCTGTGAGATTCAGGTCGACATGCACTCGGCATGAACGTGAAGAGCAGGTCAAGAGAGTAGAAAGCAGTTGCTGACAACTGACAGGACACAGTTAGTCATCTGGTCTCGGCACCGCCACGCCCTAGTCGTCCTGCTTAGGACATCTATGTTCTGGGGCCGTTGTCTTTCTCCTTGTCCTTAACCATCAGTCGACCTCAGGTGTTAGCTGCCTGTTGATCAAAGTCAGGTCTAGAATCTTCCCTCCAACCCAAGCTGCGTGAGAGATTTGCGGACTTGTTATCTGCCCACGCGTGTATCCACCATGAATGGACTTGCAACGACCCGTAGCGCCGCAGGAGGCTCTCAATCCAACGAGGACGAGGAGCTGAAACCGTACGTCCTCATGAACGAGATTGGGAAGGGTAGTTTTGCGACAGTCTACAAAGGGTACCATGAGGTGAGTGATAGACCTACCGCATCCTCCTTGCCACTGACCCTTGCGGCTAGGTCAATCACCAGACTGTGGCTATCAAGACTGTGATACGCCAAAAGCTATCCACGAAGCTGTTTGAGAACCTGCAGAGCGAAATCCAGATCCTCAAGACCATTTCCCATCGCCATATCACGAAGCTCATTGATATCGTGGTGCGCCCCTCCCTACCTATCGCTTTCTCCCCTCACACACCCAAAGCGGACCGATCGTAACATATATCTTATCATGGAGTACTGCTCCGGTGGCGATCTGACGAACTATATCAAGAAGCGCGGGAGAGTAGAGAGCCTGGAGTACGTGCCTTCGCCAGGTGCTGCGCCTCAATACTACCCTCATCCCCGCACCGGCGGCTTGGACGAGATCGTCGTGCGCAGCTTCCTGCGCCAACTTGCCCGAGCGCTCAAGTTCCTCCGCACACGCAATCTCATTCATCGAGACATCAAGCCTCAGAACCTTCTCCTGAATCCCGCACCACCAGAAGAGCTCGCGCGTGGCCATCCTCTCGGCGTCCCCATTCTCAAAGTCGCTGACTTTGGATTTGCACGTTCGCTTCCGAACGCTATGATGGCAGAGACGTTGTGCGGTTCTCCGTGAGTCACTACGACTGATCTCTCACGACAGAGCTAAAAGCGCTGTCTCAGATTATATATGGCACCGGAAATCTTGCGGTATGAGAAGTACGACGCGAAGGCCGACTTGTGGTCCGTCGGTGCTGTTCTGTTCGAGATGGCCGTTGGCCGAGCGCCATTCCGTGCTCAGAATCATCTCGAGCTCTTGAAGAAAATCGAGCAATCGAAGGGCATCCGGTTCCCTGATGAAGACCCAAGTTCTAAGTCATCGCGCAGCGGAGCGGGAGGGGGCGAGGACCTGCCCGTGCCCATGGACGTGAAGAAGCTCATCCGGATCCTCCTCAAGCAGAATCCAGCCGAGCGAGCGAGCTTTGAGGGGTTCTTTGGGAGCACAGCTTTGGCCAAATCCAAGTTTCCTCGACCTTCCGAGACGTCGTTATCGACCTCGGCGACCGAGGATGGGGTCGTTCCAGCGCACCATCTTATCATTCCGCCGGAAGTATTGGATCCCAATGCCATGATTCCGCCCAGCAAGTTCAATTTCCGGGACGTTCGAATGAATGCTGCATCAGCATCATCTCCAGGGTTCGTGTCATATACTGAGATATCGAGACTCTGTGTGAGTAAAGTCTTTCTATAGGGCTGGCCCGTCGGCTCCTCCACAAGCAAGGCGACCGTCGTTCCCCACCAATAATTCTCCGAAACGGATTCCGCGGCCTCTGGGGGCGGAGTCTTCGATCATTCCCGGGGAAACGGAAGAAGATGGGAAGCTCCGGCGGGAATATGTCATGGTGGGCGATACTCGAGCTGTCGAATTCAATCGTGTGGTCGATGGTGCGTGACGAATCGTATTTCCACATGGTGCTGTCTGATCATCCCCAGAGCTGAAAATCGTTCCCCGCAAACCTCTCCAAGACGTGCGGATTCCTCCGACGCCATCTGCTGAGGAATACCCCGAGTACCCGACATCCTTCCCCCCGGCGCCGATTCCAGGGGCGCCGATTAGCATGCCGACGCCTTTGTCGTCCTCGCCTTCCAGCATGGCTTCGCGTGCAGCAGCCCACGCACTGAATCGGGCCCTCAGCATGGCATCAAAGAAGTTGTTCGGAACGCCCACTACAGTTCATCGCCGGTCCATGTCGCTGAAAGACAACAGTGCACCGCCATCACCACGGCGCAACATCATCGCGCTTGACAGCGAAGGGCAGCGGGACCCACTTGAGGATGACCTGCTGGGATCGCTCGAGCAGGTGGCGCAGAAGACGTTCGTGCTCACCAACTGGGCTGACGAGATGTATGAATACGTCAAGGCCATCCCACAGAGTATGTACTCAATTCGGTCGTTCGATTGAAAAGTAGTGACCAAGGGCTTACAGAACCACTACCGGATCCCACAAAATTCGCGCAGAAGGACGGCGAAGGGGACAAGCATGCCCGGAAACGCAGACACGCAGACATGGAAGCAGAGTACAACGCCGTGACATGCGTGGCTGTCTATATGCTGTTGATGGAGTTTTGCCAGCGTGGAATCAACCAGCTGAGGAATCACCAAGAGCACATGAAAATGCGTCATCCGGAGGAGGACTTCGTTGTGAGTGAAGGATTCGACGATGGTACGTGTGTTTCTGCGCTGTTCTCTTCACGTGGACGAAGTCTTACCGTGTGCAGCTCTCACGTGGTTCAAGGACCAGTTCGTCAAGTGCTACGAGCGGACGACGATGGTCAAGGCGTGGCTTCCGGCCCAGTACGATGGACCCAAGAGCTGGATCGACCAGCTCGTGTATGAGCGAGCCTTGCTGCTGGTCTGTCCTATCGCTTCTTCACAGTGCTGCCCGGGCTGACCCAAGCAGAGTCGCACAGCTGCGCGCAAAGAGCTTCTTGACCAGGCAACGAGCCCAGACGAATGCGAGAAACTGTACGAAGAGAGTCTGTGGTGTCTGTACGCCCTGCAGGACGACCTGCTGCAGACCGGGAATCCGTTTATGGAGGAAGATCGCACTACCATTGACACCTGTATGTTGGCAGTCCTCCAGATCTTTCTTGACCCCCGGGATCTCATTCGCTCATGCAGGGATCAAACGCACGAAACTGCGTCTGCTGCGATGTCGACATCGGATGAAACTTACCCATCAGGAACGGCTCAGCGATGCTCGCGCGGACAACAACCTCGCCGACGTGCCTCGCATTCCGGCGCCCTGGGATGTGAAGCCTCCTACAGACGCGTCGAGTGATGCCACTGAATAAAGAGAATCTGCGTCTTCGCCCTAGACGGCCGTGTCTGACTCTATCTATCATCTATGGATCATCCATCATCTCTCATCCGCATTTGTATTCTTCGAGTGGTTGCATAGCTAGCTGTACCAGTACCCATAAATATTACCTGTATTTGTCGTAATCTGATTTCTGGCCGCAGTCTGGGAACCTTTTCCGTTCCATGCGTTGCTCAAGGTTTAAGCCTGGACTTGACAGGTGGAAACCAGAACATTAGGCTTGGATACGGGCACCATCATGATGAGATGATGGTATCAATATCAACTTCAATCCGAGTCACGTGCCACACAGTAATGTAAAACGGGGTCAAGGCCGGCGGTCCAGGCGCGACGATAAGAGCCAAAAGCAAAACTCCGGACATTCAAGCGCTCAAAGGGCACTCAGGAACCGGTGAATTACACGCGGAAAGAGCTGATTTACGCCTTGCTCGGTGAGTGACCACTGACCACTGACCACCTGTCCGATCGGATATATGCATCCATGTCCCCGGATCAGAGTCGGTAAGACAACCGGGCGATCCATATATGTAGGTCGGCCACGTAGGTTGTTACCTCACGCTCGTCGTCTTTCCCCCTCGTCCCAGGACACGCAAGATGTTCATTCTGCCTGCGCCCGTCTCGGCCACCGCACTGCAGCTCGAGCTTGCCCTCCCGGCGTCTCCGGCATGGGTCTCGTCGCTCAGCATGCCGTACATCCGCCTCGCCCTCGTGCTCCTCACGACGCTCGCGATCCTGGCTCTCGTCAGGGTGGTCCTGTGCTCCCGCGCGCATGCCGTCATCCCCGTTGCACTGGCGGTTGAGAAGGCTGGAACGCCCGTTGCGACTGTCGCCACGAACGAGAAGACAGCAGAGCCGGCCGTGGGGCACACACGGTGGCTCGCTCGACTGCTGTCTTGGAAGAAGAAGTCGTCTTTGTCAGACATATCCGCATCGGCTCCGTCTATGGCACTCTCGCGGACTCTGCCCCTCGCCATCCGTCCCTCTGTTGCGCCGCCCATGCGCGGGCAGCGCGGAGTGCGCGGTGTGGGTCTCGCTCGACGGCCCGAAGTCCCTCGTGCCCTAGTCGATGTCCCCTGTACGCTGAGTCTCCGTTCCTGCATTGCCCGTCGTCGCTGATTTAGTGCCCAGTGCCTGCCTTGTTCCAATGTCAAACACCTGCTTCCATGGCGAAAGCGATCATGAGCCGTCATGTGAGTGGTTGTCCCTGTCCCAGCTCCTTTTTCTCCGGCGGCCCGCGCGGACTTTGCTCGGGCCCGAAGGTTTCTTCTCCTCCGAGCCTTACCCTCGCTTCTTCCGCATCCGCCTTCGTGCTGACACCATTTTTCTCCGCAGACGCACCGTCGTCCATCTGCCATCCCATCCTCGTCCTCCCGTCGCTCAACGCCATCGTCTCTCACTCGGTCTGTTTCCCACCCGTCTCCTTCCGCGGAGGAAGGAGCGGTGTGATGCGACCGAGGAGCAGGGCCCATCTGCCAGCGCCCGGGACAATCCGGCCGCTGCTGCTGATGGGTCCGTGATGACGAACTGACGACTGTCACGAGGTGGACTCTTCGCTGCATGAAGAACGTCCACCATACCACATACCACACACACTCGATACGAAAGAGGCGCGCCGCGGGCTTTTTCTGGTCCTCGGATCCAGCCTGTATGCGCGTCCTCCTGATCGGGCCGCGCTGCCCGCCAGTGCCGCAAGTCTATTCTATTACTACGTTATTGTCCACAATTTGAATTCAATGGTACTAAATTATATCTACGAAATGAGTCTGGCTTTTTCGTGCCAGCATTCTGTTCCTGCTCCTGACGACGTGCGTGGCTCCATGTCAGCTTGGCTACTCTGAGTGCTCGCATGTTCCGAGCAGTCGAGAATGGATCGTCTGACCGACGTCCGTCGTTCGGGCTGTCAGTCACTCCGAGACATGTATGGACAGGCGTCTCAGACAAAGGTGCACCCACAACGTAGAGCGGGAGATCAGCACTGACTGTATGTTTCTTGCACGACCAAATGCATTCCAAAAACATCTGTTTAGGATCCGGACCATGAGCCTTCAAGCCAATACTATTGCGCTTTCACCACGGAATCCGGGCCTGGTCTGCACTGATATCGGGGCTGAGTATACCGACTCTGTGGTGTGGGCTCAGGGGTAACGATTAACAAAGTTTGAGCAGTAACTTGATAAGATGGACTGAGAAGAAGAACAGCATCGTGTCGTTGGTACACCTTCAATGGTCTCGCGCTTACGACCAAAGAGCCATGTCACGGTGACCTAGATACAACCAAGCTGGAATTAAAATTATTACATTCTGATCCTCTGGCAAAAAAGAAGTCCAAAGAGATAGCAGTTAAATCTCTCAGGAGGGATTTTTCCTTGCCTCAGAATTCACAAAAAGCTTTTTTTGTCAAGGCCAAATTGAGAGATCAGTGATGTCGTCAATACATCAATCACGTGTAATAACGCAATGACCTTATTCAGGCTGGTATTCAACAGGATTGCAGACTGTATATCTTCCTGTATAGGAATGCACAGCTGCTTCAATACGTAAGCATTGCTTCTGGCCCATAGCTGAGGTGAAAAATTGGTGAGTATTTAAAAATCTTTCTGGAGCAAAATTGAGAAATCAATAAGTATTGGCATCAGTGATTGTTCCAATATGGTTGTGTTTAGCTGACATGCACCATAGGCGACGCGCACCGTCATACTTGGCGGAAACTGCCGCTTCTCAAGCTCATTTTCGGGGAACGGAGCGTCCGACCGGGTCGGATTCGTGCCGTTCGACTCGGAGAAGGGACTGCAATCGAGGGTTACTAAGCTCAGTGTTACAAATGCAACGTTTCCGGACTGGCAGCGAAGCACTGAGAGAAGGGCCATGCCGAAGGATGACGCGTGTTGTCGCCGTCGTCGCGGCGGAGATGCTCGTCGCCTATGGGCCAAGGAGAGCAGGACTCGTTATTCATAAGCCCCAGTGTGTTATGGAGTATTTAAACACAGATGGATTGGCGCAGCTGGGGCAGTCAGCGGTTCCTCTCGTCTTCGATGACGCGAATTTCAGCCATGCTCTCTTCTGTACTGCTCTTTGTTCTCGCCGCCAGTGGCGCCCCAACGGTGCAACTCGGCAAAACAGCCGTGTTTGGGCGCAATATATCGACGTTCGGCCAGGAGTTCTTCGGAGGTGCGCTCCCCAACTGCTTCGACGTTCACTCGAGCTGAGGATCCATAGGCATCCCGTACGCCGAACCGCCGCTCGGCGATCTCCGCTTCCGGCCTCCCGTGCTGACGACCTCCCTGAACGAAACCACGCTCGATGCCGCGCAATTCGGGGCGTCGTGCATCCAGGGCGCAAGCGTCAACCTCCCCGGTGTGCGTACAGCTAAGAAGCGTCGCTGAAGAGATGGTGCTGATCAGATTGCTACATACAGAATCTCCCCAGCGGCTCTCCGGTGTCCGAGGATTGTTTGACGATCAATATTCTCCGCCCTGCCGGTGTCGATTCCACCTCAAAACTCCCTGTGGTGAGCAAGCACGGTCTCGAGCCGCTTTTCCCCTGAATATATCTGATCCCGGTCGGACAGATGTTCTGGACGTAAGAATCCTTTCTGCGCGTAGCTCCAAGCGCCAATTTAATCGAGCACATATCTTTACAGATACGGCGGTGGATTCATTACCGGTGCCTCCGTGCTTTACAACGGCAGCGCCATCGTTGAGCAAAGCGTAATTCGAGTACGTCTCTCTCTTTCTCTCTCATACAGGAAACTCTGACAAGGCTTGATCGCGCAGGGCACTCCTGTCATCTTCGTCAACTTCAACTACCGCCTCGGACCTTTCGGCTTCCCCCAAGGCCAGGAGGCGGCGGATCAGGGAGCGCTGAACCTCGGGATCAAAGACCAGATCGCTGCGCTCGAGTGGGTGCAGAAAAACATCGGCAAGTTCGGCGGTGACGAACGCAAAGTCCTCGCGTTTGGAGAAAGCGCGGGAAGCATCCTCACGTCGATCTTGTTCTTGAACAATCGGGTCGATAAATTGGCGCGTGCCGCGGTGCGTATCTCGTCAACATCGATCTTTTCGTCAGGCAAGGACATCTGAGCCATGTCATAGATTTTCGAGTCCGGATCGCAAGCCACAGTGGCGATTTTTCCCGCGGCGCGCCGGGAGAATCTCTGGACCAACTTTGTGGGGAGTGTCCCCTCCTGTGCCTCCCTCGCGGGCACCCATTCGACGTTCTCGTGCCTACGGAACGCCACCACTCAGGAGCTCAGCAGCGGCTTTAACACTGCCTTAGCAGAATCCGCCGAACCCTTTCCGTGGGACCCAGTTATCGACGGTCCCCAGGGCTTGATCCCCGATCTGCCATCGCGGCTGCTGGCGCAGGGCAACTTCTCGCGGATTCCTTTCATTGCTGGGACCAACCTGGACGAGGGTGTGTTGAATCATTCATTTCTCCAAGCTCGAAAAGCTCACTCGTGTGATCGCAGGAACTCTGTTTACCTCGCAGTCGCTCAACTCCACTGCCGCGGTCAACGCATCATTGATCCCGGAACGCTTGCCGTCGGTCTCCCCTGCGGTTCTCCAAAGTTCCGTTACAGAACTCCTGGAACTCTACCCGGATGTTCCTGCCCTTGGTGTGTCGTGTCCATTTCTCTTGTCCCGTGCGCAGCTGACCTGTATTCTCCAGGATCACCATTCGGGACAGGAAACAACACCTTCGGTCTGAGTAGCCAATTCAAGCGCGCTGCAGCTATCGGTGAGCAGAATTTGAACTTTCAGGATCAATTCCTAGAATCTCAATTTTTCGTCAGATGGAGATCTAGATTTCCACTCCCAGCGGCGACTGTGGATCGAAGCGGCAGCTAGTGCCGGTGTAAAGACTTTCGGGTATCTGTTCACCCAGCCACAGCCAGACGGCCTGCCTCAGCTCGGAGGTACGTCCTGCTCGATCCACCAAAAACTCCATCAGGCACTGACTCGCTGTTTCCGCGTCTAGTTTCGCACGGATCCGAGATCGTCTACGTGTTCGGCGCGCCTGTGGACACGTCGCCCTCATCGGTGGCCATAAGCCGCATCATGATCGACTACTGGGTCTCGTTCGCGACGAGTCTGACCCCGAACGACGGGCTCGGCACCCCGCGCGCGGAGTGGACGCCGTTCACGCCGACATCAAAAGTGAGCCTTCGAGCATCGCTGCCGCCGTAATTGTGACTAATCTATGTGCCCGCACAGTCGCTCATCCAGCTCAACGGGGCAAATCTGACGATGATCCCTGACACCTATCGCGAGGGTGAGTCCTCTGCTTGGCTTGCTCCCCCTTGTGTGATTTCTCATTATCTACAGAGCAAATCTCCTTTATCAACTCGAACCCAGTGATATGGCGTCACTGAGCCGTTTATTGTCGTGTTCATCTGTAGTCAAGTCAATCCATATATGTTGCTTTGGTGCTTTAGTGAAGCTCGAGGAACTCAAAGCTGGTTCAATACATCGTCGGTTCTAAATCACACCGCCGTCTCATTCCATGTCACGGCGGATTGGCTGTGCATCTGTATGTATGGTAGATCTTCTCTTTCTCTATCTTCTTACTTTTTAGTCCATTCTTACATCCACCTGGCCGGAAAAAAGCTCTTCTTGTTAGATGCATAAGAACGGTCTCAACGGAGTTGAGGAGCACTTATGGGTGAACAACTGAGCCATACTTACTCTCATGCACAGCAATTTCAAAACAGATTGCTATTCCATGGATACAACACTGTTCTCAGTACCCGATCCTATGCGCTACCTGGCTACCCACTCGTTTCTGTGAAGATCCCCTGCTTGATCAGCTCGGCAAGCGCAGCGGAGACATCCTCTCCAAGATCATGTTGCCAGATTGGGTCCCAAACTCCTTGAAAATGGCTTTGCATGTCGTTTTTCTGGTACCCGGGAAGCCCGCAGCGCTCATAATGAAGTCCGGCTGCAAAACTTCGATTCCAGACCATCTCAGCACGTGGTCGACGGATGCAGTCGTATACAGCCAGAATGGACTGTGGGTCACGTGTTTCAGTACAGTATGTCATCCAAATGATTGAGTATCTTTTACTGACCTGCAGATTGGAGATATTCGTCTGAGGGTGACCGAGCAACTTGCAGAGAAGAAAAACATCCTCGAGTCCTTGTCCGAATCCCGAGCCGAGATGCGGACACATGGCGTGGGCCTGAAAATCTCCCGAATCAGCCCAGAATAGCCGCGGAAGAGACACGTACTGCATCTCCGACCAGGACGACTCTGTCTCGCGAGTATCTCTCCAGCGGTTTCAAGTGATGGATGAACCATTTGGTCGGCTTCTCGATGTGCTGAAGGATCGTCTGCACGTCAGGGCCCCAGTGTGCATACGCGTCGACGAGTTCTTGCTGAGGCACCCGCTGAACCCACGATCCGGCCACTTGCACAGATCCAACCGGAACCCCAGTTTCGGTAGCAAAGGCCACGATGTTGATCTACACGAGCAGTTGAGATGAGGGCAGTCCGACAAAGGCGTGGCTTACCTTTGTGCGCTTTTGGATGGGATAAACGATGATGTGCTCGCACAAAATTCAGCGATCCCACACACGTGCTGGAGCTAGCCTTGACCTACCTTGCCGATGCCCACAAAGTTGAACGTGCGGCTGGTCAGATCCGTTCTCACGCCGGCTCCTTTTAAGACATCCCAGGGCACAACTCCTCGATATGCGACCGTATTCGTGAAGTCGAGCACTTCCTTGTTGTCTTTCCCAGTCAAGAAAGTCCGGGATGAGCTGTGGATGCCGTCTGCTCCAATGACCAGATCCGCTTCGTGTGTAGTGCCGTCCGAGAAGTGGATAGTGTATGCGGATGTTCCAGAGACTGTAGAAATAGATGTGAGACGTTTCTTGAAATGCATGTGGCTGGGATCCGGAATCAAAGGGAGCACCGCGTCAAGAAATGTCGGCCTGAATATGTTGAGTATCTAGTTTGACGTGGGCGTGAATCACGACAGACCTGTAAATGCTAATACCTCCATCCAGAGATCCACAGTCAGGCTGTAACGATTTCAGTCTCATGTCTCATCAACGGGCGATGGCGCACACTATCCCCGTAATCGTATAGCACTTGATGGTCACCAAGACCAGAAACGAACACCATCCTACGATCCGCGTGCTCGGATGCTTCAGGGAGGTTCATAATCGAGCTAAGAATTCCGAGCTCATCCAGTGCCTGCAAGGCATTCGGTCCTGCCACGACCTCAGAAGCGGGTCCGAGAGCCAGGTAGAAGAGAGCACGAACCGAGACCGATACCAGCCCCGACTTCTTCGAACTTGGCCTAAGAGCAAGTGAGAGGAATATTACTCCCATCGGCGCAGAGTCTCCGCACGGTAGCTTCAAATAGATCAGCATGGATACCCGCACGCGCCAAACCGACGGCACAAGCCAGTCCACACATCCCACCGCCGATAATGGCCACCCGGAAGTCCTTGCTAGTTTGGACTGGAGATTTCGCGGAAGAGTCCATTCGAGCAATGGCAAGATGGGTGGAAGAGTGTGTTCCGGTTCACTGAGGATACAAATACTGTAGAGTTTCGTTTCGGCAGGGAGTCCGCCGGCAGTGATTGAAGACACCCTTGGTTCGAAATTCGATGAGTTCGGCCCCCGCGGTGACTGGAGACATGTAATATCTTGGTTCGACGCAGGATCTTGGGTAGAAGCTTGCCGCGACTGCCGTAGATGCACCTCAGTTACCACCGCCATCACGCGGTTCTCCCCCCGCGGGGTACCTACTGGGTACCCTCAGACGTCTTGCTGAGGGTACCCAGTAGGTACCCCCTGGCGGGGGGTGGGGGGCCATTTTGTCGATTTGGCGGCGGGGGCATATGCAGGGGTCAGGAGAGGGGGTACCTATATGTACCATGTGACTTATCATGAGGAGCGGGCATATGAGCGGGAAAAAAAAAATACAATCACATGACATGCTGCATGGGCGGGATGGCGGGATAAAAAATCACGTGATGCGCTGCACAAAAAATTACCAAAATGCTGGCAGGGGTTGGCGGGGTCATTGGCGGGGTCACTACCACCCCCCCGCACACCATGGCGGGCAGTGGGCGCATTATCACGTGACTTTTTGGGCACCTTTTTTGCAGCATTTGGCATGATTTTGGAGATGCTGCTTGAGACATTGCATGCTGTGGCAGACAATGGGCGCAAAATCACGTGATTTTCCGCCAAAAAAATGGAAGACTCCCCAAATCATCCCAGTATAATTTCCATAGGTAAATAGGCTAGTTAAACATGAACTTGAGCTTAGAAAAACCAAAATGCACCCTGCATAATGGGATTGGTGACACACTTGATCCCATCATTTGGCAGGGCCTGCCGCAGGGGCTGCCGCGGGGGGTGCCGCAGGGGGTGCCGCAGGGGGTGCCGCGGGGGCTGCCCCAGGGGGTGCTGCGGGGGGTGCTGCAGGGGCTGCCCCAGGGTTGGTCTGTCATGATCCATTTTTGTTCATTGAAGATCTTGTAGAGGTGAGCAGAGCAACAGGCCAACTGGGAATTTATAGGAAGACATTGAAATTGATGCAGAGGTCAGATGCGGGGCCCACTGCAAGGTCTACTGCAGGGGCAGGGGTGCATTATATCAAATTTTGATGTATCTATTCTGGCCATGGCCATAGAATGTCACATAATTATCCTTCAATTTGGCAGGGTTTTCTTGGTATGGTCTGCGGCTAAAGGCATCTGATTCCCTTGTGTGTTAGCAGAGGCTGGGATATTGAAAACATGCAATAGCACCTGTATAATCTGTCTATGTAGGGTCAAATACAAGTTATGATTCGTTCATGTGTTGCCGGGCAGGGTGGGTAGGTTGGCTGCACTGGGTCCACTGTCATCTCATTGATTTTTGGTGCGCTCATTCTACATACATGGCTATCAGGAAATTGTTCACACTGTTAGCACAGTGTAATCTTACCCTGCGGCACATTGTACCAAATGTCAAGTACACATTGAATGTCTCACTTCCTGACTGGGACTCATTGAAAATCAGAAGTTCTGTGATGTTTTGCAAATGATTTTCTCAAGCTGCAACATGAACAGATGGAATATAGTGGATTTGACATGCCCTCGATTCATTCCTGGGTCGCATATAAGAGGATGAAATAACTCACTCATAAGTTGTCTCACAATAGCCAGAGATTGAGAATGAATTCAGATTTCATATACAAAATTCTTCCCACTTAGAGCTTGGATACTTGCAAGACAAACTGCAGAAACATACATGATTGCTTTTGCTACTGGGACTGCATACATTCTTGCCATAACTCACTGCCTGCAACTCTACCTGCACCCCCCACTGGCACCCCCACTGGCACCCCTGCGGGCACCCCCCGCCAAACTGGCACCCCCCACTGCACCCCCGCATGCACCCCCGCCAGGCTGACACCCCCTGCCACACCCCCCGCTGCACCGGTGCCTTGCCCCTGCCGTCTTCTCATATGTAAGATTACATAATCTGACAGCTCGGAACACGTCAAGTCACTAGCCAATCAGAACCTGTATAAACGTTGTACCTAAGTGTTTCCTGCTCTTCTGACACTGTTTCTACAGTTATGCAGCTGAAAACCATCGGAATAAGGTCTCCCTATGCTGTTCTTGTTGAATATGTAGGTATTTCATATTGTTTGTCCATCCAAAATTCGAAACATGAAAACAGTTCACAGTTCCTCAAGGTTCCTACATAGATAATGGTTCAACATAGTTCACTTTGGGTATTGCAAAAATATATATTTTCTACAAATGAACAACTCAATACAGCTGAATGATATACCCCTTGGCAGTGTCTGAAACAAATTCTGAGAGCCCTGGACCCTGGAACCATTCAAAAACTTGAAATGGGTCTGAAAAATAGGGTCTTGATAAACATGAGATAGGGGCCAGTTTGAAGAGATGTAAGCCACTGGCCATGTTCAATATGGTATTTGACAATGTTTCGGTGCCCTACCTCTCACCAAATGGCCTCCTTTCCCACCAAAAAGTGCACATACACACTCAAGCTTATAAAATCAATTGTCGGCCAGAAACAAGAGCAGGCAAGTTGTGTCACTGGAATTGGGTAAAGGTAACCTGGAAGTCACTTGGGTTGCAGTACAGAAGCTTTGGAAAGTGATCCTGTAGTTGATCCACATTGGATAGGCTGGCAGAGGCTTGGGCACCCCCCGCGGCACCCCCCGCAGCAGCCCCCGCGGCAGCCCCCACCATCAACCCTGCCCCAGCCCCTGCAAGGATTGGATGGACAAAAGTGCTGCTTAATCCATTGTTAGTGCTCACAGTATTATCACATCCATTAAAGTGTCTAAATGGTGTGTAGACAAGGAATATGAAATCCATCAATCAACAATCCTAACACCTGTATCAGATATCCTGAAAATGGAGAGGAAGATTTGGGAGCAGACAGACTATCTGAAGCAATCAGACAGGGACAAGGATCAGTAGCTATTCCTGGTGATCAATTTGGCTGCACATGGAAAACTCCCTTGGGGAATTTGCCAAACAAATCAAGTTGCGCATTTTTCAAACATTAAATTTGACCTAATAGCTTTAGCAGACCATGCCCAAATGTACCAAGTCATAACTTGTATTTGACCCTACATAGACAGATTATACAGGTGCTATTGCATGTTTTCAATATCCCAGCCTCTGCTAACACACAAGGGAATCAGATGCCTTTAGCCGCAGACCATACCAAGAAAACCCTGCCAAATTGAAGGATAATTATGTGACATTCTATGGCCATGGCCAGAATAGATACATCAAAATTTGATATAATGCACCCCTGCCCCTGCAGTAGACCTTGCAGTGGGCCCCGCATCTGACCTCTGCATCAATTTCAATGTCTTCCTATAAATTCCCAGTTGGCCTGTTGCTCTGCTCACCTCTACAAGATCTTCAATGAACAAAAATGGATCATGACAGACCAACCCTGGGGCAGCCCCTGCAGCACCCCCCGCAGCACCCCCTGGGGCAGCCCCCGCGGCACCCCCTGCGGCACCCCCTGCGGCACCCCCCGCGGCAGCCCCTGCGGCAGGCCCTGCCAAATGATGGGATCAAGTGTGTCACCAATCCCATTATGCAGGGTGCATTTTGGTTTTTCTAAGCTCAAGTTCATGTTTAACTAGCCTATTTACCTATGGAAATTATACTGGGATGATTTGGGGAGTCTTCCATTTTTTTGGCGGAAAATCACGTGATTTTGCGCCCATTGTCTGCCACAGCATGCAATGTCTCAAGCAGCATCTCCAAAATCATGCCAAATGCTGCAAAAAAGGTGCCCAAAAAGTCACGTGATAATGCGCCCACTGCCCGCCATGGTGTGCGGGGGGGTGGTAGTGACCCCGCCAATGACCCCGCCAACCCCTGCCAGCATTTTGGTAATTTTTTGTGCAGCGCATCACGTGATTTTTTATTCCGCCATCCCGCCCATGCAGCATGTCATGTGATTGTATTTTTTTTTTCCCGCTCATATGCCCGCTCCTCATGATAAGTCACATGGTACATATAGGTACCCCCTCTCCTGACCCCTGCATATGCCCCCGCCGCCAAATCGACAAAATGGCCCCCCCACCCCCCGCCAGGGGGTACCTACTGGGTACCCTCAGCAAGACGTCTGAGGGTACCCAGTAGGTACCCCGCGGGGAGAGAACCGCGTGATGGCGGTGGTAACTGAGGTGCGTAGATGCGATTATTTAGCCGTTTGATATCCAACATGGCTTCCAAGTTCTATGACAGAAGTATGATAAAATTTCTGTGAACCTGGCGTTTTCATACCCATAATTGGTGTTTGGCGGCCGAAAGATGGAGCATGCTGTAATAGGCTGTAATGTACCAGATATGCCCAAATATGTCCGCTATACGTGAAAAATTTGAATTTCAGCTGCCATTTTGTCGTTCTGAAAGTTCAGTTCGGGCCCAAGTTCGACGCCCCGTTGACCAGTGACATGAATTAATGAACTTCGATTCACAGCCCCCGGTGACCGGTGACTCGAACACCCAGTCGAAGCTGTTCAGTATCCTCTTCTATGCAACATTTGCTTACTCTACTTATGTGACCTATGTTGCCATGCACTATGAATAAGTACTATGCTTTACTAATGCAGCGATTACAACTTCCGGGGTCCATCTCAAGCGTAAGACCGATTATCATTCCATCAATTAGACATGATCTCCGAGCCTCTATTCATCGGTGATTGTTTAAATCTGGTCGTGTTTAGCCGGCATGCACCATAGTTGGGGGAAACTGTCGCTTCTCAGGCTTATTTTCGGGGAACGGAGCGTCCGACCGCGTCGGATTCGTGCCGTTCGACTCGGAGAGGGGACTGTCATCGAGGGTTATCAAGCTCAGTGTTACAAATGCGCCGTTTGCGGACTGGAAGCGATGTACGGAGAGAAGGGCGATGCCGAAGGCTGAAGCGTGCGGTCGCCGTTGTCGCGGGAGAGAACCTCGTCGCCTATGGGCCACTGCTCTCCTTGGCGGCCAAGGAGAGCAGGACTTGTTACTCATACGCCCGAGTGTGTTATGGAGCATTGAAACAGAGATGGATTGGTGTGGCTGGAGCAATTAGCGGATCCCCTCTCATCTGCGATGACGCGAATTCCAGCCATACTCTCTTGTGTACTGCTCTTTACTCTCGCCGCCAGTGGCGCCCCAACGGTGCAACTCGGCAAAACAGCCGTGGTTGGGCGCAGCTTATCGACGTTTGGCCAGGAGTTCTTCGGAGGTGCGCTCCCCAACTGCTTCGACGTTCCCTCGAGCTGAGGCTCCAAAGGCATCCCGTATGCCAAACCGCCGCTCGGCGATCTCCGCTTCCGGCCTCCCGTGCTGACGACCTCCCTGAACGAAACCACGCTCGATGCCGCGCAATTCGGGGCATCGTGCATCCAGGGCCCGAGTGACAACTCCCCCGCTGTGCGTACAGCCCAAGCAGCCCCGTGGCAGAAATGGCGCTGATCAGAGTCACGCATGCAGGGTCTGCCTAGCGGCTTTCCGGTGTCCGAGGACTGTCTGACGATCAATATTATTCGTCCTGCCGGTGTCAACTCCACCTCGAAACTCCCTGTGGTGAGCAAGCACGGTTTCGAGCCGCTTTCCCCCTGAATCGATCTGATCCCGCGCGGACAGATGTTCTGGACGTAAGATTCTTTCCGCACGGCAGCTCCAAGCGCCTATTTAATCGAGTACCTATCTTGGCAGATATGGCGGTGGACTTATTTACGGTGCCTCCGTGATCTACAACGGCAGCGCCATCGTTGAGCAGAGTGTAATTCGAGTACGTCTCTCTCTCTCTCTCGTCCAGGACACTCTGACAAGGCTTCATCACGCAGGGCACTCCTGTCATCTTTGTCAACTTCAACTACCGTCTCGGCCCGTTCGGCTTCCCCCAAGGACAGGAGGCCACGGATCAAGGTGCGCTGAACCTCGGGATCAAGGACCAGATCGCTGCGCTCGAGTGGGTGCAGAAAAACATCGGCAAGTTCGGCGGTGACAAGCGCAAAGTTCTCGTGTTCGGAGAGAGCGCGGGCAGCATCCTCACGTCGATCTTGTTCTTGAACAGTCGGGTGGAAAAATTAGCGCGTGCCGCGGTGCGTAATTCATTAACATCAATCTTGCTGTCAGGCAAGGAGATATGAACCACCTCAAAAGATTTTCGAGTCCGGATGGCAGGCCACATTGCCGATCGTTCCCGCGACGAGCCGGGAGAATCTCTGGACCAACTTTGTGGGCGGCGTCACTTCCTGTGCCTCCCTCGCGGGCACCCATTCGACGTTCTCGTGTCTGCGGAATGCCACCACCCAGGAGCTTCTCGACAGCTTCAACGCTGCCTTTGCAGGATCCGCCGAACCGTACCCGTGGGACCCGGTGATCGATGGTCCCCAGGGCTTAATCCCCGATCTCCCATCGCGGCTCCTGGCGCAGGGCAAGTTCTCCCGAGTTCCTTTCATCGCTGGAACCAACCTCGACGAGGGTGTGTTGAATGAATCATTTATCCAAGTTGAAAGCTCACTCACGCAATCGCAGGAACATATTTCACCTCGCAGTCGCAGTCGCTTAACTCCACTGCCGCCGTCAATGCATCCTTTATCTCGAAACGCTTGCCCTCAGACTCGCCTGCGGTTTTCCAAAGTTCGGTTACGGAACTGCTCAAACTGTATCCTGATGTTCCTGCCCTTGGTGTGTATTGTTCATTTCGCTTGCCCCATGCCCATCAAATCTGTACTCTCTAGGATCACCATACGGGACGGGAAATAACACCTTCGGTCTGGGCAGCCAATTCAAGCGCGCTGCAGCTATCGGTGAGTCAAAAATCGAACCATCAATCTATACCATCTCTCAATTTCTCGCAGATGGAGATCTAGATTTCCACTCCCAGCGGCGGCTGTGGATTGAAGCGGCAGCTAATGCTGGAGTGAAGACTTTCGGGTACCTCTTCACCCAGCCGCAGCCCGACGACCTGCCTCAGCTCGGCGGTACGTTCCGCTCGATCTACTAAAAACCCAACCAGGCACTGACTCGCTCGGGGTCCGCGTCTAGTTATGCACGGATCCGAGATCCCCTACGTGTTCGGCGCGCCGGCCGACACGTCGCCCTCATCGGTGGCCATAAGCCGCATCATGATCGACTACTGGGTCTCGTTCGCGACGAGTCTGACCCCGAACGACGGGCTCGGCACCCCGCGCGCGGAGTGGACGCCGTTCACGCCGACATCAAAAGTGAGCCTTCGAGCATCGCTGCCGCCGTAATTGTGACTAATCTATGTGCCCGCACAGTCGCTCATCCAGCTCAACGGGGCGAATCTGACGATGATTCCTGACAACTACCGCGAGGGTGAGTCCCTTGCATGGCTTGTTCTCCCTTGTTTGAATTCTCATTATTTACAGAGCAAATATTCTTTTTTAACTCGAACCTAGAGATATGGTGTCACTGAGCTGTTTATCGTCGTCTTCATCTATCGTTAAGTCAATCCGTATATATTGCTTTGGTGCTTTAGTGAAGCTCGAGGAACTCAAGAGTGGTTCAATTCATTGTTAGTTCCAAGTCGTGGTGGAATCGGCTGTGCATCTGTGTGGTAGATCTTCTCTTTCTCTTTCTTCTCCCTTTTTCGTCCATCCTTACATCCACCTGGCCCTCATTCACCACAGTGATGGTTAAGATCTCACATCCCTAAATGAGTGCCAGTTCATGTTTCTCGCGTATGTAAGGAATTTCTGACTTCGGGGCTTTACATGGCAAGAGGGGCCATACTTTTTTCCGCGGAAAATATGCCACAAGCTAGAAGTGCGATTCTCACTGTTCTCTTCGCAGATTGCAAAAAAAAAAAAAAAGTTCTTTTTTCAATAGAATAGACATCCGTTCTCATTGAAAAGTGATTGAGAAAAAGATGGAAATAGAAACCAAAAATGGCTGCTCTGGGTGCTTGCATGTTTCCCAGCGGTCCAAATAGACCATCAGTTTTTCGAGCTATCAGTCAGTTCGGGACTGTATAGGAGGTCGTATCGAACAAAAGTAACTGTCACTCACAAAGGCGGCAGATCAGTGTTGAACGTAGATCTCCCATTTCTTTGCACTTCGCATAATATGGATTTCCATACGTATTTCGAACACAACTTTTCAGAACCCAGATCCTGGACCTACCACCCATCATTAATTACACTTTCATTAATTATGCTTTAACCACGGAGTCCGGGCCTGGTCCACGCGGATCGAGGCTAAGCACACCGACTCTAATGCGGGCTGCGGAGCAACGACGAAAGAAGTTCCAGCAGTGCCTTGATACGGTAGACTCAGCGGAGAGGAAGGGCCGCAGTCGCGGGTTACCATGCTAAGTATCACATGGCGTTTCTGGACTGACGGCGAAGTACTGATTGACTGATTCGAGTCCGGAGAGAAGGGAGATGCCGTTTGATGTCAATGGACCATCCTGCGGTTGGAACAGCATCAAGCGCTTGGAGGGCCGACGATCGGGAGGGTTTCCTCATAGTCGGGATACAGCCCTCCTCAGGCCCAGTAGGAACTGCAATGGGGTACCTGGAAGGATATGCGACCCTTGGTAAGTAAGGGGGGGTCATCTTCAAGCAAGCACGAGGGTCATCGAGATTGAGTTGATTAAGTTGGTACAAATTTCCAAAAAGCGCAGGCAGTATCAATTGAAAGCGTGGCTGATTGACGTGGGAGATCAATATCCAATCAATCCTGCACGTGACGGATGGTTTGTTTGTATCCGCATTTTTATACCGCAGCAAGTAATCTACGTGACGGATGGTGTCCTCGGCCGTTAGCAATAATGAGAGGGCCGATGAAACACCATCGTTTCAAAGTCTAGATGTATGATAACTGAATCCATCCCGAAGCCGCCGCAGTACATATCTTTGCAAGACACTCGATGGGAATCAGAGCTGCGTATCGAAGGTTGTAACGAGCGTTTACAAATCGAAGAAATCGAACTTTGCTTCATCTGGTCACTTGCCGTCGATTGTGCTTGACGTTCTTCCCGTTGCGATGGGACCTTCATATGCATAGGCTGCTGCGATCTATCTCATCTGTTTCAAGATGATGACCGCACTGCGGTCTGGTTTCGCAACCTGGAATCACGGGGCTGTATTGACTCATGCCGCGGGACAACTGAAAACTGGTTTAAATTTACGCATGCTAAAGATACAGAGTTTATTTCTTGCGTGCTGCCGGTCAGGTGGAACCGGCTGAGGATGACGTGCTTCGTCTTCGTCGTCTCCGCGCTGACGGCAGCTCTTGGCTGCTTGGTACTCTACCACTTGCGTGAATTGTCTCGGCCATATTCCATTCCTGATCGGCTGACTGCCGGAACCAACCGGAGCGGGTACTTACTGTGTCTATATGACGTGCGGTGCGTTCTTCTTTTAGACGTTGGTAGCAATTTGCGAACGGCAGCTCGATCAATGCGGTGACTGAGATGGATCTCAGCTGAGCGGTGCAGCGACACGAGATTCAGGATGAGAACGAACGGGAGGCGTTTTCGATGAGTGTCACTGCGCAGTGGTGCATCATCCCAGCAGTCGGTGCTGTTATCAAAGATCAGTTGTCCGGCTTGCACACATGCCTCCACCGGAAATGCAATGCAAACTCGGTCGAGCTTGTATGAGGTTGAAACCCATCGTGGTTGATGAGTTGGGATCGGGGGTCCTTCTTGCACGGCTTTATCTGGCTGATTGAGACTGATCTTCGTCTGATCTTCGGTGTGATCCACTGCACGGCTTGGAGCGCGGATTCTCCTTCCCTTACGAAAACGGTGCCCCATTGTCGTAGACTTGTCCTTCACGCTTCTCGAAGTTGAAATCGATCGTCAGGGAAAACAGGACCCTCATCCTGGGTTTGACTGGCATTGTCCTGGCCCCCGTGGTTGCTCACCTCTTAGCCTGACCGCCATTCATTATGGTGAGACCTTGTGTGCACGTGCACAGTTCCAAAATGTGCGCTCGACAGCATTTCTCCCTCACTGAGCAGTGACTTCCGATCAATTCTGATCAGGGATCTAAAGAATCCTGAGGAGCCGGTCAGCTGCAATCTCATCTGACACCGTCGCGCACTTGCCCCATGGGTGGCTCGTGGCCCAGTGACCCGTCTGGATTGCGCGATCAGGGTCCCTAGAGCAACACTGCCCACATGAGAATCCGGCTATGCGCGGGGCCCGACCGAACTCTTCTGCGGGGAGGGACGCGAATAGCAGGGAACCGACGAAAGTCGCTGAAAGTGCGGCACGTGGTTGAGCTCGTGGGAAAGTGTCACTGCAGTTTTTCCAAGCCCAGGGATCCTACTGGAGCGCGCTACCCAGCTTCTACTAATTCGTGGCCTGTCGTTGACTGAGGGTGTACGAGTAATCACATGCTGTGGTTGGGTCTGCCCTCGCCACTCCGGACGCCGCGACTTATGCATACCCCACCCATCTGATCAGTCGAAGCAGCAACTGCAACATCAGCAGCAACAGCAAGCGATCATTCGCGCTGTCAGACATGCGGCGTCGGGAAACTAGGAACCGTTTGCATCGGCCGTGGAAATTTCAGATGTCCCATTCCATCTCCGCAGGTGTCTCGCCTGTCGCCAGCCTGTCGCTGGGGCCGGGCTATGTAGATCTTGCTGCGGGTGCAGATTTTTTGCAATATGCAACTGCTTAATTTTGTGCAAGTTGATAAGATCGCACCACCTCTCCGACAATGTTTACACTGCATTCGCTGTGTTCACACACGACTATGATGGGTATCAGTGCGCCAGAAGATGTCATCAAAGAAACCACAGCGTCGTTGGAGAACAAAGGACCAAGTACATTTGAATATTTGAATATCTGTCTGGCACTTTTTTGGGTCCTACAACTGTGTTCTCGTGACACAATCCAGAAAACGATTAATTTGAGTCGTTCAACGCGCCCTTAGTGAGATAATCTGCCAGACACTGTCCTTGAGACAGCGCCGGCCGGATGCTGTGCAAGCGCACGTTGGGATCCGGCCATCGAGTACGTGCCGGTAGCCGAAACGGCCATAAGCCTCGGAGAACCGAGTGGGTTCCTGTGACTGTGAGAGGCGGCGCGAGGAAACGGTCTGGCTGAATGGGGACTCCATATTCCCACGCCCAAGTGCGTCATGCACTCGAGCGTATTTAACCACGGCTGCATTGCGCAACTGGCTAGTCAGCGGATCCTCTCTCGTCTGCGATGACGCGAATCCCAACCATGCTCTCCTCTGTTCTGCTCTTCTCCCTCGCCACCAGCGCCACTCCGACTGTCACGCTCGGCAAAACATCCGTGGTGGGGCGCAGTATACCGACGTTCGGCCAGGAGTTCTTCGGAGGTGAGCTGCGCAGCCGCTGCGACTTTCGCTCGCGCTGAGGGTGCATGCCCGCGAACACAGGCATTCCGTACGCCGAACCGCCGCTTGGCGATCTCCGGTTCCGGCCTCCGGTTCTGACGACGTCGCTGAATGGAACAACACTCGATGCCACACAGTACGGCGCGGCCTGCATCCAGCCCCCGGGCGGGAACACCCCCGGCGTACGTACAGCCTGTGCTGCGCCGCTTGCGGAGATTGTGCTGATGTGTCCCCGCGTGTGCAGAGTGTGCCCAGCAACTTCCCGCTGTCCGAAGACTGTCTGACGATCAACATTCTCCGTCCCGCCGGTGTCAACTCCACCTCGAATCTCCCTGTGGTAAGCAAGCACGGATCTCAAGCCGTTTTTCCCCCTGAATCGATCTGATCCCGGTCGGACAGATGTTCTGGACGTAAGCATCCTCTCTCTCGAGCGCAGCTCAAGCGAGTTTAATCGAAAACCTCTTTGAAGATACGGTGGAGGGTTCCTTGACGGTGCCTCCGTGATCTACAACGGCAGCGCCATCGTCGGGCAGAGCGTCCTTCGAGTACGTGTCTCTTACCCACTCTCATCCAGGACTCGTTCTGACAAGGCTTGATTATGCAGGGCACTCCCGTCATCTTCGTCAACTTCAACTACCGACTCGGCCCGCTCGGCTTTCCCCAAGGACAGGAGGCGACGGATCAGGGAGCGCTGAACCTCGGAATCAAGGACCAGATCGCTGCGCTCGAGTGGGTGCAGAAAAACATCGGCAAGTTCGGCGGTGACAAGCGCAAAGTCCTCGCGTTCGGAGAGAGCGCCGGGAGTATCCTCACGTCGATCCTGTTCTTGAACAATCGGGTTGACAAATTAGCGCGTGCCGCGGTGCGTAATTCATTAAAATCAATCTTCTTGGAAGGTGATCTGAACCATCCCCAAGATTTTCGAGTCCGGATCGCAGGCCACGGCGGCGATCTTCCCCGCGACGCGCCGGGAGAACGTCTGGACCAACTTTGTTGCGGGTGTCCCTTCCTGTGCATCCCTCGCCGGCTCAAATTCGACATTCTCGTGCCTGCGGAATGCCACCACCCAGGAGCTCAGCAGTGGCCTGCTGGTCTCCTTAGCAAAGTCCGGCGAAGAGTTCCCATTCGACCCTGTGATCGACGGTCCCAAGGGCTTGATTCCCGATCTGCCGTCGCGTCTTTTGGCGCAGGGCAAGTTTTCCCGGATTCCTTTCATCGCTGGAACCAACCTCGACGAGGGTGTGTTGAGTCATTTCTCGAAGCACGAAAGCCCATTCACGTGATCACAGGCACCGCGTTCACCTCGCAGTCGCTCAACTCCACTGCCGCGGTCAACGCATCATTGATCCCGGGACGCTTGCCGTCGGTGTCGCCGGCAGTTCTCCAAAGTTCCGTTACGGAACTTCTGGAACTGTATCCCGATATTCCTGCACTTGGTGCGTAGTGTTCAATCTCTCTTGTCCCATGCGCATCAAACCTGTATTCTTCAGGGTGCCCATTCGGGACGGGAAATAACACCTTCGGTTTGAGCAGCCAATTCAAGCGCGCTGCAGCTATCGGTGAGTCAGAACTTGAACGTCGAGAATCAATCTATACCATCTCTCAATTCTTTGCAGACGGTGATCTGGACTTCCACTCTCAGCGGCGGCTGTGGATCGAGGCGGCAGCTAATGCAGGTTCAACCACTTTTGGGTACCTTTTCACCCAGCCACAGCCAGACGGCCTGCCCCAGCTCGGCGGTACGTCCTGCCCAATCTACCAGGAACTCAACCAAGATACTGACTCGCGGGATCCGCGTCTAGTCACCCACGGATCCGAGGTCCTCTACGTGTTCGGCGCACCGACGGACACGTCGGCCGCCTCGGTCGCGATCAGCCGCATCATGACCGACTACTGGATCTCGTTCGCGACGAGCCTGACCCCGAACGACGGGCTCGGGATCCCTCGCGCGGAGTGGACGCAGTTCACGCCCGCATCGAAAGTGAGCAATTTGGCTTTTGAAAAGTTTCGGTGTGACTGATTTGCTTGTACAGTCGCTCATTCAGCTGAACGGGGCGAATCTGACGATGATTCCTGATACCTACCGCGAGGGTGAGTCTCTCTTGCTTAGCTTGTTCCCCTTGTGTGATTTCTCATTATTTACAGAGCAAATCTCCTTTATCAACTCCAACCCGGTGATATGGCATCACTGAGCTGTTTTATGTCGTGTTCAACTGTAGTCAAGTCAATGCATATATATATCGCTCCTGTGCTTTAGTAAAGCTCGAGGGACTCGAACCTGCACCGACTCGTTGTTCGGTCTAAATTGAAATGCGTTTCATTCCATATCATACAGCTTCCTCTCAATGGAAGGGGTTGATCGCGCATTTGCGTAGTATTTCTCCTTGATTTAGATCTCCTCCATTGTCGGCCCATTCTATGTAGGATAAGAGCCCTGCCGTTCCGCATACCCAGATAGCATGCATTCATAATGTGGGTGGGATCTGAAACCCTTTGAATTCAGGTCTTCATCACAGCGGCAGACCGTACCAATCACATTACAGTAATACCAAGTTGTGAACATCACGATGCGGAACAAGTGATTTTGGTCACGGGATCGCGACTGACCCTAACCCTTTACCACCCGCCGCTCTATACCCCGATTCTCAAGGCCTCATTGTACACACGAGTCACGACCATCGCCCCACTAGGCGATCGTTTTCGGGTTCATGACCAACTCGCTAGAGCTGAAAACTCCTCGCCAATCGGCTGCGAGGGATGAATCAAGCCGCCAGCCGGCCGAAATGGAGCTAACGGCCGAAATGGAGCACACCGATGGCACGCGCCAGATCCCTTGTGAAATCCTCGCTGCAGTATTCCTCGCCTCACTTCCATACGATGAATACCCCACCCCCGAATCCCAGGTAGCTCCCCTGGTGCTCATGCGTGTTTGCCGCCGTTGGAGACGCGTGGTAGCCTCGAGCTGTCGTCTCTGGACTTCGCTTCACATCGCTGCGCCCTCCGTCTCCCACGCGTCAAGTCAAGAGGGACAGTCTGGACTTCTCTCGATAGTTGACAGGTGGCTCGCACGGTCTGGGAGCTTGCTTCCCCTCTCCATCTCACTTGTCTCCGACTCGTTCTCGGTACTCGAGAAGCAACTGCTCTGCGCCATTCTCCCTTACGCTGGTCGCTGGCAACGGCTAAGGATCCGCCTGCCGTGGTCGGCACTGGAAGAAAGCTTGCTCTATCTGGCTGCAGCCGGAGTGCCAAAGCTCGAATCGGTCGACCTCGACCTGACTTTTCCCATGGAAGACATTGAGGACCTCTCTTTCCTCTCCTTTCTGTCTGGTCGTAATGTACGCGCATTGAAGCTTGTAGCTACAAACTCCTTGCCCCGCTGGCCTGTCCTCTGGGCCAACCTGGTGCATCTAGAGCTGGCCCAGGTGGATACCAGCCCCGCCCTGGCCATCCTGCGCAGCTGCTCATCGCTCGTCCATCTGAAGCTGCTCAATCTGGAGCACAGCCGGACCTCGGCCCCCGTCTGCCCTCTCCCCCTCCTCCGCGATCTGTGCATCAAAAGCGGGGTGGGGATCGCCTTAGATTCGTTCTACCGCACCATCGACGCGCCTGTGCTCGAGAAGTTTGCGTTTGAGCCCGGCGGCCCCAGCTTCGGCAGCGCGTTTCCATTCATCCCTCTTCTCGTCAACGCAGGTACCCATCTCCGTTTTCTTGCGTTGAAGGTGTTCCCCGGGAGAGTTTTTTGGTACCTCGACTGCCTGAGACGGCTGCCGAGTCTGCGTGATCTGATCCTGGACGGGGTGCCTAGCGATATGGCCAAACTAATACCCGGGAGCTTTGAGAAACCGGTCATAGCGTTTTGGCGGGCTTTCATTGTTGGTGGCATTGATCAGGAGGACCTCTTGCCCCAGCTGGAGAACCTGGAGTTGAGAGTCAGTGAGACAGCTCTTCTCTCGGATAACTTGTTATCCTCCATTATCTCCTCCCGGACTCAGCAAGGAACGCGAACCAAGCTCAAGAGTCTGAAGGCGCGAATGGACCGGAACAAGGAGCGCGATTTGGAGCATACGTTCTCTGGTGTTCTCGACCTCTCTTTGAGTTACTCGAATGTTGTGTACTCGGAAAGCTACGGAACGGGGAGGGCGACCACTTGTTATGCTACGGGATCTGCGGCATTACCACCTAGCGATAACCCTCAGTAGCGCAGTACACATCGCTATTTCAGAGTAAATACCAAACAAATTTCTTGTGATTGCACCAAAATCATCCTGTCAAAGGTTCGTTGGCTGTGCAGCCGTTGGGAATGCTCCACGCGTGGGAAAGGAAACCGTATTGGGAAACCCAGACTGATGGTCAATTCTTGTCTCTACCGTCCTTGTTCGTGAGCCCAGTCCGATGTAATCCACAGTACTTGATAGTGCACTTGAAATGCAAGTTAGGGCAACATTTTCGGGCAGAGTGTCATCTTCCGGTGTGTTGCTTGTCATGAGCTAAATATGAACCCGAACACCTGACATTCGTCAGAGCCTCTCTTTCGATGCATCCACCGTCTCACCCTCCACTCGTCGCCGACATGATAAACCGAACTGAAAGCGCGCAGTGCGATCCGAGCGTCGACCCCTGCCGACAGCTCTTCAACATCCTCTGGGGATGTCTCGCGACGATATTCGCCTGCGTGTGGGTCTCCGTGCACCCGAACGTCCCACCGTCAAACCAGGGCGCAATCCGGGCTTTCTGGTCGAGGCTCAAGATCATGCTCATCGCCGTGATTGCCCCGGAGATCGTCGTCGTATTTGCCGCACGGCAGTTCCTCGCTGCGCGTCAGTTCGCGAACGGTACGTACAGTAGTCTACCGGCCGAGACCGTATGTGGGGCGAGCTCAGCGTTGATGGCCGACAGAGCACGGCGTCTCGATGGCGCATGGATTCTTCTTCGCGATGGGCGGATTCGTGGATGTGGACCGACGCCCCATATTCACGAACGAATCCTTGGAGCAGGCGGATGTGCTCAATGCTATCAGGGCGGTGCGCGTGGCCGACATCGAAGACAAGAGCAAGGGTGATGCTTTCTCCAAGGGCATCGCGTTGCTTCAGGGATTGTGGTTCATTGTCCAGTGCATCGCGAGGACCGCGCAGGGTCTCCCGGTCTCGGAGCTGGAGGTCTCGACGCTCGCATTCGCCATTCTGAATATCTTCATGTGGGCACTCTGGTGGCACAAACCCCTCGGCGTACAAGAGGGGATCGTCCTCATGAATGTCAAAGCCAGCTCTGTGGGGAAGGGTACAAAGCAGGACGTCAAACGACGTCCACCCCGCCGCTCGATATCCCGGTGGTTTGAGGAACGATTGGCTGAATTCGGGGGTGTATTTGTCGGTGACTATTGGGACTACTTTCAGGTCGTGGAGGATCTCCAATCGGTGCCCATGTTCTGGTCGACCGACGCGGACGACATCGACGTCCCGATCTACGGAAGAATGGCCATCGGCGGACTCGGCTTTCTCGCCGAAGCATTCTTTGGCCTCGTCTTTGGTACAATCCACTGCGCGGCGTGGAATAGTCATTTCCCTTCTGTGGCAGAGAAGTTGTTGTGGAGGGTCTGCTCGATTATAATTGCCGTGACCCCCTTGAGCTTGGTCGGCTCTGTGGGACTTGTAAACATGCTGCCTCTTGTTGGGGATCTTCCATATATGCCGATTCCAGTGGCATGTGCTGTGTTATATCTATTGGCTCGGCCTGTGCTGATCGCCTTAACGTTCACGACCCTTCGGCATCTGCCAGCGGGGGCTTTCTATGATATAAATTGGACAGGTTTTCTCCCTCATTTATCGTAGAGCTCGTCGTAAACTAGTCTTTCATCGGAATCCATAATTTCACGTAAAGGTGCTGGTCTTCAAGAGGCATGGTAAGGACGAGGAGCTCCATGCGATCATCCCCCGTTCACCTCGAGAGAATCTGAATCTATGCTCATTTCGGGTCACCAACGTCTTGCTCTCTCCGCTCGTTGTCTCTTTGAGGTCCATAGCTGACTCATCTCGGTCGGCTTGGGAGAGAACTGAAGGAGGCCCATAGTCTACCTCCCTAGCTCTGTGGATTGAGCAGGGAGCTCCCTGTTAGTACTGTTGAATATCTTTTTGGGAGTCATAGATAAGACATCATACGTCACTTTCTTTGCAGACCGCACGCCTGCATCTCAGTCAGAGTTTTCTATAACTTGTGATTTATTTTTGAGCCCATCGAACGTCTGTCGCTCTATTCCCCTAACAGACAAACTTTATATTGAGGTTGAAATACGAACGAGACAATTAGAATAGATCGGCGTCTTGGTGGATATATATGGTCAGCTGCGGCTAACCTGCTCTGTATTCCGTCGCAACTGGAGCACCATCTCAGCTCGTCGAGGCGATACAGTCAAGTATGAGACCCACGGCACTCGTCTTTGAATCCATAAGGCCATTTATCCGCCAGATCCCCGAATTCATGTTGCTTGCTTCGGAGTAACTGCTTTGATTTTCTTTGTTTGAGCTCGTTCCGACAAGTGTCTTATCATTTTATGATTCTGATTTGGCTCATCCAGTCAATGATGTCGGAGTTTCATCACTTGAAAGATTGGACGGCCACGAGGCCAGAGATGGTTTGTCGATGCGTATCAACTTAATGTGTGACCCACGATCATAGATTCGAGTGTGAAAATTTGTTCTCTGGCCATTTACCACATACCATGAGGATTAATTACCCTCCATGTCTATGCAGCCTGGAGAAGCGCATGTAGGAACAAGCAGCCATGTCATCAGGTTGGAATATGGGAGACATTCTCTGGGTCAATATTCTCATTTGATTTCGAAAGGTCGAAATCGCCACCGGATCAGTTTCACGAAAACATAGGTCATTTTTGATATCCTGCCAGGGTCTCTGCAGTGCCGATCTGCTGAATGTTGGCAATCGTCATGGGAAGTTGATTGGACCAATCGAGAACGGCAGCGCGTCAAGTTTCAGGATCAAGCCGGAGTATACAGACCGTAGACCTGCCTCTCGAACGCGCATTTGCTGTCCGGTGCCGCAGTGACCGCAGAGTGTTCGATTACTACATCTCACCTGTTTGTGTACATTCCATCATGCGTTCGTGTCGAGTTTCTGGGTCTCGAAATCAATCAACATCCACGGTGTGTACAATCAAGATCAATTCAACTCAGGCTTTCTCTGCTTGAATTAGTCTGCAATAGTTCAGGCTGAGCTCAGTCCAATCTTGATCTTATCTTATCGCTCGTGGATCCCATCGTGAAGATATCAAACTGATGTCTTGCAGTGCACAGATTAAGCCGTTTCAGTTGAGCTGATTGAATCGTCGTCCGATCACCTTGCCTATCTCGAGTATCGGTAAACTCTCTGTCATTCCATTGCATTTATGTACACGTACCGCTAACAGACAACTCTAGGGCTCAATGAACAGGATTTTGAAATTATACTAGTAAATAGTCTTGTCTCTAATAACGGACTGACTGCTTTCGAGAGATGAGAATAGATCAGTATTCATGTTTCAGAGCCTGCGCTCGAGTTGATATTGATTCCTGCAGATAGTATCTATCACCTTGTGAAGGCCGAACGACGGACAAGCTCGCAGGAGTCCTATCTGTTTTGCACTGCTGGATCCTCTCTGCGGCACAGAAGAATATTAACGCGGCCCTGATGTGTTTGTTGGGTCTCAGTTGAAACTCAAGAGAGTGCTGACATCGGTGACGCCAAACACGTGTCAAGGCTGTGCAGGAGGCAATGGTCGCCGATCACACTTGATCTCTTCTTCTGTGGGCTCAACAAGCCGGCCTTCCGCGCAAATGATCATTGAATCGGAAATGTGGGAATGGCTATGGGGCTGGCTCGATGGTCAAGATGATGCAGAGTGGGAGTGCGTGGTTTGAGGACTACGGGCTTTGATTGCTATTCAGAGTCGCGTATAAAGACTCTCAAGGCAGCGAGATGTCATTTACTCACAAGATAAACTCCTCTTCCCAGAAGTCTAGATGAGCTACTATAACCCTATCTCTCAGTGCAACAACTGTCGGTGAGTGCGATCCTATTTCTATTGGAGAAACTTCTGTTTATAATCACTCTGCCAGGCGACGAAGAATAGTGCGTATGTCGTGTGACCTTGCATCCAAGTCTCACAAATTTAAGCAATGCGACGGTGCCATGCCGCTCTGCACGCCATGCCAGATTCAACCGTCGCAAACTGCTCCCTGTGGATATACTGCGACCGATCCTGCTCCAGCGATGTACCCGCGGCCTGGATACACAAGTTCTGATGCCTATTCGTCGGATAGCTCAGGGAGTCTCAGTCGTGCGTCTTTCGTTCCTCTCGATCTGAGTGTATATTCAATGGTATTCAGCGGAAAGTTCGCGGCTTCGCTCGGTGTCCAATTCCCCGTCTCCAGGATCCTCCCAGGTATGTCGACCATCGATCCGCCAGGAGCAATACTAACACACGCGACAGTCCGAGTTAACCTATTTCTGAGATTTCTCTTTGGTCTAACAACCTGAGCAGTGGATCAGACCTTGATGTTTTCATCACACGCTTCAATCAATCACCGATATTCTATCTGGGCATTGCAAACTTACGAACTCTGTTCCAGGGACAGATCTCAACCAGTCTCCGGAGCGCCGTATATCTATGGAATGCTCACCTGACCGCACAGTTCCACGATCCCATGCCTACCATACAATCGCTTGCCCAAATCACAGCCCTGGCCCCGCAGATGTCCGACAACGAATTTTTGCAAACGCTCCAGGCCCAGGTCTTGATCTCTTATTACTGCCTGGACATCGGGCTCAAAGACGAGGGCCCGCAGATAATTCAATCTGCGTGGGCTCTGGCGTCGTGGGCCGGGTTACACATCGGAGGCAACCCAAGCGAGCACCGCGCGACTGCTTTCTGGGCTTTGCTTCTGACGCATAACATGTGGGTTACCGCATCCGGCAGGACTCTCCAGTTTCCGTTCAATCTGAGAGAGGTCTCTGTTTCTTGGCCGACGGTACGCAAAGTTGACTGGACCCATCTGAACCCAAAGCTGAGATCGTTTTAGAACGGGCGAGAAAGAGGTACCGCGCGGTACCCCATCTCGGAATTTATGGACGGACTCGACCACCCGGAAGCCTTTTCTCCGTTCGCGCTTCTCATCAAGGCCTCTATACTGCTTGAACGCGTCATCACATTCTGCATGGGCGTAACCGGTACAGCATCCTTCATCTCTTCGGAGTCATATTGACCGAGCCAGATATAGAGCCAGCGCAGTTCCTCATCGTGCAGTCGCGCCTGCGGACATTCCAAGCTCAGCTGCCGGCGCTGGAGTCCAAATCGACCCTGGCCTCGCCGGGCTTCCATACCCTCCTCGTCGCGCGATGTTTCATCAACGTGGCCTACATTCGGCTCTGCGCGCTAGGAAGCGGGGGAGGATTAGCGCAGACGAGCTCACATGCCAATATGGCACTTGCTCGAAGTGCTGCCAATCGCTTTGTTTCGGATCTCAGGAAAGCAGGAAACTTGCAGTGGAAATATGTGGAGCCGGTTCTCGGAGTGCGTACGCAACGATCCACGCATGACGCCTGTGACTCAACGTCTCACAGCCTCTCATGTCGACGACATGCTTTTGCTACTCGTCTGCACTGTGTCACGCTCAAGAGGCGATCACCAACAAACAAGTTATAGTAGAGCTTTTGGCTAAGTTTAGCCGATATTCAGAAACAATCCGTGCGTGTTTGATTCTTTGACGGGGATCTATCTCATAGTTGATAGGGCAATGCTATGCGGTGGTCCAGCGCTCTTAAATTGAAACGTCTCATTATTTATTTGCATACAGATAGATCTTTTACTACGTATCAGACAGAACTTTTTCTACTCAGTATCCATCAATATTTAATCTAATCATGTCGTCTCGAGAGGGCAGTAGGTTCATACTCGCCCAAGGCATTCTTCTTGCTACAAAATGTCTCTTAGAAACATTTCATCCCTGTCTTATCAACCTGAACTTACAAGAGCATTGGGAGTCCTTTCCAGAAGAAAGTTGCATGCCAATCAATGGCTCCTGAACATCTGATGAAATGACCACAGCCACTGATCAGCCTTTCCAGCTCATCAACGTCGTCGATTCAAGGGTCTCTTTCCCAAACCCTGAATGCCATCTCAATCAGTCAAACCGAGCTATCCGCTAATTATGTTTCAAACACCCTCCGTACCTTCCTCTATAGATACCGAATCGATGGTCTCGAAACTCACGGGTGTTCGCCATATGGTACGCCAGGTACCCCCGTCCGCCAATTAGGATCCAGCAATCACTCGGTTGCATTGTCTTACTTCGGGCCTTCCATCAGCGTAAAGCGAGCAGGCAAAGAACAAAGCACTGGATTCCCCACCGGGCTCAAGAAGAACAATAGATGACAAGGCTTTGGCCCTCACGCTGAGATCAGCATCAGAGCTCAAAGCGCCGGCCCAGGATTGTATATAAGAGAGACGGAGGAGATGTGCGTGGCTTTTTCCCAATACCTATCTGTTGCCAGACCGAACAATGCAGGCACACGCGGACGCGTGCACGATACCCGTATCCGTGCGCCCTGGCGCGCAGCGCACATTCACCGCCGTCGGGCGGGGCATCAAGGCTATCCTACAAACGGCCGTTTCGGGCCGGCTTATCATCCGCCCGAAACGCCCCGAAGACAGGCTTGCGACTGCAAAACGAACTGCGGGGAACCAGAAGGAGGTGGAGGGGAGAGCCTCAAAGGAGACAGTGGTGACGGAAGAGGCTCACGGGGAGGAAGAGAAGAAGGACGAGATACCCGATGACACGGAAGTCTACATGAAGAGCGAAATCGCTGGCTGGTACACCCCGCCCCCGACTCCCGGGGCTCGCTGGTCTGCTTCCGCCGTGACTGCGCCGAGCGTGTGGCCAAACTTCGCGACGACGGAGCCTGTGGACGAGATCCACCAAACGCTTGTTGAGCTCGGGATCAAAGTGCGGGACTTTGCGTACCCCAGCCATTGTGTGGCGCGCACCGACCCTCTTGCACCAGAGCCAATGAAACTTTGTACGTTCACAATCACGTTTTATACTGCGAAATACTGACCGCCGGCGCAGTGTCTGGTGAAACTTCGCCGCTAGTTCCCACACCGGACATTCCTCGCCAGGGTACACCCTGGGACCCACCACACCCGAGCCTTCGCCCGCTGCCCGAATCGTCTGCTCTCAAAATCCGCGATGCCCTCTGCAAGAAATATGACGTGCCGATGCTCAAGCCGGCTCGTGTGCCGATGTACGAGACTCACCGGATCCCCGCCCCGTTCAGTCCCGTGCAGATCGTGATGTACATCGAGGGCCGGCTGTCCCAGAGTCCGCGGACGATTCCAATTCTAGGGATGTACACGCGCAGACTCCTCTCGATTTCACCGTTTCTGGTCGATCTGTCGCGCTACCACGAGATGGATCTGGAAGAGCTCCGTCGGTACGATGCGCGCATCCTGCGGCGGGCCGTGGAAGCCGGGATCGAGCCGTATCCCTGGAAGGTTGTGGGTGTGCCGCACGGGTGGGCGCCTTCGTTGGATTGGCGAGATCTGCTGGCACTGGTCGGGAGGACGGACATCGAGGAGTGGTATGACCCGCAGACGCAGGGCACGCTGCTGACTACCTTCATCCAAGAACGGCGAAAGGGTGATCTCTGGGAAAACGAGGAGTTGGACAGTCTTGCCGCGGAGAACGCTGGGCACGGCCTGTCTCCGGGATCATACTTGACCAGTCCACCGCCGTCAAGTCGGAAAGCCTCCCTCGACCCAGATACGGTGAAACGCTTCGTCGAGCATCCGGACACGTCGGAGGCCAGCGAGTACTTCCGGGACGTCCGGGCGGAGCTGGACCTGGTCAACGAAGACATGCTGACGGGGAGGCAGAGGATTCTGACGTGGTTCAAACGCCGGGAGAGCTACGTTCCAGAGGGCCCCGAATTCGACTACCTCTCCGATCTCGTGCTCCTGCTGGGTCACGTCGACCGTGCGGCTGGCCTGCCCGGGGAGGTTCCCGACGGACCCGACGTTCGTGCTCTGACTCGCCAGTTCTATCCTGGCATGCGGACCCCCTTCGTCCCCGGTCTGACTGACCCTTATGGTGATATAGTCGCCTATTGGGGCCCTGATGCCGTCTGGGATTTATATCGGATGTTCGCTGCTCCTCCGCCAACAGAGCCGGGGAAGACACTGAACCACTACCTGGAAACGTACTCAACGATCACCAGCTCTGCGACGCCGATCGTCACGGCCGTCGCGGACGACTCCTTCTTGATGAATAGCATATCGAGCAACGTCTACGACGTGGCTACCTATGAAGAATCTGCACAAGATATCAAGACTGCGCGGAGGTTGTGTGCCTTGAAAGAAGAGAGAGCGCAGCGGCAAGCTTTGGAAGAAGCCAAACGCGTCCATGCGGGGCGTCAGAGCCAGTCGCCACCGCTCAAGCGCAAGGCTGAGGACGACGAGCTTCCGGAGGGGGAAACTGAATCAAAGAAAGCGCGTACTGAAGTGTAGATAGTCTACTCAAATTGACGTTGCTCTTGTAATAACAGACGGAAGATTGTACCAGCCCCTTCTAATTGATGAAAGATGTCGTCTGTCAGAAAAACAGACACGTGACGAATTACCGTCCTATTATACCATCGACGGTCGCTTCCTCTACTGCGAAACCATCAACGAAGGAGGCAGGGAATGGACTGCCTTTTCGCCAATGAACCTATGTGCAAATTTCCATGCAGAACCGCATTGCGCCCTCCATGAATAGCCTGACTGACAAGCCACTATCGGTGGGGTCGATCTAACTATTTTCGGCGCCAACTGTGCTCTTGCGACTCAAGACACTGAACAACCCATCGATATCCCCCTCCCGCAAAGCCATGATAGGCCCGAAATTTGTGCAAGCCAGGAACCGGGTTCTGCCCCCAGTCCTCTCAAGAGACGCAACTGCAATCCTTTGCAAGCTGATTAGCATCTCCACTGAATCCGGGTGTCTTCCATGAAGCCGTTCCTGTGTGACAGGTGCTGGGCGCTGACAGGCCATTGCCCATGTATATGGCCAAGGTGCATTTCCAGTCGCTCTTTCGCCCCCATGCATCGCTTCCTCCAGCTCACTCTCATCCTAGGCTGGCCAGCCGCGGTCCAATCGACGCTCTTCGGGGCCCTGACACCAGACACCTGCGATCCCAGTCTACACAACTGCAGGAGCGCCTTCTCCATCGTCTGGGGATGCCTCACCACGCTCTTCGCCTGCACGTGGGTCTCCGTGCACCCGAACGTCCCGTCGCCGCATAAAGGCTCGTTTGGGAAAGTCTGGGGGAGACTGAAGCTCATGCTTGTGGCCCTGATCGCGCCGGAGCTGATCGTCGGATTCGCGGCGAGGCAGATGCTTGCGGCGCGGTTCTTCTCGCGAGGTGTGTCGTGTGTGCGTCCTGTTGAAGAGTCCATTTCCGACCATCTGCACCAGCACTGGGTGTATCCAAGACCCACGGCTTCTTCATTACGATGGGGGGCTTTGTGTCCGGGATCGGACATCATCCACTCGTCACGCTCGGGCAGCTCAATCCTGTGGTGGTAGACATCAAGCACGTGCGGAAAGAGGAGATCCAGGACAAGAGCAAGGGCGATGCCCTCGCGAAGATGGTTGCGATCGGCCAGTTGATCTGGTTCACCACGCAGTGCACGTTCCGGGTGCTGCAGCATCTGCCCCTCACTGAGCTCGAGGTCGCGACGTTCGCGTTTGCGTCTGTCGACATCTTCATCTGGATGCTGTGGTGGGGCAAGCCGCTCGGTGTGGAGGAGCCCATCCCCATCGGCCCTGTCAGTGATCTGCGCGAAGAGGAGTCGACGATCCCCTGGCTCACCAAGTTCATCGGGGTGCTGCTGGGCTCATACGGCAAGAACTACAACCCGCAGACGTCGAGCTCGGTCCCGTCCTACTGGTCGATGGACTACGACGACTCACCGCACGGGGACAGCACCAGCTTCTTCGTGGAATGCATCACCGCGCTGCTGTTCGGTGCACTGCACTGCATCGCGTGGAACGCCGCGTTTCCGACCGTCTGGGAGATGCGGCTTTGGCGCTTGTCCTCGCTGTTCGTTACGTTCGCGCCGGTCGTGCTGTTGCTGTTCGGGTTCGCGGTGATGCTGTCCCTCAAGCACGAAAAATACACGCCGGTTGCGTTCCGGCTCGTGCTGGTTTTCCTCATCCTCGTTCCGTTCTATGTCGTGGCGCGCCTGCTGCTGCTGGGACTTCCATTCGCGGCTCTGCGCAATCTTCCGTCGGGCGCGTTCATCGATGTGAACTGGAAAAAATACATGCCCAGCTTCGTCGCCAAGTATAATTAGAACCTATACGAACGTTTCGTCCGCTTTCTTGCTTATATTCTAGAGGTATTGGGTAATAGTGGAGGACAATTGCAATCATGTACTCGCATAGTGTAACGACAAGTCAACTTTGTGGCCACTCAATGTCGTCGCTGACAAAAACTAACAACCTCTCGATGTCTGGATCAATCTTCTCCTGCCGGAGCCGCTGCTCAAACTCTACCCTCATCCACTCCGAATGCCAGACACCACGGATCTCCAGCCGCCGAAGCCGTCGGATGAAACGGGATTCCCTGATCGTCTGCATCAGCTTCGCCACGGTCGTCGTCCCACTGACGCGCGACTCTAAGGAAGGATAATCGAAGATTATCTTCACACCCAAGCACAGGATCTCCAGCGGCGCCTCGTCCATGCTCTCTAGCATAGATATCACTCGGGGACCGGTCCTGATCCCGGAGATCTGCCCGTCAGCAAGTGTTTCTCCCGTCGCATAGCCAACAAAAATTGTTGCGCCGATGTGCAAAGATCGGAGCGCGGAGGAGGGGAAGATCGTAATGGCCGCAGGAAGATCTGAAAACGGAACGCATGAGGAAGTGGATAGAATTCTAGGCGCGTCGGCTCACTTGACACCAAGGACAGAAACTGCAAATGGCCATCGAGTTTGGATAGATACTGCATGAGATGAACATATCCCCCTGATTTATTATAGTCGGCCGTCCGAACGGTCACTGCCCGAGTATTCACCGTCGTGCCCGGTGCTGCCAGCCACCGCGCCCAGTGGATGTTCGGCAGAAAGTCTAGGACCAGCTCATCCAGCTCAAGACGGAACGGCGGAACGATATCCTCTTCCCCGTTGTGCTTCAGCAGCTCGATAAGGAGGATCGATTTGAGATGCAGCGTCGCCAGCGCCGGGAACAGCTTCAATAGCTCTAGATACGAGCGGATGGTCATGAACTCTAGCGCGTTCAGGTCGAGACTCGTGGCCATCTCGAATGGCGCGAGGTCCCAGGACCACCCATCCGTCGGGCCTTGGCACGCTCTGAGCCCGACGTGTCGCACATTCGGAAACCGCGCTGCCCGCACGAGGGTTTCGATCTCCGGGGCGTTGCACGACGACAGGTGCAGAGACCGCACCGCCCCAGTCAGAGTTTGATGCGGGCTGCCGACGAGGGCGATGTATCCGGGAAAGTCGTCTCCTTTGAGCGCGAGAGTGCCGAGAGTGGGATGTGAGCCACGGCTGGCGGGAACCCAAGTGCGGCAGACGAGGCTGCAGGTGAGCAGATCGGACGGACTGTCCAGCAGTTGGATGATTTGATCTGTCAGTTCAGGTGGTAGGAGCATGCTCTTCCGAGTCGTCGTGGTGGTGGTCACTGTCGAAGGCACGCAAAGGACGCTCGCTGCCAAGGCACATGAGTCAGATCACGGGGCTGATGATCGATGAAGCCCGCACCCGCACGTGGTCGCGTTGCGTGGGATAACTCGAAGATCATCTGTCTGTCTCGAACATCGAGTCTCGGAGTCGCTTAGGATACCTGCGTTCGCCGTAGAGATCTGGATTTCATTTGATGTGCAAAACCAGCGTTGAGGGTTGGATAGTGCTAGAATGCTAGCCGGGAAGACGTTTCCGCTATATAAGGACTCTATCCTATCATATGTATGTATCACTGAGCACCCGCAATCGTAAAGTGCCCAGCGTTTAGAAGGACGATGATGAGTACGTCTACAGCTCAGCGACAATCGAGATCTGAGAGCTGTGGAGACATATCTCGAGAGATTCTGACTCGTCGACGTAATATATCATGGCATCGCATTTCTCCAATGTCAGCTGTGCGCTTTGACTGAATAGAGATAGCACCTGAATTTCATGCCATTACTGCGTCACCCCTGCTTCGACAACTGCTGCTACTAGAGACAAACAGCGGGAGGATCGCTGGGTCAAACAATCTGCGCCATCGCAGTCAGCATCGTCAGTGGACTGGACTGAATCTCAGGCACCCAAGTGGACTCATGAACTGAGGCGGAGATAATCAGTCATTCATGTCTAAGGGGGTTTCGCAGATAGTGGAACGGATACATTGGTAGAGTTGCAGATACGTAGGAGGAGAGAGGCTACAGGTCACAGGTAGAAACACAGTGCGGAGGAATTCATAATGCTACAGAGATGGGGAGAAGGAGAAGGATGCCAGCAAATGCAGGGTATAGCGCAAGCACGTTTTCGATAGTATCTACTGACCAGCAGCAGCGACGCTCAACGAGCCCAGCACGACCTCCCACGCGAGATCCAGCGCAGCCCAGACACCCGCGTCGTTGACGCCTAGCGCGACGAGGTTCTGCCACAGCTCCTTGACGTGCGACGCATGCATCATCAGCGTGCCGACGTTGCCGCCCGCGACGGAGCACACGTGCACCGCCAGCGCGTGGACGGTCGACGGCGAGGTGAAGGTCGCCGGGATCGCCTCGCCGTCGTCGTACGCCTTCGGCAGGGACATCCCGCCCGCCGGCTTCGTTGCCGCGGCCAGCGAGCCGAGGAAGCTCGTAGGGAGCGGGATAAGCGCCGCGAGGACGGCGTCGAGGCGCCCGGTGTACATCCACGTGTGGATCAGCGCGAAGGCGCTGGGGGACGGAACCGCAAGCGGGAGGATGGGGACCGTGTGCCCGGCAGGGGAGGCAGGCGGGAGCCGGGGGAGCTTGGCGCAATGCGCGGCGAGGAGGACGCCGTGGACGGGGTAGATCAGCGCGTCATCCGTGGCGCTCTTGGCCGTCGTGGACAGCGCAAGGATGTGCGTGGGGTAGGTGACGTCCTCGCGGCTGGGCGCGGAGAGGGAGATCGCGGACGGGAGCTGGGATCGCGGACACGTCTTGGGAATCGAGGCGGCAGCGATGGAGAGGCCGTTCGACATCTGCGGTGCCGTCACGCGCAGCCCTTGGCGGACGAAGGGGAGCGGAACCGACGCGAGTTCTGGGGCGACCGCAGCCAGTGCGGCTGGCGAGACTTCATCGAATTTAGGACGTGCGAGGGTCCGTGGGAGTTGAAGAGGTGCGGGAGAAGAGCGCGACGACTGCGAATACGAATCGCGACGACCCGGGGCGAGGAAGGCAGGGGAAGGGGGGTGAGACGCGACCTGGAACATGTCTAGTGTGTGGAGGATATAGATAGTGGCGGATCGTCCGGTATCTGGGTCGTCGTACGAAGGGCAGATACAGTTGAACTAGGCATCTTTATAACGAGACTCCATGCGCGGCTCCCCTTTGACTCGTTTTGGACGGGATAAAGGGAGAACCAAAACGGGAACATAGACAGCATCAGCGGACGAAGCTTCTTTTTACCCGACTTCCCAATCGGGATCTGCATCATGCCGCCATTGTGCCCAAATGGTGATTGCAGTTTGTGCAGAAGACGTCTCTGCAGACGATGTTCAAGCTCTTGTAAGCGAGCCCTTGTACGCGCGCGACAGTGCTGAAAGTCACAAGTAATGTGACGCATATCCCAGTCCGGTCTAGACGCCGATATGTCATGATTCATGAGCTGATAAGGATTCAGCAGTAATTCATTCTCAGCCCGTCTTCCACCGCTCTGACTCGCCTTGACTCTCGGGAAGCTGTCCGGCATCGCATATCTGTCGCTCTTCGAAGCAACGTTGCTGGTGTCGTGAAGCTCTGCAACACAGCTGGCCCAATACGGGCCTACGGCACTCTCGAATGACACTTGCACTGCGCTCCTCGTGCTCCGTCGACTCATTTACACATCCCGCTGTCGTTATTGTTCTCGACGCAACGCCCAAAATGTGTGCTGCACTCGGCTAGACGCGAGAGCGACTCACTAGCAGACCCTCGAAATATGGGGGCCCATAAACCGGAGCATGGTCTTGTTTGACCGGTCTTGCTGATTTACGACAACGTGATGTTAGCCCTAATTCCGATAGCCGCTTCGTCTGCTAGGTCTGACTCGGCTCTTTCTCAGGCTCCTTTGAATTTTCCGTGTCGTGAAGTGAAATACGGGATTAATATTCGCCTCGCCGAATACCTCTGCGATTCTTGTTTGTCCCAGGGGGAGATTCAGACTGGGTGTCCAATGTTAGGTGATCCAGATGATCGATCGGAATAGCTCCGCGGAAACTGGGTCCAGTATGACAGCTGGAATCTGTGCCGACCCATTCCGCAGAGCAATGGACTGCCTTACAACATCCCAATATGGTTGCCAATCTGCCACTGGAGCTCAATCTTTGTTCCGGTCTGTGGGAGGCGGATTCTGAAAATCTAGCGTGGTGAGCACAAAGACCGATTAACTTCGAACAATGGCAGATTGGTTCATCTTCATTTCACCGGATCCGGCCGCTAAGGCTGAGGTGACATCCCTTTCGCCTCACTTCGCTTCTCGCCACACAACGCACATCGAGTCACCGTGTGTGGGCTCAAGTTATGGACTCTGGGCCCTGGACCTACACCTCATCTGTTGGTTCGGTGTAGTCCACCTGGATATGGATGGATAGATGAGATGCCGCATCGAGGCAGGGCCCCTCTTGGGCCGAAAAACCTAGCGGCGTCCGATCAAGTAATCCCACGGCTCGGTTGTGCCGCTTCGAGGCGCCTTCCGTTCGGGAAACAATGCAACCGACAAGATTGCCGATGTGAAGGACGGAAATGGGAAACACGCGGCATGCGTGCGGCATCAAGACTGGACCCACAGGAACATAACTCTAAGCCTTGCGCTGCAGAGAACAATGGCTCCGGGAACGTTTTGACAGGCGACAGCTGAGAAATACAATGTTCTATTGTATCATTCTTTCCCTTCCGTCTTCAATGTATTGCTTGATTCGCGAGGCTGGAAATCCAAGTTCTGTAGAAGATCAGAAGAAAAGATGACGATTTCTTGCCGGCTATAGAATGTGCTGATAGCTAGCTTCTCAGCAGGTGACGGGCAGTTGACGATTGACTACCCGAGCACATGTTAGTCTCCCAACCTCCAATCTGATGTAGCAGTCTGGCACGAATAGCCACGGATCAAATTGCTTCTGGATTTTTTATTTTATCTCTCAATAGAGTGATTATCGTTGAAGAATTGTTAAAACTGAAACATTCTGAATAAGCAAGGTGCTGTCATCCTGCAAATCACACATATGGCTCATGCATGTTATGAGAACAACTGATATTGCTGAGCCCAGCTTCGAGCCTAAGGCAAGGTGGCCGAGTGGTCTAAGGCGCTAGTTTCAGGTCTAACATTCTTGGAATGTACCAGTACTAGTCAGAAATGGCGCGAGTTCGAATCTCGCCCTTGTCATTTTGCCAGCTCGCCGAGCTCTTCGTCCCTTGATGTCTACGCTACCAGACGTTTATTTCGAATCACATAACGTTCGCCCTTGAAATAAACTAAGCAAAGATTACTTTTTTCTCGACACTGTAACTTTTCCTGCTGCCCGGCCCGCCTTCCTCTTACCTCTCCGAACCACGCTTCTGTCCCCATCGTCCGTATCGCTCTCCGAGTCTTCGGACTCTTCGACATCGCTCGAAGGGCCCTCCGATCGGCCCTTTCCTTTTCTCGACGTAGCCGGTGGAGGCGGCGGGCCGGCCCGCCAGTCAGGGCATTTCCGGCGGACAGCCGTGCTCCCATACTCGAGATACTCCTCCCGTGTGATAGCTATTTCGGACTCAAAGTGGGGTTGAGACGCGAAGGCGCAGGCGGCTTCGTATGCTGCCAAGCTTGGTCTGAAGCTCGGGTGAGTGAGTTCACATAAACCGGTGGGGTGTCTGACTTATCGGCGTGATAGATGGCGACGTCGGTTCCCATCGGTGCTAGAGATTCGAGCTCTGGTATCCTATTTTCGCTTAGCAGGATCCATGGTTCGCCGCTTGAAAACACGCACAAGCGAGTACGGAATCCCGGAAATTCCGTGTTCCCACCGATCAGTCCGATGTTGGCCCAAAAGAGCCCTTGGAGATCCTCCGGCAGCAGTGCAATGGACGAAGCGATCGTGCCAGCAATTCCGACTTGCTTCAGGCCTGAAAATACATCTCGAATCGCCCTCAATGCCTCCAGATGGAAGGCACACACCGACATCGTCGGGACGAAACATGATTTCGGGCACTGAGAACCGCTCGTTGCCCATCGTCAATACTTGGTCTGTTTCCAGCAGAACTTCATTAGGCTGACGAATGCGGCCTGCGTTTTGTTTTGTGAGATCAGGCAGCACGTACTCCTGCACGATTGAGTTTTTGGGGTCGTTTCTTGTCGATAGCGAATCAAGACTCGCCGCCCGCGATAACGGAGTGGAACACACCGGCAGACCTCTAGATCCTGACCGAAGTCTTGCGCCACATAGCAGCATGTCTCCTTGACGTGGTTCATCATGTACGTCTCCTCCATCATATTCCACTGGCGAAACGAGATTAGCTCTTTGAGGTGGTTCGTAAGCAGTTTGCCGCCGAGGTCGAGTCTGGAATCGGGACGAATGAGCATGAAAACCAGTTAAATTTCAGCATACTGGCCGTTTCACGGCCTCCCACACGACTTGGCCCTGCATTATCGGCACGACGTGGGTGAAGCTGAACCCAGAGTCGACGATGAGCGAGCATTCAGGCGGTGTTTCGCCGAGCAGTGTTCCATGTGGAATGAAAGAAGCAGCTGATATAGGTTTAACAGCTGGTCATTTTGAACATGAGAGCTCACGAGTCGCGCGAAAGAGTCCCTGAAACTCGTACTCCTCGAACACGAACTGATCGTACACTTCTTGCAGCTTGGGAAGATTGAAGTACGGCTCGGTGATGACTAGTGTCGACTCCGTGGGGTTGACCTGCCTCGCGCAAAGCTCCGTCGCGAATCACGCTCTCAAGAAACGTACAAACACCCACATTCAGCACTTCGTCCGAGAACAGTCCATCCCACACAGCCTTCTGCGCGTCCCAATCAACGACGAACCCTTTCTCGAGCGGAAGCCGATATGAGAGCGAGGAGAAGTCCCGGCAACGCTGGTGGAACTCGTGCCCGATGTAGGTTGCTTTGTCGCCTGGCGCGCGTATCACCGCGTTGGGTACGATCCTGATTCTCGTGAGCAAGGTGAGTGTGGAGCGGGGGAATGAGGGGACCTCGGTTCTGGCTTTCTATTGAACAGGATCCCAGCCTTGATGCTCGACCCGCCGTTATCCAAGACGACGACGACCATTCAGCGCGGAGCGGTGTGTTGACAGGAAATCTGAGTTGACACCTGTCAACTGACGCGACACACCCATCATGATGGGTTGTCCTTTGTTTGCTGCGTGTTCCTCCGAGAGCGACAATACACGGTTCTCAACGAAGCATCATCTGTGAAATACCTAGAATATATGCAAGTGAAGAAAATCAGGACAAGAATCGTTTTTATGAAGTCACCGAACTTTTGCCTGTCTCTCAGAAATAAACTGAGAAGGATGATCGATGTGGCCTTGAACTATTTCTTCCAGATAGACCCAAAAAGACAGCAGGAGCGTGCGTTATTGGTGTAGAGGTAACATGGTCCTTTCCCAAGGGGCAGCCTCGGGTTCGATTCCCGGATGACGCAGAATCTTTTTTTTCATTACCTCCTCCCTTTCTGCGGCTCCTATCCGCATGACATGCGGAAGCCTGCCGAACTGTGCCATTCTTTTGGGCGACTGACCACTCAGCTTCAAAGTTGCCCTCAACAGTGGGTCCTTCCACCGTAATCAATCTTCCATTTGCTTGGGACACAAGTTTCACAAGTGAGAGAGCTATTCGACACCTGTACTCAAGACACTCAAGGTATGCATTTGGAATGCTATCCTTCACTTTCAACCTAATACCACATTACAAGTGTGCATCACGCCGCCGGATGTATCCGAGGGAGACGAATGCGCGGCGATCAGTGATCCCAGGGGTTTGGACGACTCCACTCCCACGTCCGGTCTGCCTGCGAGAGCGGTTCATCGTCACCTTCTCTTCGATTCTCTCTATCGGCCATTTCGGCAGAATTATGATACACCGAGGTGGTTGCGGAAATGACAAACCGTCGAACCATCGCCAAACTTCATGAACGTGACGGCGTTCACGGAACTCAGCCCCTGGGTTCGATCCACGCGTGCACCACGCAGATGGCTCTGGTTAATTTGACTCGGTCTTTTCTCGGCGGGTTGCAACCGAGGAGCTGTACGTGTCTGAACGCCATCGTAAGCTTTCAGCTTTTACGCACTACCTTTGCACCACTTACTGTTTATCGCCGGCCTGAAATCCACCAATCGCCCGTGCAGATCACACTTCGCTGACTGCAGTTCGCTATTTAGTGACCAAGTCACACATGTCATCGGCCGGCTACCTAACCGCAGTGCGAAACGGCTGGTTCAGATGATGACATCGACTCTTGTCGTCAAAAGTGTTGTTGGCGGTGCAGCTTTGAGCTCTGCGCTTACTGCGGATCGGATTGTTACCACAGTCGCGCCTTACGTCTCTTCTTAAGATGATGTTTCGGCGCACGACGACGCGAACACTCTGCTCGGACGCGCACCGAGCACCCGTTTACCCGCAAAGCGGCCACGATTAGTCACAGGGATTTCTCTTGTGTCCCACGGCATTTGGCACTCACGCTTGTTGGTAGGCGCTTGTTGACCGTCCTGTCGGTTCGGTCCCGGCGTCTTAGTTGCTTTGGCTTACGCCGTCAATCGACTCTATTTCGTCAGTCCAGCCCACTCCTGGCTTACGTCTCTGCAGACAACTCTCTAAGCACAATCTGTCTGTGCAATGTGTGCCTTGTTATGGTGGCATTCTTGCGCTGAGTGATCTTGCTCGTGCAAGCCCTGTTTGTTTTGGGTAAGGAAATCACAACCGTTTAGCCGCGAATTCTCTCATGTAACCTTCCTTCTTTCCTTAAATACGGCAACCGTTTGCCATGACCTCATCCCCCGCGATCCGTCCTTCCCTCCCCCATGTCTACTACACCCTCTGTAGACCACACGATAACGGACGAGCACCCGCCCGCCGAAGACCCTCATGCGGCGGTCCTAACTGGGAAGAAGCTTGTCATCGTGTTCGTTGCCATGTACGTCCAGCGCCTCTCTCATCTGCCGGTCGACGTTGTCTGATTCAAATCGTCGCCCAGGTTGCTGTCACTGCTGCTCATCGCACTCGACCAGACGATCCTCGCCACCGCGCTGCCACGAATCGCGTCCGATTTCAACTCTTTCACGCTCCAGGGATGGGTCTCGTCGTCCTTTATCCTAGCACAGACGGTCCTTCTACTTTTCTACGGGCAGCTCCTCCGCATCTGGCCCGCAAAATGGATCCTCTTCTCGGCGGTGGTCATCTTTGAGCTGGGTTCGCTTGTGTGCGGAGTGGCGCAGAACGTCGGGATGCTTATTGCTGGCCGGACGGTATCTGGAGTGGGTGCCGCGGGTATTTGTGCGTCCAAATTGTATACTCGGCACGTTTTGCGTAAAATCTAACGCGCACATCGTGTCCAACAGTCGTGGGACTCAACCAAGTAATCGTCCAGTCGACGCGTCTGGAGGACCGACCGCGTCTCTTGGGTCTTTTCGGTGCCGTCTTTGGGCTGTCCAGTGTCATTGGCCCGCTCATCGGAGGTGCCTTCACGGACCACGTTTCCTGGCGCTGGTGTTTCTTCATCAATCTACCGCTGTAAGTGGCATTTGATGTCCTCCCGTCATCTACTTATTCGTTCTTCAGCGGTGGCGTGTCACTTTTGGGCATCACGTTCCTACTCAAGTCGTCGCCGCCGCTGGGCTCGGACCCTTCCACGCGGACATGGTCCAATCTCCTCCGCCAGACTATGCAGATGGATTATTTTGGCGCGATACTGGTCTCAGGAGCTGTCACGTCTCTGGTTTTGGCTCTCCAGTGGGGTGGAAACACTAAGCCCTGGGGTGACAAGGATGTCATCATCGTGAGTGGCTTTCACCCGCAGTCGCTTCTGATGCTTACCGTTTCGTTCAGTGTTTCGTCTTCGCCGCCGTACTGGCAGTCGCCTTCATTCTATGGGAGATCCGCGCTGGTGACCGTGCCATGACACCGACAACCATCTTCAAATCTCGTTCGGTGTAAGTTGTACTTCGTAAAATTCTCCCGCCGTCCGTGACACAGCTGACACTTTGGCAGCTATGCGATCGTCGCGTACTGCTTCTTGTCACGATTCACGCTCCTTCTGTTCTCGTACTACATCCCCATCTTCTACCAAGCTGTGCGCCACCGGTCTGCGACTCAGTCCGGGATCAACTTGCTGCCCTTCATGATGGGCGTCGTGCTCACGTCAATCGTCTCCGGTCAGCTCGTGTCACGATTCGGCTATTAGTACGTGCATATTGGTCATCCCATACTCAGTGGCTGACCAGTCCTCCAGCTGGCCGTTCCTGGTCGTATCCCCCGTCTTCCTTGCACTTGGCTCTGGGCTGCTCTACACCCTGAAGACGAGCACATCGTCCGCCACGATCATCGGCTTCCAGATTCTGGCTGGCGTGGGCACCGGAATGGGCATGCAGAACTCGCTGCTGTCCATGCAAGTCGAATTCAAACACGCGCCCCGGATGATTGGTCAAGCTGTGTCGATGGGGGCATTCGGGCAGTTCCTTGGAGGCACGCTCGGCCTCGGCGTCGCGGAGCCGGTCTTTGCATCGGAGCTGAGCAAGTACCTGATCCAGTATGCGCCGACCGCGCCGGCATCCATCGTCGAGCAGAGCCCGACCGCCATCTACACCGAGCTCGACCCGTCGCTGATCCCGGGTGTCGTTCAAGCCTACCTGCAGTCGCTGCGCATCGTGTTCGTGCTCGGTGTCCCAGTGGCGGGGCTCGCACTTGTCGCCGCACTGTTCATCAAGAACATCCACATTGCTGCGCCGCCGCCAGCGCCCAGCGTCAACGAGAAGGAGGAGATGACTGAGGTATGAGCGCGTTGGTTGTCGGAGCACAGCACATGTAGATTATCATAGCAACATGTTTTTATTCACGAATCACCGGATCTTTTTAGAATAACCACTTAATCTGATGATGACCTGGAGATCTTGTCACCTGCAACTATCGAGGAAGCACGTTCGTAGCAGTTTTGTTTTCCCCCCGACGAGCTGATCGATGTTTGGAAGAGCTGGGACCACTTGGGATCTGCAGTGCACATGTTTTTTGTCATCCATTGCTGTCTTACGCTTCGACCTGAGTATCCTGATCTTCGAGGCCCTTTCATCAAGGACAGAGAACTCAGGGGCGCAAATGATGTACGAAAGTTCTGTGCTCTGCTCTGCAAATTCATGTCATGTACAATTCAACTACCAAAACTTTAGTGTCCGTTAGCGACACCCCGGATCATCAATCAAACACTCTCGGAAGCCTACGGAAACTTTTTACACTCGGCTGTTGAAATCAATTATATGTCAAACATGCCGACATCGCAACCAGCTTCAGCTCACTTTCGGTCTAACAAAAGTAGTTTGTAAGCTGTTAGAAAACTAGAAAAAATACGAATGGGTCTAACCTGAGGCTTGACTCTTCTCTCTGTTTCAAAGTCTGTAGCTAGAGCTGACGATCAAGTACTTGGGTTTCTTGCCGAGCGATCGTCAATTGATGCGTTGATCGCAAAGTTTGAGGCCAATTCAAGTTCAGAGTTGACTTCGCGAGTTGAGCGAACCTGTGGAGGTTCTACCGCATCCGATAGTTATACTCCAACTTTCTTTCTCACCTAAGGGCTATTTAATTCTCTGATTGCGGAGAAATATATGCCGGGGAGAGCCAAACACTGCATTCCCAGGGTAGGTAGTCTCAGATCATGGACTACCAACTTCGGCTATTCTCGGCAGATGTCGTCCTATGTCGTCCCACTTTCCTGGGTAGTCCCTTATGTAACGCCGGATGACTACTGTGGACTCCCACGTCTGAGGTTATTCTTGACATTCTAGCCTGGTCTAGCCCAGTTCGCGCCCACGGTAGTCCAATCCCATCTCACCCGGCGCCTATTCAGCTCCCCGCGCCCTGCGCTCCTCAGTGGCTCCTATGTAGTACCTTTGATGACCCAGTGACACTTCGCTCGGACATCAATCTGAGAGCACGACTGTTGACAGTGGTATTACGTAAGGAACAAATGCCAAGATGAGACGCTGAGAGATGAGGGTGTCGGTATCTGCCATTGGCTGATGCTGGTAGTCCACGGTGGTTCATAGACAGACTACACAGGTAGCCCAGATATCGGTCCCGGGCGCCCATGATGTGGACCGATATAGGTAGCCCACGTGCGTCGACCTGTCTAGCCCATCATCGCCCACACTCGGCTACTAATCGGTCCCACGCGCCCACGTGAGGACTACCTACCCTGGGAATGCAGTGAAATGGACCAAGCACGGAGCAAGTCGAGTGAATGATCTGTGATCAGAAAACATAGATCATCCTAACGCCACAAACTTGCTCAAAAATATCCCACTCTTCCGGCATTGATTGGGGAAGGAATGCCTGAGTCCGCCAGATTTCAACTTGACTCTTGGAGAACCTGGACTCACAAAGCGTTGCTGAACTCAATCTTGTTGAGGCCAAGATCGAGAATGCGACCTTGTTCAACCCTAGTCCGTAGGATCCTTACACTAGGTTTCCGTTAACTCTCTGCTCCGAGATCGTATTATGGTAGTAGTTACTGTGGTGCTAATGGCCCCGGCCATCATCGATCTGGTAGATATAACTCATATCGACTACTTAGCGAAAAGGTTCAGGCTCAGTCTTAACAGCTCATCGATCCCAGGCCTCCCCAAGTCTACGTTCATATAACATCAAATTTTACTCGCCTGTCACAGACAGTGTGCGGCAGGCCACGGGTGACATTTGGCAAATCGGGTCAATATCTCGAGGTTACCCAGTCCAAAACGCATCTGCCAGTCGAAGTTATAGTTCAGCCACTCGAGGCGAACTGACTTGGGACTTGCTCATTCGGAACCTTTGGTATGGATCAATCAACGATACACCACCGAGTCTCCATAAGGAGCTGAACGCTCAGACCCTGAGCGATCTTCCCGAAATAGCAACACTTGCGTAGTCAGCCTCTGACAAAGATGTGCGAAGATTGCTCTGTTTCGGTTCTCCCTTCCTCTCCATCCGCAGCGGAACTCAATCATGACTCAGACATCAGCATTATGACGACATGGAAGTGATATTCCATAGGACTAGACCTGAGGATTAGAAGCTGCTGCGCAGCGATCTTACAAACGTACCCTCGAATAATGAAAGGTATGATCGATCCCATGGACGTCAAGGATGAGACCATTCATTCGTGTGCAGTAGTCTGCAGTGCCGAGCGGCACGTACCAAACTTTCAAAGCCGGAGGCTCCACGACCGTGATGCACACATGAGCCCCGGATTGATATCACACTGATCCATAGCTTAATGACGCCGCTGACTGATCAGATAGCGTTCTTCCAGTCCCGACTAGCAAGGTGATGGAGGCACTCACACTGATAGATCGGCGTGCCGAACTTCTTGATGGGAGAAATGTCTGAGATTGCTCAGCGCCAATTGTCTCATCCGTATTGGAGGTCCTTATTCAGCACGGAGTTCCCGGCACGGAACCAAATTCAACGCGAGCCTGGGGTATAAGACAGCAGCAGGCAGCCCACATCGATACAATACAACCACCTCAAACACACCCTGCAGAAAATGTCCTACCCTACTTTTGACTTCAACACCACTGCCGAGGACGTCGCGACGGCTTTCGCGGATGAGATCAAGGGCAAGAACGGTTGGTAGAGTCATGCCTCGAACGAATTCGCTGAGTGCTGATCATGATACCAATGCAGTTCTTATCACTGGGACCTCCATCAACGGGATCGGATTTGAGACTGCGCGAGTGATCGCAAAATATGCAAACTTGGTTGTGATCACTGGGTACAATGGGGAGCGGTGCGTTTCATGACAGTCGTCGAGGTGTCGTGGTGCTGATCGAGATCGCTGGCCGCAGATTGAAGCTCACGGAGGCTGCAATCAGGAAGGAGGTCCCGCAAGCCAACATTCGTACTCTGATCCTGAACCTCTCGTCCTTCGCCGCCGTCCGCACCGCCGCAGCAGAAGTCAACGCCTACGACGAGCCGATCCACGTCCTGATCAACAATGCGGCAGCTCCGATTGGTCCGTTCAAACTGACCGTCGACGGATTCGAGAATCAAATCGCAACTGACCACCTCGGGCCGTTCCTCTTCACATCACTCATTGCCCCCAAGATCATCGCTAGCAAAACGGAGAAGTTCACACCGCGAGTGGTGTTTGTGTCGAGCATCGGGCACACCTGGGGCAAGGGTGTCAACTTCGAGACGCTCGTCAAGCCCGACCCCGAGAAGTACGAGATATTCGACGCGTACTTCCAGGCCAAGTCCGCAAATGCGCTGACAGCGGCTGAGCTCTCGCGGCGATCCGGTGGAAAAATCAACGGATACAGTCTGCATCCGGGATCTCAGTTCGCTTCCACATCGCAGGTCCGCGCTCTTGGCTGACGTTTTGCCCGCTAGCGATTGTGACGAACATCACCAACAAGGAGGAGTCACTCGAGCCTTTCAAGGCCCTGGGGATCCTCGGGTCGGACGGCCAACCGAACACGCAGGACTTCCAATGGAAGACGATCCCCGAGGGCGCGGCTACGAATGTCGCGGCTGCTTTTGACCCGCGCCTCGACGCAAGCCCCGGCGCATACCTGGACGACTCGAAGGTCGCAAATGACAAGCTCGCGGCGCACACCGCGGATCCGGTTAGTGCTCCGATGGCGTTTGTACTGCTGAAAGTAATTCACTAACGCGCACCTGCCAGGCCAATGCCGCCAAGTTGTGGGATTTGTCGGAGCAGATCGTGGGAACCAAGTTCACCTTTAATTAGATCAAAATAATGCGGTGCGGTCCACAGGATCAGCTCTAATTATTTAATTGTGCAAAACCGTTTTAAGAAATTATGCCCGACTGGAGCTACGACGATCTGTGCTGTAGATTGACGGCACTGAAAGTGATGGTAGATCGCGAGAGAAGCTTGACGAACGCAAAATGTTGACTCAGTGAGAGACGCGCCGCGAAATCGCTCAGACGAGGTCGCTAATGGCCAACAATTTGCCCCCTCTGTGTAAGACTTGGGTTTACTGTGTGATTGGAACTGGCTTGCTCAATGAAACACAACACGAATCCCGCGCTACTGGGAAAATTGTCCCGGAGCGCGAGATCAATGTGGGAGTTTTTCTTTTTTGCGAATTTGTCGGAACTAATGATGACCTTGTAGCTTTCACGTAGGCAACTCATGATAAATTTTAGATGAACTAGGCAGGCAACTAAGCTGAGCCAAACGTTCTAGATCCACAATGTGCTGCTCAACCTCTGATTAACCTGTTGTAAGCTTCCCTGTTGTCTAAAATTAGTACACTTTCCCAATCGCCACCTCAGTTACCACCGCCATCACCCGGTTGCACCCCCGCGGGGGTCCTCCTGGGTACCCTCAGACGTAGCTCTGAGGGTACCTAACAGGTACCCCCCTGCGGGGCCCGCGGGGGGGATTTGGTCCATTTGGGGGCGGGGGCATATGCGGGGGTCAGCAGGGGGGGGGTCTGTACATGTCATGTGATTTATCATTGGGAGCGGGCAGGTGGGCGCGAAAAAAAAATGAATCACATGACACATCCAATGGGCGGGATGGCGGCTGATGGCGGGGTAAAAAAATCACGTGATGCACTGCATGAAAATTATCAAAAATGGCTAGCAGGGGTTGGCGGGGGTTGGCGGGGGCGCTACTGGCCCCCCGCACACCATGGCGGGCAGTGGGCGCATTATCACGTGACTTTTGGGGCACCTTTTGTGCACCATTCGGCATGATTTCGGAGGTGTTGCTTGATCCATTGCATGCTGTGGCAGACAATGGGCGCATAATCACGTGATTTTCCGCCCAAAAAAATGGAAGCCTTCCCCAAATCATCCTGGTATCATTTCTATCGGTAAATACACTAGTTAAGCATGAATTTGAGCTTAGAAAGCCCAAAATGCACCCTGCACAATGGGACTGGTGATGCACTTGATCCCATCATTTGGCGGGGTCTGCTGCGGGGGGTGCCACGGGGGGTGCTGCGGGGGGTGCTGCGGGGGGTGCCGCAGGGGGTGCCGCAGGGCCCGCTGTGGGGTCAACCACAGGAGCAGGGGTAGGGGTGCATTGCATCATATTTTGATCTATCTATTCTCGCTGTGGTCATAGCATGCAGCATAATTATCCTTCATTTTGCCAGGAGTTTGGAGGCTGTGTCTGGGGTTGGTCTGCAGCTACAGCCATGTGACTCCCTGATGCTTCGGCAGGGGCTGGGATATCAAAACTGTGCAATATTGTCTGCATAATCCAGGCATGTAGGGTTAAAAAGAAAGTGTGATTTGTTCATTTTTTGGCTGGCAGGGTAGGTGGGCTGACATCATGGGCTGCATCGGGTCCACTGTCAACTCATTGATTGTTTCGTCTGCTCATTCTATACACATGCCCATTGGTAAACTGATCATGCTGTAGGCACAGTCTAATCTTACCCAGTGGATAATACCACACGTTAATTATGCACCTAATGTCACACTTCCTGTCTGGGACTCATTGAAGTTCATCTGTTCTGTGTTACTTTACAAGCAGTTTGCTTTAGTTGCAACATGAACAGATGTAATAGGGTGGATTTGACATGCCCTGAATTGATTCCTAGGTGGAATATGAGACAATGGATTCACCAGCAAGTTGCCTCACAATAGTCAGAGATTGGTAATATTTGAATTTCAAATTTCATATACAACACTCTGTGCACTCAGAGCTCGTATATTTGCAAGATAGACTGTAGAGACATAGATGGTTACTTTTACTACCTCTGGGGCTGCACACATCCTTGCCATGACCCACTGCCTGCACCCCTGCTGGTACCCCCATTGGCACCCCCGCCGGCACCCCTGTTGGCACCCCCGCCGGCACCCCCGCTGGCACCCCCGCCAGTCTAGCACCCCCCGCTGCACCGGTGCCTTTTCCCCGTGATTTTCTTATATGTAAGATTATGTAAACTGACAGCTCGGAACACGTCAAGTCACTAGCCAATCAGAACCTGTATAAACGTCGTACCTAAGTGTTTACTGCTCTTCTAACACTGTTCCTACAGTTATGCAGC